ATTCCGATTTGAATTTGAATTTAACAATTCATATTGAATAATGTTTTTCGATTCTTGATTTTCATCATGATGATTATGAAGAAATGACAAGAAAAAAGCATGTACTGGAAAAACTGTTTCTTTTCATTTTTATTTTTTTGAAAATGTAAATTTTGCCATTTTACAATTTTTTTTATGATTAACAGTTTTCGTTTCTTTTTTTTTTTTTTGAAGAAAAATATTATATTTGCCATTTGATGATGGTGGTGGCGTGGTGAATTCGATCCGAAATAATGACTATAGTCAAAAGAAGCGTATATACAGAATAAGAACCGAAAAGAGAGAGAGAGAGAGAGAAGAGAGAAAAAAAAAAAAAATTTTGGGCAAAAAGAAAAATAACAACCAAATATTGATCGATAGCGCGGCGGATATATGTTTGAGGCCATGGTATGGATCGGCTGCTGACGCCACCACCACCACCACCACCAACACCAAAAATGCCGGTCGTTTATTTTCGTCATTTATTCGTAGTCGTCGTCGTCGTCGTCGTGGATCGCCATTACACATTTTATGTGTGTGTTTGAGTGAAAAAGAAAACGGTTCATTTAATCTCTCATTCACTTTCTCATTTGAAGTCAAATTTGGTTATATACCCTAAACTAATGGGCCAATTTTTTTTTTGTTTCTTCACTTTGGTTCGGTTGTGATGTGTATTGTTATTGTTGTTGTTGTTGTTGTTATTGCTGTGAGTGGTGGGGAGTGTGTATAGTAGTGAAGCTTTGTTTTTGGATAAATAATAACGATAATAATAATAATAACAAACTAATCAATACAAAAGTTTCAGTTTTTTTTTTCGCTTTCAATATTTTTTTTTTATTCCGCGTTGTTTTTTCTGGTTCGGTTCGGTTCGGTTCGTTTCAGTTCAGCTCTTGACACATTGTACGTTATGTGTATCAGACAAAAAAAAAATTAGTGTCTAGATACATGGCAAATAGGCATATAGAATGCTTTTTTTTTCAAAACAAAATTATTTTTGTTGTTGATTTTTGTTTTCTCTTCGTTTATAATAATAATGATGATGATGATTGTCAAGACAACGAATTTATTTGTGTTATTACTGACGTACACAGTGAAGTGTGCACGCGTGTTTTACAAGAATCCAACAAGTTCAAAATTCTTTGAAATTTCCTCTAATTGAAATGTGAATTATCATCATCATCATTAGGATGATGATGAAATGAATGCATTTTCATCTAAATACCACCAAAATGTTTGTTTTGTTTGTTTCATCAGTGTTCAATTTCCAAGTATAATCACAAAACAAACTAAACATAAAAACCAGAAATAAAAACAAAACAAGAAAAAAAAATTGATTCATTAATATCCAAAAGATTCTGTCTGTTTGTCATTTTCAAATCAATAATGATAATGATTATGATTCCTATTTATTCTTCTATTTTTTTTCCTTTTCATATTCAAACAATATGTTTCTATCTTATATTTGTATTGAAAAAAAAGAGCAATACAATATGAATGATAAAACAAGATGACAAACAAATCAATCATCAGAATTCTTTTCTGTTGTTGGTTTTTGTTTGTTTGTTTGTTTGTTTTATTTTGGCTGGATCAAGAAAAAAAGAAATAAAGAAAATGAAATAGAGATACAAATGGAAAGAATTTTTGTTTTTGTTGCTGTTTTTGGGCTATATATACGCACACACACACACACACACACACGATAACCTACTATTGCTATATGTAAGAATTCTACCAATGTTTCATCGAGAAAATTCTAAATCACAATTATAGAGAATCGATAGTGCCCCTTTTTCACCATAAACCGGCGACAAAATCAATGAAATTTGCAATGAAAAAAAAAAAAAATTGTTTTTTCCGTTTGATCCAAATTCAAAGATTTAATTCGAATCAAACATGAAACAACAACAACAACAATAACGGAAAAAAACATGACACTCGACACAGTAAGATGAGAATCGGGGCGAATGAAAAAAAAAAAAATCGATTCTTATTACTAATAAGTTGAGTTGCCAAGTTTTCGTACATTTTTGAGAGTTTTGGATATTTTTTCAAGAGAACGAGAAAGAGAGAGAATAAAAAAAGGGATACACATAAAAAATTATTGCCATTAATAAAATGATATTGATCATTCTTGTTAAAAGCAAAGAAGAAGAAGAATAAGAAAAACAAAAAAGTTTGATTTGATCCACTTCAATATATGCATCATTGAATGTGAATAGTTTGCAGAAAAAAAAAGAAAAGTTTTTTCCAATCCAGAATGAGAAAAAAATGAATTTTTTATTCGCCTAATTTAATGATGAATACGATAGATTCGAATGGTTATTTTTCACCTTTTTTTCCTGTGATAAGATGATTGTAATGTGTGTGTGTGTGCCAGTGTTCTTATCATTTGTTGAAAACAAAAAAATTTGTGCAAAATGTGCACATTCATGTCCTGTGTGTGTGTGTGTGCGCGCACGAATCTTAAAACATAAATTTTCCCGTCAATATGACGGTGGTGATGATGATGGAAAAAAAATCAATGATTTTTTTTTTCATTAATGCCAATCGTTTCAAATCATTGAGGGGTAGGGTTTTTTTTTGTTGCACATTTTAGAAAAGTAAAATGAAATGAAAAACATTTTCCATTCAACAAATTGATTATATACATTTTTTATACATATACAAGGGTCTTGTCATTTTTTTATATATTACAAATGGAAATATAAAAGCAGAAGAAAAAGAAGGAAAAAAAATTCTGATACATAAATTATTGGTGATGCTTAGTAGTAAGGAAAATAATATGTTTCACGTTTAAAAGTGTTTCATTTTTGCTTCATTTTTTTCCATTCTCTTCTCTCATTCGTCAATATGTACTGGAATCGCACCGTAACACATATAAATAATAATACAAAAAAAAAAAAATCATTCAAAGTCTTGCCATTTTGGTATAAGTAGATTGTTGTCGTCGGTGGTGGTACGAATCAAATGATAATGAAACCTACAACCTGGAAACGGTAACCGACCAAAAAAAAAAAAAAAAAAAATAGCTAATGCTCATTGCCATTGGGGGTTTTTGGTGGTGCACTATTATGGGATATTTTCAATAGAATTTTATTCCTGAGTTCATTTTTTCGAAGTAAAAAACGAAAAAAAAAATACTGCTGCCGGAACAAAATTATCGTAATGAATTTCCTTTTCCCACTGTTTTTACTTGTAGGCAAAGTTCTAGCAAAAAAACAAACAAATGCAATCGGATTTCATTTCATTAAACACTGCTGATTCAGTTTCATTCAGTCATTCAGTCAGTCATTTTGATTTCTATATTTGAAATGGCAAAATCATCATCATCTAAATAATTCATTTTAAAGGTAACGAACAAAAAAAAAAAAAAAAAAAAACGAAAAAGAAAAATTGTTTGATGAAATGTTTTTTAAAATGGAACTGAATGAATGAAATAAGTTTATAATGAACGTTAAAAGTTAAAATTGAATAACGATGATGATGATGATAATGATGAAAAATTTGAATATAAAAAAAAACAAACTCTCGTTTCGAATGAATGAATTGAAATGAAATGAATATACCTTTTATGTATGTGGCCGCAATGTACAAACAAAACACACACACACCAAACAATAGATGAGAAAAAAAACCATTTAATATATATGTGATAAGATTCTGTAAAAACTTGTACATTACACATACTTCACTCTCTCTCTATCTTTGTGTTTTCTTAATTTATCCAGATCATAATCATAATCATCATCATCATAATGATGATATGGCTACGTTTTACTTGACATTAAAAAAAAAATAGAACAGTGAAGAGATGAAAATGAAAGTAAATTTCACACTTGATTAAACAATGCTGATTTTCTGTTGTTGTTGTTGTTGTTTCTGTTTCATTGAATAAACGAAGATTACCATCATCATCATCATCGTTATTAATAATAATAATAAAAATATGAATATGAATATGAACAATTTATACGGACTATTTGTTTCTCCATACATACACACACACACTCAATATAATGTAATGTAATGTAATATATCTTTAAATATATGAAAATCTTTTATATAAACCTATAGAAACAAAGTCGAAATAGTCAAAGAATGAATGGCCACAGAATGAATTCTGCCATTTTCTCTCACCATCTTTATATGTCCTCTCGTTCTTTTGCTTGTTGTTGTTGTTGTTGAAACATTCATTAGAAAAGAAAAAAAATCTGTCAACACCACAGTTGAGAAAAAAAAAATCATCACCAACATCAAATGTGACATCTATGTTGTGTGTGTGTGTTTGGCCTATGTGTATGCAAATGGGCAATTCAATTTTCCACCAAACTAGTAGTAGTAGAGTAGTAGTAATTGAAATATTTATCAATCAATTTTATGACATTTTTTTTACACTGAATTTGATTTTTTTTTTTTAATTTTAAACTCTTTTCTGTCTATCACAATGTTTTTTAACATTTATTTACTCATTTTTTTTTCTCCACCTACTCCCAAAAAAAAAATAAATAAATATCAAGATTTGCATAAAAAATCAACGAAAATGCATCAAAAATCAGTAGTACTTAGTACTAGCAGATTGCAAAAAATGAATGATAATGGAAATGAATGTAAATCATCATTAAATTGTATGCTGATAATGATAATGAATAAGAATAATAATAATGATGATGATGATGAATATTGTTGTATACGTGGATCGATCATCGATAAACAACGTTGCAGATACTATTATAATGATGATGATGATGATGATCATACTACAATGATGATGGTTACATTATTTTATCTACATCAATCACTTTATTTTATTCGGTAATCTTTTCGGAAATTGTTGTCGTCATCAACAGCAGCAGCAGCAGCAGCAGCAGCAGCAACAACAACAACAACAACAACAATATCCATTATTATTTGTTCATTTTGATGACGATTAATTTAATTTATTTTGCTTTTAATTTTTCCGGTTTTTCGTCGTCGTCGTCGTCGTTGTTGTTGTTTTTTGTCCATTTTTGGTGAATTTGGATAACCGAATTTTTTTTTGTTCTTCAAATAAATAGATAGAAAACGACAATAAATACAATGAGTGCATTTTATAACTGAGAAATACAACACATTGGCATTTTTCGGTATTATAATAATAACAACAACAACAACACTATTTTAACCAAAAGGGCTAAACAACAACAACAACGATAACAAGAATATACAAAAAAAAAGAGAAAGAAAAACAATATATATATAAATTGACCGCCAATTTTTGTTTATTCCATGATAACGGAAATGGAAATGAGCCTTAATCATAGTGGTGATGCCATTTTCAATCTATTCTCATTATTGGTGGTTACCGACACGACAACAACAACAACAACAGCAGCAGCAACTAATGAACCAAACAACAACAATGATACAACAACAATCAACAACATTATCGATAATCAAACACGTTTTATTCGTACATTTTCATATTTCACCGATAATGTTGATAAACAAAGAACATTGAAAAATTATTCATCCAATGATTGTTTTCATTCATCATCATCATCATTATCATCATCATCATCGTCATTATATTCAACGACAACGTCAAATCAATTGGAGAGCTTTAATGATAATCATCATCAATATATTGAAGAGCTATTAAAAGAAAAATTCAATAATGCTACAGTTATTATTTCGGTCATTATATTGGTTTTAATCAATATAATGGTCATTTTTGGCAATATTCTTGTCATTTTAAGTGTTTTTGCATCAAGCAAACTACGTACGGTGACAAATTTTTTTATCGGTAAATATCTCTCTCTTTTCATTTTGTTGTTGTTTTGCAAAATTGACTTTAATTTGGCTCATTTTTGTTTTCATTTATCAGTTTCATTGGCAGTTGCCGATTTTTTAGTCGGTATTGCCGTACTACCATATTCGCTCACATTTGAGGTATTTTGAAAAATTTTTTTTTTATGGCTGATAATTCTTTTTCTCTCTTTTTATATTATTAGATTTTAGACACGTGGATATTTGGTGAAGTCTGGTGCCAAGGATGGTAATAATGAATGAATGAATGAATGAATGATGATGATGATGAAAAATTCATTTGTTTTGTCTATTTTTTTTTTATTTTAGGCTTGTGATTGATGTTTGGATGTGTACAGCAAGCAGTGAGTAGCATTTCATTATTCACATTATATCACACAACAAGATTTCTATAGATATTTTGTTTCATTTCATTTTTTTTCTGGTTCAAAACAATCCTAAAAAATAATGTGTTTATTTTTCTGAAATTCTGTATTCTGTTTCAATGTTTACTGCTAGTATTAAATCTATGTGCAATATCGGTCGATAGATATTTGGCCGTCACTAGACCTGTCCGATATCGTAGCTTAATGACTGCCAAAAGAGCAAAATTTATTATTGCTGGTGTTTGGATTATATCTTTTATTATTTGTTTTCCTCCTGTAAGTAATTTTTCGATATTTTTTTTTTGTTCACCATTAATAATGTGATTTCGTTTTTCGTTTTCGTTTTGGTTGGTTGGTTGGACAAATTTTTTTTTTTTTGCTAATTGACAGCTTTTACTTGGTAAACAAGAATCTTTTTCCACAATACCAAACATCAATCCAACCACATCATCATCGTCGTCATCATCATCATCATCATCATTATCCGATCATTATGATCCTTTAACATATCAATTTTCATCATCATCAATTCCGGCCGATTTTACACCACCTTCTTCTTTATCTTCTTCTTCATCTAAATCTTTTTCTTCTAAATCGTCTTCATTGTCGTGGTCTTCAACAAGTGACAGTAATAATAAAATGAATGAAGAGTCTTCCATAATGGCCAACAACAATAAAAACAACCAAAATATTCGATCTCAAACAATGTCCATCGATACAAAAGACATTCTCTCAACGAATAATAATAATCAAAGTCCATTGTCAATAAAAATGAATAAAGGAAAAAAATTTGATTCAGATTTCAAAGCGCGTTGTAAACCACAGCCCGTCCAATGTGCTTTGTTTCGTAACAAAAGCTATGTGATATATTCGGCATTTGGATCATTTTTCATTCCAATGTTCGTGATGATTTTTCTTTATTGGAAAATATATTTAGTCGCTATTCGTACTAGTCGTGCCTTGAAAAAAGGTTATCGTATTACAAAAGCATCATGTGAAGAGAATCAAGAACGATTAACATTGCGTATTCATCGTGGATATTGTAGTGGTGGTGGTGGTGTAGTGGTGGTGGTGGTGGTGTTGAAGAAAGTTTGCCAATAGAAAAACGATCATCGATCGATCATGATCAGCCAAATAATAATAATAACCGAAAAGAATTATCTAAAGGCTCAAGTGATCATCAACAACATTCTCAACGGACATCATGGACCACATATAATCGTACATCAAATACGATTGAGACAGCATTAACGGCCGATAATCCAACTGTGATATCTAGTAGTACGAACAAATTATTATCACCACCAAATAGAATGATTATAAGAAATGGTAGTAATCGAAATCATCATCGCCATTCATCGGGCCATTCACATCCAAGTTTTTCCAGTAGTCCTTCATCATCACGTGAAGGTAGTGCCCGTAGTAATAAAGTCAATATTCCATCAAGACCAACCAGTAAACGTGCATCCAAATATCAGGCTAAACGTTTCCATGCTGAGACAAAGGCTGCCAAAACTGTTGGCATCATTGTAGGAGGTTTTATAGTTTGTTGGTCTGTATTATTATCATTTTATTTTATGAATGTGCCAAACCCAATAATGATCATACATTAATCACCTTTATATATATTTTTTGTTTGTCTTTTTCTTTTCAAATAGGCTACCATTTTTCATTGTTTATTTAACCAGAGCTTTCTGTGTAGATTGTATACCGAATTTATTATTTAGCATCTTTTTCTGGTTAGGTTATTGTAATTCAATGATTAATCCATGTAAGTTGATGATGATTTTTATTCAATTTTAATTTTTTTTTTAAATTTAATTTTCAAAAATGAAAATCAAAATCAATCATATTCACAAAACACAAATACAATCGTGATTGAATCTTACATATCGCTGTCCATTCAATTTGAATATTTTGTTTCTGTTTCCAGAAACAAAATCATTTTGTATTGTAAAAAAAAAAAAAAAATTCAAAGAGGTAGCAGATGAGAGAGAGAAAGTGCAAATTTTCATTTCAAATGAATGTAATGTTTACTTATTTTTTTTTTCGTCTTCCTGCTGCTTCTGTGGCTGTTACTGTTTATATTTTGACATTCAGTCATCACCATCACCATAATAGTCTACTATTCTTGGTTTCATTTTTTTTTTTTATTGAAACCGAAAATTAATTATTCGTGCGTATCAATGTTTGTGTTTGGCGTTTTTGTCCGTGTGTGTGTGTAAATAGCTGTAAATGATAATGATGATGATGTATAGAATCTTTAGATTCGTTTCTTTTTATTATTATTATTATAAAGAAAATGGCCGAACAAAAAAAAAAGATAACCTGAGCCAAAAACGAACGAACAAAAAAACTTTTTTTTTCTATTCGACCGGAGAATGAAGATGATGATGATGATAGAAATGTGAGAATAGAACAAGAATAGGACAATATACAGGTATCATAATCAAATGCTATGCCGTCGGGCACCACCAGATGAATCACATGATAATGATGGTGAAAAATTTTCATTCATTCAGTTTTTTTTCTGGTTTTTTTTTGGCTCGAAAAATTTTTTTTATTCATGTGTGTGTGTGTGTTTGTGCAAAAAAAAACCGACATTTTTTTCCTTTTTTTACAATTTCCATGGAAAATTTTGCGTGTGTGCGCTCTCGACTTTATGTGTTACATTATTATGCATTACGTAAATTGTTTGTGATTTGATATTGTATAACGAAATCAAACAATAGTTTAACTAATGATTATCATACTGAATCAATGTAAACATTAATTGATTTTGAATGAATTAAATTGCGACAAATTGTTTGCTTGAGAATTGAGAATGTTTGTTTGTTTGTTTGTTTTTGTTTATTCATTCACATATATTTACAAGGAAAATCAAATCAAAATAAAGTCTCAAAATATACCGACCAACCAGTTTTTTTTTCTTCATTTAGTTTAAATAATTTTTTTTCTGTTTTTTTTTATCGATCATTTGTTTTTCCCATCATCATCATCGTCATAAGCGCAAAGCATAACGATGATGATAATGATGATACTCTTATATGTATATGAAGCATCCAAAAATATCAATAAAATTTTTTCCTTTTTTTCGGATGCCTCTGTGAAATTTTTTTCATCCTTTACTTTCATCATCATCATCATCATCATCAGCAAATGGAAAATATCCGAATTTTGCCTTAAAGCTTATTATTGGATTTTTTTTCTTTCAAAGCAAAAAAAAATCTCAAATCTCAAATTTTCGACCCTTTTCTCAATGATTTTTCTTCTTTTTTTTTGAACATCAATCAATAATCATAAAATTTCTGATTTTTATTGGTAGCAAAAATCGATTGAATTTTTTTTGTTGTTGTTTCGTTTTCGAAAAAAATAAACATGTACACATGATCATTTTTCATTTGTTTTTGTTCAAATATTCAACATTTATCTCACCGTGTGTGTGTGTTTATCTGTTTATCTGTGATTGTTATGGACAAATTTCATTTGCAAGAAAGAAAAAACTATTTTTGTTTAAGGAAAAAAAAATTTTCTCATCAATTTTAAAAAAAATTTACCTTGTTGCTGTTTTTAGATTCAGGATAAAGGAAGAAAACACATCGATTCTGTATTTTGTGTGTGTGTGTGTGTGTGTGTTCGTGTTTGGCCATTATAAGTTTCGCTTGTTGTATTTTAATTTTTTTCCGCCTAATCAAAAATTCTCAAATCCATTTTTCAGTTTCATTTATATTCAAGAAAGCAAAGAAAAGAAGAAAAAAAGAATGACAGAATATCTCTATGGTACCCACAGCAAGTACAGCTACAAGATGACATGTGGTCCAAAAGTTTTATTTTTTTTTTTTTGTTTTATTGCCTGAAACGCATACATTTGGACATCATACATACACATGAAATTCACAATTTTTTTGTTGTTGTTGTTGTTTTCAAATTTCGACAGACGACATTGTTTCCTAATCCTACTGCTGCTGCTGCTGCTGCTGTTTTAGTAGTAGCAGTGCTGATGCCACAATCATCACCAATGAATGAAAAGAATTTTGAAATGGAAAGAAAAAAAAAGAAAAGAAAAATTCTATATCAAATTATAATAACCTTTCAGGAATAATAAACTGGTGATTACGTTAACCATCAAGAGAGCCAGGGAGCAAGAATTTGGCGGCAGCAGCATAAGTCTTTATAAATTTTTCATTACATTTTTTTTTCTTCACCGTTGTCGTCGTTTTTATTTTATTTATACTCGGCTTTCACTGTTTTTTTTTTCTTGCAAATTGAATAAAAAAGAGAAAAAAAAACAAAAATTAGAAAATAGACGTAAATGAAAAAAAAAATTTTTTTTCTTCTTCTTCAAAATGAAAAATGCCAAACTGTGTGTGTGTGTGTGTGTGTGTGTGTGTGTGTGTGTGTGTGTGTGTGTGTGTGTGTGTGTGTGTGTGTGTGTGTGTGTATCTCGTTATATAATTAATATATTTTTTTATGGAGAAATGAAATGAAATTTGTGTTCCCCGCGCCTCCAAAAAAAAAAAGAATTCAAGTATAAAACAAAAGATTCTGAAAAATTTGAGAATCCATTTTCTTCTTTTGGATTCTATAGAATTCTATTATATGCAAAACACAATGTATATATTTCTATTTTGATTTTTTTTTCTCACATATCGGTAATAAAACTTTAGATTTTTGTTCGTTCAATTTGTTTTATTAGATGAATGTCATTTTGCCAAACAAACAAACAAATATCGACACAGTATAGTAAACAATTCAACAATGAATTTCACAAATGTTTGTTGAAGAATTTTATTTTTTTTTTTTCGTTCGTTCGTCCGTTCAGTTCATAGTCGATCAAAGTTGGTTCATAACTTTTTTTTTTGTTGCTGTCCCCGTTTACACACACACACACACACACACACACACATCGAATCGGAGAAAAAAAAACTTTATTGATGATGATGATAATAATGTACAATGTTCTTCCGTTTTTTTTCTGGTATTGCTCCTCATATAGATTGAGAGTTTTTATATATATTGAAAAGAGCGACACACAGAGAGCGAATGAAAAAAAAAAATCAAATCAATATTCTAATCCAAACTAATAGAAAACTTTTTTTTTCTTCTTCTTCTTCTTCCTTTCCAACACCATCTCCCCCTTGCCCACTCACCACCACCATACATATATTTTTTTTGTCTGTCATTTTTATAGGCATATATGGTCTGTTTAGCCGTGATTTTCGACGTGCTTTCAAAAACATCATTTGCAGATGTCGATTCCGGGAGGAAACTTCTGTCAGTTCACTTATTCGACAAATTCATATGCCGACATTTTTTGAAGATATGCCCGAAGAGATGGCTAAACATGAATCACAAGACTATTGAGAGTGAGAGAGAGAGAGAAAAAAACACCATCATCATCATCATCATATTATTATTATTCAAGAGAATTTTCTTCTTTGAAAAAAACAGATAAAAAAAAGTGTGGCAAAAGAAAAATGAAAGTTAATTTTGTACAAACCATTTTGCTCCTCATCGGTCAACAACAACGACAACAACAAACAAGCAAGCAAAAAAAAAACTCGATGATAACAAACAACCGAAAAAAAAATGTATTGGCAATAAATTATCATCATTGAAGAATTTTGGATTTGGAAACAAAAACACAAATGACCAATGTTGATTCTTGATGAAATTAATCGATGATTGTAATTCAAACAAACAACGATAATAATGTTGATGATGATGATGATGTAAGAAAAAAAAATGGAAAATTCATCGCTTTGTGGAAACTTTTTTTTTTTTTTTTGTTTATTATTGTGACACCTATATATTTGATCGAAGAAAAACAAAATGGTCATGGTCACGTAATGCGCCTTTGTTTTTGTTTTTTTGTGGATACACTTTGTGTGTGTGATTAATCATTTTACATTCCATACGACATTTTATCCTTTCGATATTTTTTTTTGTATTTTGGATCAATGATTCTTATATTTATGCCACGATAATATTCAAGTTATAGACCGAACGCGTCATCATCATCATCATCATTTATTATCCGGTTGACATCTTATACGGAATCTCGAATATGATCGAAATGATAATACAAATATCCGATGGATGGACGACACATTGTATACACACCAGATGGCATGTTTCATAGTTGTTGTTGTTGTTCACGCACACACACACACACACTATAAATACAACACACATCTGGCAAAATAATTAAATTTTTTTTTCCCAAACATGAGAATATAATACGAAGAATCGAATCGAAGAAATAAAATGAAGAAAGAAAGAAAAAAAAAGTCAATGATGATGAAAAACATCATAAAATGTTAATGTTCATGTGATCAAAAACAAAAACAACGTGATAAAAATGATTTCAATCATCATCAGCATCCAATAAACCTTTTCGTTCATCATTTCAGTTTTTATAATTAAAAAAAAAAAGAATGAATGAATGATTGAATGAATTTCCATTTGTTTTCAAACAAACAAACAAACAAAATGAATGATGATGAGAACAACGCAAGCAAAACGAACGAAAGAAAATTATAAAAAAAAACTTATTTAATCTTCCGCTTGATTTCCATCTTTTGTTTCTATTCACAACATTTTCCTGTCACCAAACAACCAACATACACACACACACACAGACACATACATTATATAATGAATTCTGAATTTAGATGAAGAAAAAGCACTAGCTAACTAAGCTATCACAGCACCTAATAATAATAAAAAAACGAGAACAAAATTGAATCAGATCGAATCGAATTGACGAATAGAAATCATCAAAAAATAAAATGAAATAAATAGAAATTGATCAAAATCAAAAATCAAGAATTCAATCATTGTAATTGAAAACAAACACGCACCCACCCACACATGGTATGTGTTGTTTTTTTTTTTAATTTTTTCATCTGTCAAAAACCAAATGTGGGTGGATGGGTGGCTTTTTTTTTTTTTTGGTTCCACATCACCTTTTTTTTTGGTTCCACATCACCTTTTTTTTTTTTTTTTGTTATTGTTATTTTCCAATCACCAACCGGATATTAGTATTTTGTTTATATTAAAAAAATATCTACCCATTTCTTTGATAAACGGTCAATATATCTATAGTCTTTCCAAAATCAAGTCAAACCATTTCCGTTGTTGTTATTGGTATTTTTTTTCATGAAATAAAATTTCAATTTTTTTTTTGTTTCCATTTCATGTTGATGAAAAATTCAAAAGCCTAAAAATTGTGTAGAGAGCCAATAAATAAAAATAAGGACAAACACCTAATATATAATGATTAATAATGAAATGAATGTATCAAAAAAAAAATTGATTTATTTTCTTCTCTTGATTGAATAAAATTAGACCGGATATTTACGCCACGAAGTATAGATGATACCTGTCTGTCTGTATGTCAATGTGTCAGAACTTGTTCAGTTCATCATCATCATCAATTCCATCATAAAATTGGTTTTTTTTGATCTATTTATCCAACGAATAATAATTACCGATTTGACATGTTTCAACATCGATAAACAAGTTAAGATTATTATATATTTTGTTTTACTAAGTCATCGAACGAAATCTTCGGGCAATTTTTTTTTGGTTTATTTTTGGCATTCAAATGTTCGTTTTTTTTAGGAAAAAATTACAAACTCAGGTGCTGTTAGCTGATGTTTGTTTTAAAGTCGCTGCTGCCATCTACTTTCAAAAATAATAACTAATTTACATTTAACCGATCAATCATTTTTTTTTGTTTTTAAATTCAATTCAATTATTATTTATTAAATACACATTTTATTTGATAAAATTAAACATTGGTTCTTTATTACAACAACAGCAACAACAACATTCTTCTGTAATGACGTGGTGTACATGAAAAGTTCAATTAGATATGATTCTAATTATAATTTTCGTCTTAATGAATAGAACAGGACACACATTTGCAAATAGAGAGAACACTATCAACCAGATAAATCATTGTCTTCGTAAAGGATTTGATCATAAAGTTCGGCTTTTACTAATCTTCCAGCAAAATATCGGCCATTTAATGCATCACGTGCTTTGACTGCCTCTGTTGTATATTTAATTTGATTAATTGATGAATTATTTATTGAAATAAATACACTTACCCAATAGACTGGTAAATTCAACAAAGATTTTAACAATGATATCTGCTTCATCATCTTCGGATTGGCTTTCCTGATAGATGATTACTTTTTTGACAATGCCATATTTTCCACATTCATCGGTCACTTCGGATTCCAATTGGTCATCAATATCCTCGTGAGCGACCATATTTCTCAAGACGATCACTCTTGACTATGAATACGTTGTTTAATTAATCCATCAAAATAATTTAAACACATTGACATACCTCATTTTTTCTCATCAATTTATGCATCAATACTTGACGAGCATTCGATCCTTTTATAACGACATTTTCTTGTTGCTGTAAAGTTTGTGGTTCTTCTTCTTTTTGAATCGTTTCATTTGATTTGTCGTTTTGTTGATCCAATTTTCGGCTGCCATCTTCATTTTGGTTGACAGGCAAGTTATTCGAAGCGATAGTAGCAGCGGAATATATTTCATTATTATTTGTACCATTAGTACTTGTACCATTTGGGCGTCCATTTTTTATCGACAAAGGAAGTGTCGTAACCAAAGTGGGTGGAGGTATTGTGACAATTGGGGGTACATTTGTGGGATAGGTTGCTCCTGTGATCAAACCAGGTGCGATTTGGGCGGTGACTGGTTGTGAAGAAAATCCCGAAGTGAAAGTCGTTTGTGGAGCATTCGATGTAGTTGTGCCAGTTGAATTAGCCATTGCATCCATGGCCTGAATTTTGGCGGTAGCTGCGGCAGCTGCAATAGCTGCTGCTGTAGGTAATGAAGCAGTTACTTGTGGAGTGCTTGCTTCAAAACAATTCGGTGGTGTTATGGCTCTTCCCACTCTCAGATGTTGACCAGCCAAATCAAAATAATTCATAGCTGATATTGCTTCAACCATTGACTGTTCAGATTCATATTCTGAAAGATCATAATTACCAAGTGTCAAAAAATTATATAATTAATTACAACACATACCAATGTAACCATATCCTTTGTGTTTTCCTGATTGAGATTGAGCCAATTTACAAGAATTTATTTTGCCAAATGCTTCAAATACTGATTTTATATCCTGTTCGGTCAACTCTGGATGAATGGATGCTACATAAATCCGACTAAATGATTTTGCTTCATTTTGAATCTGTTCAATTATCTGAGCAGCTTGAGGCATATTGGATGGACGACCAACTTTTATATTTCTTCCGCCCATCATGAATCCATTCATTTGTTCCAAAGCTAAATGTGCCGCTTCCGGTACTTCGTATTCGATAAAGGCAAAGCCTTTATGTTTCTGTGTACTTGGATCCCATGACATGTTTATTGTTTTTATCGGTCCAAACGGACTAAAAGCTTGACGAACAGTATCTTCTTTGAGCTCGAAGCTAATCGAGCCAACATATATTCGACACATCAATACAAGTGCCTGATGTCGTTGAAGTGAACGTTGCTGTTGTTGTTGATAAGCGATCGTCTGTTTCTCCAATACTGATTTTATTGACTGTTCCATAGCATATTTTTTCGCCTTCGCAATCGCTTCTTGTTGTTCCGGCGTCAAACGAATCAATGTGGCCGCTATGGCTGATGCTCGAAGTGCACCAGGACCAGCAATCAATGGATGACATTGTTTCGCTGTCAACAAATCTGGCTGCGGAATATCATCTGTTTAGGATTACAAAAAAAAAAAAAAACAATAACAAAATATTATCGTTAATTACTTCATATAAAAATGAAAGTTAAAAATTTATAAGCTGAAACGAATATAAACAAAAAGTTGACTCTTGAATGACAAATCCAAATGTTATGATTTGACATAATCAAGAACAAATTCAATGAATAAAATTAATTATTTCATTGTCATATACAGTAACACCATTCTGGTTCTGCTTGAGTGAAACAAAATAACCCAATAAATCAAAAAATGGGATGTCGTATATATATATATGATTATTACCATTCGACCAATATAAAGCACATTCAAATTACTACAATTTCATCAAAATCATCATCAGCTAAAGAACGAAAAAAAAATGAAAAAAAAAAAAAGAAAGAATATGATCATTTCAAATTATAGATAATCAAAGAAAAAAGATAATTTTCGTCGATAAAAACACATCAATGTTCGATGATTAAAATATTTGGATCATCATCAACAATTATCATCATCATCATAAAATTATGACTACTAACAACGAACGCGCTTTTTAGATTTTTTTTTGGTTGTCACAATCACAAAGATCACAACAATTACCGCAGGTTGTATATACATTTTTTTAAGCAATTATGTTCCCATCATTCAATGTTCAAGTTATGGGAGTCTGAATGAGAAAGTGTACAAGTCTGTTGGAGAGAGAGAGAGAGAGAAAAAAAATGATACAAGAGAAAAGAAAGAGAATAATAAAATTGATTATTAAACAAAAATCCATTTTTCGTCGACACAAAAAGGTTCAAATTATTGAAAAAATTTAAATTTTAAAATTAATATAATAATTGTTGACAACAATTATTCCCGCCATTATCGATGTATATGTGTGTAAGTGGTAAAGTTGTAAATGGTATAATATCGAATTCATTTTCAAATTGCTCGTGTTATAACGAAATAAAATTGATTTAGACATGGATTTAAATACCTTCTTTAGGAATCCGCATCATTTCCATGTTGAAATGATTTTTCGAATGACTCATTATCGTTATCTCTTTCTTTTTAAATCGATTTTTATCAATCAGAAAATAAATCTACAAAACTTGATGTGGTGTATCAAACAAATAAAAAATGACTGCCGCAACCACAAAAAACCTACAAAACATTCGTCAAGAATGAGCCAATGACACTATTTTACAACAACGATCAACATAGATTAATATAGCCGATTCTTTTTTTTAACACATGCTGCCGCTGGTTTTTCCATTCTCATCAATGATATATTTGGATCGATGAAATTTTTAATTGAAACGATGGGAAAAGCAAAAAAATGGGTAGTTTGCCTCGGTTATTCGGGACGTGGCTATTATGGAATGCAAACACAACGAAGGTATTATTCTTTTGTTTATGGTTGAGTTGAAATTTTAATATTTTTCATATCCGAAAACAGAGATAACAAAGTTGTCGACGATTTGCCAACAATCGAAAGTGAATTATTAAAGGCATTTCTTCAGACCGAACTTATCAATGAAAATGAATATCATAGTCCTAGTTTAATGTATTTTCAGCGTGCTGCTCGTACTGACAAAGGAGTTTCAGCTTTAAAGCAAATTATTTCAATGAATTCCAGTGCTGATCTTAAATTGTATTTGCCCAAAATCAATGAAAAATTACCGAATCAAATTAGGATTTTTGGTGCCAAACGATCGACAAAATATTTTGATAGTAAAAATTTCTGTGATTGTCGAACATATAGCTATTTAATGCCTTCGTTCACAATTGGTCCAAATCTCGATGAATCATATCGTGTTTCCAATGAAATGATTGAAAAATTTAATTCCATTTTAAAACAATACGTTGGCACTCATAATTTTCATAATTTTACATCGCAGAAAAAACCATTGGATCCAAGTGCAAAACGTTATATAATCAGCTTTGATTGTTCACAACCTTTTCTATTGAAAAAAAATAATGATGACGATGAAAAACAAATGGAATTTATTGTGGCTCGCATTAAGGGTCAAAGTTTTATGCTGCATCAGATTCGTAAAATGATTGGTTTAGCCATTTCCATCATGAGAGGATTTGTCGATCAAGATGTTATTAAACGTTCATTTTCCATAGATCGAATAGACATACCAATGGCACCGGGTCTTGGTTTGATGTTGGAAGAAGTACATTATGAACAATATAATAAAAAATATGGCGGTGATGGTATTCATGAGCCAATCGTTTGGGATGAATTCAATGATGAAATATATGATTTCAAAAATAAATTCATTCATCCAGAAATAGTGGCAACCGAATTGAATGAATCATCAATGTTACAATGGTTAAATACATTACATATTCATACATTCGATATACGTAATCATGATGGTAAAGTTGCCGTAACGAATAAAAAGAAACCAATATCCGAAATGAATGGTGAACAAGTCAATGATGATGATGATGATGATAATGGCGATTCACCATCAACATTTTGTTCAACAGGAAACAAAAAAATCAAAATTGAAAATGAAAACCACACGATAGACAAATGTATGTGAATATATTATAATAATGAATTCATTTAAATAAATTTTTTTTTTATTTTTTGTAAAATATTTTTTCAACAATCTATATATATTATTATATTATATAATTTCATCATTATTAATTAAATAAAACGAGAAAGACAAAAACAACGTATACGTGTTTGTTGTTGTTGTTGGTTAAAAATATTGTGTGTTTTGTTTCAAATAAAAAATATTGCGCGTGTGTCTGTGTATGTGTGTATTTGGTCATCAAATCAAATTGAATAAAATAAAAACAAAATTTTGACGATGATGGAAATGAAATTATAAAAACAGATGTTTTGAACTGGTTTTGTTTTGTTTTTTGTTTTTGGTTTAACGTCATGTTGCTGTTCAGTCCAAAACTCTAATGATCAATACCATAACATTAACGAAACCTTTAACAAATTTTCTTTGTACTGAACGTTTCTTTTTCTCACTAAAACCTTTTTCATAGCTCAATGATTTGGTTAATCTTGGCTGTATAATTGTGGCTTGATTATCATCATTATTGTTATTATCACAATCAATGTTTGTTGATTCGTAATGTCGCGTTATTCGCATTTTGTACGGTTTCATTGCATCAGGCAGTTCAATATTATTATCGTTCATCATTATATTCAAAAGAATTTGCTTTTCATCACTATTCAATATTTCATCTTTGTATGGGCCATCCATAAATTCATCTCGTTTCATGATCAGATAACGAGGTAGATAAATTAAATCACCCAATACTTGTCGTTTATTTTCAGCAGTCAATTCTAATCGTTGCTGTTTACATTGATGATTGGCCCATCGACAAAGTGCATTATAAACATCCAATTCGGATGAAACATTTAATGTGTCTCGTGAAAGAATTGCTACAACCAATTCTGGATTTGAAAAAAGTAAAAACTCTTCAGAATCAAGAATTTTGTTGCCATCATAATCAATGATATCGAAACAACGACGAACAAGTTGCATGATTGGATCTAGTAATTCTTTGGAAATCATCTGATGTGATGGTGAGAATTTTTCCAATGGAAGTATTTGAAAATAATGTTTGAAAAATGCCAATTGTTTAATAACATTTTCATTATTACATTTAACCAAAAGGAATGTAAGACAATGTTTTGACAATGAAAACATTTGAAAACGATTAGATGCTTCGAAAAGTTTCAATGTTTTTTCGATGGAATTTAATGTCAATTCTTCAAGATAGGCATATCTGTAATAAAATGATAATAAATAATGTGTAATATTCATCATCATTGAATATGGTTCAAAAATGGAAAACTTACTTGAGAATGATTTCGAAAATCTCTGGATCACACCAATCAATTTTAATCTCTTTGTTATTGTTGTTGTTTGGATCATTCGTAATGGTTGCAAAATATGGACTAATATCTTTTAAGAAAGCGCTATGTGCTGGAAATCGCCATAATTTATTCTTATCGGGTCCAACAAGAAATACAATATCGGCTTCTTTTTCATTATTAAACAATTGATGGCCAATACTCGGTGCAGATGGAACAACAGACATGATATTTTCATTAACAAATGGTGATTGAATTCGATTCAAAATTGGTTTGCTGTTATTATCGACAACAAACGATGATGACCCATCAGTTCGTGCACGATGAGCAGCAATAAGATTACTACCAGAATCGATCGTCGAACCAGTGATGACAATCGATGATTGTAATAAATTCGAATTCATAGATGACATGATCGAATTCGAATAATTTTCACGTTGATTTTGCGTTGAATTTTTTTGAAATTTTTTGTTCCATTCGTTTTTATTGTTGAAAAAATGTTGACACATCTATTTTATTTTTTGTTTTGTTTTTTGTTTGGGCAAGTTAAAAAATGGATGGAACATCAAAATCAAAATTAAAATCGGAAAAAAATACAAGTTTTTTTTACAATTCTACTGCTGCAAAATATTCAGTCTATGAGTGGACCACGAAACAGCAAACCTCGTGCATGACCGCGCGAGCTTTGTTGGTCCCTCCCCGGATCTTTGACACACACATTATCCTTTGTCCACACACACATTGTCCTTCGACACACACACACACACACTTTTTGTCTTTCGTCAAAAAACCACGTTTTTCCACAAAACACTAAAAAACCACGTTTTTTGCACACAACACACACTCTCGTTCTTGCTCTCGACCAGATCGGTCATATTCATTTCTTTTTTATTGTCTTAATAAAATTATTCGTTTTTTCAACCGACATTCTCGAGTTTATTCAACACTACGCACTAATCAATGGATTTTGACGAAAAAAAAAATCATCTCTATAGTGCAAGTCATCGCTGCTGAAAAAATTTTTTTTCCACCCAATCAAATTTGTCGATGAATAAATCTAGTTTTTTTTTCGGAGAATCTCTCTAATCCATTTAGATCATCATCATCTATATTGTCAAATCTGTTGACAGTATAGTGTTTTTATCATCTCGTGTATCATATTTTTTTGTGTGTATGATTTTGATCTTCAAAAAAAATCCTATTATTGTTGTTGTTGTTGTCGAATTTTTGAATTTGCCTTGAATTTTGTTCATTCGTATTTCTCTATTACCCGAAACGGCGTAATAATGATGATCTTGAATTATTTTTAGCCAATGAAAAAAAAAAAAATTCAATTTTCTTTACATTCACATAAACAAAACAAAAAAAAAAAGAACCCTTGAAAAAGAATTAACGCGCCTCTCTCTCTCTCTGGTTGGCAGCAACGGAAAAATTCATCATTCATTCAGTTTATTTATTGTGTAATCAGGTAAACACACACAAGCACAGAATTTTTTTCGTTTCATCTCCATTTCATAAGTTTCTATTATTATTAACCTTGAATTATCATTATTACAGCAAAACATTAGAAATTCGTTCGATTCATATTTACATATGAATTACACTGGAAAATTGCAATCGATTCTGTAAGAAGAAATTTTTTTCTGTTTTTTTTCAATCATCAATCAATCAATTTTTTTTTTTGTTGTTGCTATTATTACTGCCACTACCTTATTCTGGAAATGTTTTTTTTTTTTTGGTTTCACTCACAATTCTATAGATTGTGTGTGTGTGTGTGCGATGTGAATTGATGATATACATGAATTGTGTGTGTGTACACATGCGTCATTGAAAAAAAAAATGTTGAGGGTTCAAAAAATTGGGCATAGCAGCAAGAATTTCTAAATGGGAATAGAGTGGATAAGATTGGGCCAAGGCCATTTCATCTACCCCAGATTGTCTTAGGTCACTAAAACACCAGATAGGAATAGGTCAACAGTGGTCGACATAACTAGTGTCAAGGCCAACACCACCACCACCACCATTGATCTATGTGTGTCTGTGTGTGTGTGTGTGATGCTTTGATGTGGAGGTAACGAATTCGAATGTTTTTTTTTTTTTTTGACTTACCGGTGAACAACAATTGGGACAATATCCAGGAATAAATTTTGTACTACATAATTTGCATCTTTTATGTAGAAAACTATGAAAAAACATTCGTTCTTTTTGTTTCTGGGCCATTAAACGATCGGTATCATCACGTGAATTGCGACAACGATTCATATTACGACCATTTTCTTTTGACATTGTAATCATGATTATTGTTGTAATTGCACTGGTGATGATGTGATGATGATGATTTTATTAAATTAAATTGAACGATTCAATGAATGTGAATTTGTTTATCAATATAATGCAGGCGCTTGTATAATTCATGTACGGATTGTTTTGTTTATGCGAAAGAATCAATTTTTGTACACAAAATCAAAATTCTATTGGCTACAAATGATCACAAAACGAAAATTTTATATAAGTGAAAATCGTATGTACCGTCGTTTGTTCACCAAAAAAAACGATCCGTACCGAACAAAGTATTACCGACGAATGAACACTACAGAGATAACTCATCATCATCATCATCATATGATGGTTGTTGTTGATGGTGATGATGATGATGACAATATAACCGCCGTGTATGTTCAATATAACATCAACTGTTGTTTTTTGTTGTTGTTGTTGTTTGCTATTTTATTATGAAAATAAAAGATGAACAATTTTTAGCTAGTGTGTTTGATGGTGTGAAAGGCATTTTGCCAAAAAAATGAGGTCCAACAACAACAGCAACAACAAAAAAAAATCCCGTGTATTCGTAAACGATACGATTCTATATCGGTGTGTGTGTGTGTGTTGCATACTTCTAAGACATAGACTTCTACGATGACGACGACGACGACGATTCCTATAAATTTCGATTCAAACTCTAATCTCATGAATCCAACAAACAAAATTTTTTTTATCTACAACTACATTTTTGTCAATTAAAGAACTACACACGACACGACTCCACACAACTAGGGCCACAGCAGCAGTGGCAACAAAAAAAACATAGGCAGTAGCAACCGGAACTAGTTAATATAAAACTATGACGTGTGATTCGGTTATGATTATAAAATGAATCAACACAACAACATCGTCGCAGATCATCATCATCATCATCATCATCGTTGATATATGAAGATCATTGCCAAACCGAAAAATGAAAAAAAAAGACAACAGCAACATTGTGTATCCGGGCTGCTAATACATTTTCATTGGAAGACCAAAAAAAAAAAAAAAAAAAAACCAATTCCACTACCATCTCCGAAATTGATCCATAATAAAGAAAATTATATAGTGGTTGTGGTTGATAGTGGTGGTAGAGGCGTATTTATATATCTGGATTATTTTTCAATTTTGTTGTTGCAGGTTTTTTTTTCACTAGATTATCTCCACAAACACAAAAAAAATGACAATTTTTCATTCCAATTTCAATAATTTCTAGTAATGGACAAATAAAAAAAATTTCAATTCTCAATTGGGCCATTGACCTGGAAAATTTTATCAATAAATGATGATCATAATCATTAGAAATAAAAAAAAACTTTACTTACCTTGTCGACCATTTCAGCATCGATGTGACCAATGCATATATACACACACACATACACAGAATTGATGATACGAATGATTACATCTGGGCCGTGTGGATAGTGGTTGTTACGTGTGTTGCATTTGTTTGTTTGTTTGTTTTTTCTTTTTTCTTGGATTCAATTTTTTTTCTCTTTCAATAATCACATCAAGAGATAATAAACAACCACTTGATATTTTTTTTTTTTTCGCAAATATTTATAGAACAAAAATAAGAATCAAGAATGGGAAAAAAAACAATAATAACAACAAAAGCAAAACAACCAAGCTAACCACACTGCCAAATTTTAATCATTCTGAAAATAATTTTTTTTTAACAAAACGAAACGTGTGTGTGTGTTGTTGTTGATTGCTGAAATTTTCATCGATTATCAATAAATTTATTGGATAAATATTTTTTATAAAAAAAATGATGACAATTTTAATCAAATTTTAATAGAAAACAATTTTATAAATAAAAATGAATCATGCAAATGGATTTGGAAAAAATAAAAAAAAAGAAAATGTTAGTCAAATATATTATAACAAAATTCATTAACACAAGGTAATCGTGGCAAAAATTTTTTTTTCCTGATGATGGAACATTGGGTATTTGTATTGATAGGAATTATTAGGAAGGGTTTGCCCAAGACTATTTGCGCTCCAAATTGTTGCATTTACACACAAACATATATGGCACAAATACACCCACACACACACACACACACAATTCATTTGAATGAATCATATGAATGCATATTGGCCAATTGAATGATCAAATAAATGTAAACGCACATTTTGGAACGTAACCAGTCTAAGCATTTGGTTATTTGCATTAGGTTGTTGGCTGGTTGGTTTGGTTTGAATGTCAATCAATGTCTCTCTTTTTTTTCAGCAACAGCAGTAGCAGTCGATATCGTTGTCGTTTTTTGTATTCGATAACTCATCTAAAACATGGATTTTTTTCGTAAAAAATAAAAATTCATCCACTCATACTCAATAATAATTAGAGAGAAGGAAAAGAATTAAAAACTTGAACAAAAACAAAATTCGATAATACCTTTTTTGTGAGTGTATTTTCAATTCAAATCAACAACAGAGAAAAAAAAATGATCAAAATGTTAAATGTTGAGACTAATTTATATAGTAAATCTACCAGTGAGAAATGACAAACAAACAAACGAAAAAAAACAGAGATGTAAAACAAAAAACGACACGATACGACAACCAAGTAAATGACACATAGACACACACACACACAATTGACATAAATGTGACAACAGATTGAAAACATACATTGATTGTTTTGGTCATAAATAATTAATAATTGGTCCATAAAAATAACAACAACAACAAGAGCAGCCAATAACCAAAGATTCAACAAATGTGTGTTGAACATGGGGTGGAAAAAAAAGAGATATGAAACATGCATAATAAATAGAAAAATGATGAAAATTTTGAAATGAAAAATATGCTGACTTTTCATCATCATCATTATAAAGTCAACGTGTCTATATTTTGGGTTTCTATGGAATAATCACACTAATGATGATATGATTTCAGGGGTCGGTTGGTTGGTTGAATGGTTGGTGGGAAAAATATTTGAGAACAAAAAAAAATGAAATAATTTTTTGCAACAACAAAAATATCAAACAAACCTTGAATACTTATCCAGATATAAATTTTGTTTTCTGAAACGATGCATTTGTTGTCCAGTTTGACAGAGATACCACCAGCTGTGTTCACATGGATTTTTTTTTGCAATCAAAAAAAAATCACATTTTTTTTCATTTTCACATTTTTTTCTTAATTCGGATGTGAACCCAGAGTGGCACTCGGTCAACCTGGAAACATTTTATCAATTTATAAACGAAAAAACAGAATTTTGAACAAAGTCAAATTCAAATGATGAAAAATGAAAATCCTGTAAAAAAAATTGATTTTTTTTTTTTTTGATTTACACCATAAACACGCAGACATATTTATATACAGACAGTGACAAAAATGATGATTGTCATTATTTGAATTCAGAAACAAAACTCCCATTCCGATAATCATTTCATTTTTTGTTGATTTATATTTAGATATAAACGGAATCAACAAAACAAAACAATCGAACAAGAAAAAAAAGGAACAAAAAGAATAAAAAAAAATGACAAAACACAAAAAATAAGAATACATGCAAGCATACTAATTGAATGTGAAAATGATCATCATAACAATTAATCAGATAAAAATCAAAACAAAACAAACAAAATCAGATCATCATTGTATTTTGTAGAATTGAAAAAAAAAATTAATTGGCAATCTGACTATTATCTGATGTTGTGGTTTCCAAACAACCAACCAAACAAATAGACAAACAAACTGAATCGATAAATGATCAATAAAAGAATTCTTTTTCAAATATAACCAAAAAAATCGTAACAATGAAAAGAGAGATGATAAAAAAAATAGACAATTGTCAATTGCGCTTACCTGGGTTTTTTTTGATTGATTGATTGATTGATTTTTTTTTCTTTTCGGTTGCAATCACATTCAATTGTTGTCTTTTAAAACAAATCACTTTTTGTTAAATCAAATTATTCATGTATCGATGCTGTGTAGTATGAATGTGTGATTGGCTTAGACGACCAGGATTTTACATAAAATGTAAACGCAATTGAAAAAAAAAGAAAATTCAGGTGTACATATTACACACACACATTTGTATTTTGTCATTCACACACACACATATATATACAAACAATGTATGTGATTCGATGGTTTGCCATTTTTTATTTTCATATCATCATCATCATCACGATGATGATGATTATGGATTGATTGATTTGTATTTGAATTTTGGCTGCAGCTGATGATTGAATATGATCAACATTTTCTAATTTTCGTTATAAAAAAAAAGTTTCACAAGAAAAAAAAATTCAAATAAAGTCCATGATGATCAAACATAGTGTTTAACATTAGGTTGACATTGCAATCATAACAAAAACAAAAATCCATTTAGAAAAAAATGAAATTTTTTAAAAAAAAAACTTTAAATTATTGCTGAATCTTATAGACAAATAATAATAATAATTTGTTTGTGCATCCACAAAACAAGAAAATAATAAGCAAGAGAGAAAGAGAGTGAGTGAGTGACAGATGAATATAGAAAAATTAATTATGAGGAATGTATCTGCGCGCATCCAATAACTTTTGGTGGATAAAATCATTTTTTTTTTTAGAGAAAACCAGAAAAACAAAAAAAATCAAAGTAGCCGTAATATACACATTGATGAATTTAGCATTTTTTGGTTGGCGTAAAAACCTCATCCACTCAATACATCTATCCAATATGTGTGTGTGTGTGTGTGAAAACTTTAATATTTTAAAAACAAAACAAAACAAAAAAAATTACCATTCATAAACGTAATATATATATATAACAAAATCGCAATCGACTTTTCAAGATCCAAAAAGAATCTATAATTCTAAATTCTAAATTCATTTTGGAATCATAAAAATTTATTATTAGTGTGCGTATCGCAAGCTGTTGTCGTTGTTGTTGTTATTGATAATTTTTTTAGTTTACGCGTTTCATAAAGCCTAAATCATTTCCACATCACCATCAACAATGAATGATGATGATGACAACATTGACATCGCCAATCACCATCACCATTGCCATTGCCATCATCATCAAAAAAAAACAAACCTACGCAGTTATATTTTCAATTGGTTTTAGTTTGGTTTGGTTTCTTTGGTACTCTTCATCATCATCATCATCATCATCATTCACATTGGATAAAGACGAAAATTATGGCTCGCTGTATGTGTACATGTGTATGGCACAAAAAAAAATTGGTCGCACTTTTTTAGGTGGATCAATGTTGTTGTTGTTGTTGTTGTCGTCGTTGTTGTGTAATTTGCGTGTCTGTATCTGAGAGAGAGAGAGAGAGAGAGAGGTGTACCTTATAAAGCGTTTCATTTTTTTTTGTAGAAAGAAAGAAAAAGAAAAAAAAATTCACTTGTATTATCAACAACAACAAAACCAACTCCATGTACGCACAAAACACATACATACCGAAAAAGCTAGAGCGAGAGAGAGAGAGAGACAGACGCCATGATTATCCTAACCACCAACAATAATTTTCAAAGGTTTGTTTGGTGTGGTGGACGCCATATACATCTACTTTTTACTGATTATTAACAGAAAAAAAATCGCCATTCTTTTTCATGTGTATATGTGTGTGTGTGTGTGTGCGTTTTGGTGATGATGGTCGTGGTGCGGGCGTGTATTATTTCATTTGTTTTTTTTTCTTTTGGGTTTCAAAAGAAAAATATACAGCATTTCATATACACACACAGAGACACACACTCTGTCCTTATGGATTCATATTGGATTTTGTTGCGACTGCGGCTGGTTGGTTGAAAATTTTATTTCTTGAACAAGCTAGCTATTGAATTTGATGTACATGTGTGTGTACACGGTTGGGTAGATTTTTATTTCCAAAGAATCTTTTCAAAAAACCAAACTAAACGAGAAACGAGTAGGACCAAAGTACATGTAGTGTGTGTGTGTGTGTGTGTGTGTGTGTGTAGAAACCCTCGATCCATCCATCCAGCATTGATCAAAAAAAACTAAAAAAACGCATTTTCATCAACCATCACCCAACCGGTGGTGGTGAACCAAGTAGAGAAAGAAAGAGAGAATGCGACCGGTTCGCTTTCATGAAAAGACGTTTGAAAAAAGCAGAAAAAAATTTGATTTTGTTTTGTTGTCGCGTTCGTTTCAATGATGATGATGATGAAGATGGAGGTGATGATGCTGCTGCTACAGCCAGAAACAAGCAGCAACAACAACGACGACAACATCAACATTGAAAAAAATGACGTCAATTTGAATGACAACAAAAACATTCGCGTCGTTACTAACCAAACACAAACGATGATGATGATGATTGGAGGTTTTGGTCCAACCAACAACAATAATGAGCAACAAAAAACCCAAAACAATCACCAGATATCAAAAAAAACAGACTATCTCGAGAATCATAAGAATCTAGAATCATATCATCGTTATTGAAAAACAAAATAAAATAAATCAGCTAACAAGTGACCTCAAATGACATTATGGTGTAATTGTCATGGTGATAATAATGGTGTTTATTATTTGTATAAAAATAGAGATTTTCAACAACAACGACTCTATTTTACGAGGAGAAGACATTCGAAAAACAAAATTCCATAAACTTACCCTTATTTGATGATGACAGCTGAACCAAAAACACACACACACACAAATAGATTTACTGATTTGATGACAAAATCTTGTTGATATCAAATCATGTCTCATTTTATAAGGTCATTAGGTTATAGTTGTCATGTAGTCATCATTTTTTCGGATAATGAAATAAAAACAGTAACAGCTTTTTCTTCTTCTTTGTCGAATGACAACAACAACAACAACAATTTGATTAAATGATGAGTGAAAATGGAAAAAAACAAAATTCAATGATAATTGAATGAACAAAAAAAACATTTTTCGTCGTAAACACAATGTCAATATATGATAGAAATTGGGCTATTTTGAAATATTTGATGAATTTCAATTTGAAAATATTCACATTTATCGAATATGTCATCACATCGATAATGTTAAATAGAATAATTTCAATCTTGATGAATCGAATGACAATGGTCATTCGATGTGATAATGATGAAAACAGTGGATAATAATGCGAATAATAATTCTTCATCGTTGTAGAATCATTGAAAATATAGTGCGTGTTTGTTTTGTTTGTTGTTGTTGTGTAGCACACTCTATCATACATGCATACATACATACACAAACACAGTAGAAAGAAAACAGCCATCGTGGCGATGTAAGAATGGACGCCAAGTTCGGGAATAATAATGATGATGATGATGATTAGAATCATACCCTGAGATCATTGAAGGCGCCGGGTGGTATAGAATGGTATAGAAACATACTACCACCACCACGATATATAACAATGGTACGAATAGGCATAAAATTTGCGACGAATGTTTTTGAATTCAACATCATCATCTTCATCAACTTTGGTCTTTCTTGTGTATCTCTGGTTATATGATGGTAATCAAAGTGATGATGATGGTGGTGGTGGTGGTAGCATAATGGACACTTGTACATCAAATGGCCATTTGTGTATATGGTTCGTGGTATGAATTATACACGAACTTTTTCTACTACGATATTTGAAAATGGTACCAAAGAAAGTGAAAAAAAGGCTTGCCATCATCATCATATATATAAATGATATGTCCGTCTTCACATCATGGGCAGAAGCATAATATTAAACAATACAAGAATTACATTCTCCATCATGGTGTCTTGTTCATCAAAATGCTTGTTGTTGTATAACATACACTATAGTAGTAATAATCATGCACAATTCGATGATTCGGAGTTGAATATTCGCCAAGAATCGCCGTTGATGGTGTTGCAACGAACCACTTCCAATATATTCAAAAAAAAAAAACCAGATCGTGACGCCTAAAAATTCAATAGAAAGAAGAAATACGCGCAATTATTATTATTATATAATGATGGCGTCTCATAATATTTACCATGATAATAATAATGGCGCGTTGGCGTTTCCACTATCAATATATACGTGTGTATGTAATATCAATTGGCAAAACTACTACATGAATTCGAGCATGAATTTTTCTCAATAAAAATATTACATCGCCATACAAATAAAAGCTGATTGAACAACATGAAAAAAATGCGTAGTTATCATCATGGTGAATAAATAAAACTTGGTTTGAATTTGATGAAAAAAAAGTTGCTACCATCATCATCACCACTTTGGTCTAGCTGCATTTCATGTGTGATGGGGTGGTTGATTTTCATCGTTGATACACACACACACACACATTCGGATAGCAACATGGAACCATGATGATCAGTTTTCAGATTCTATTGTTTAACAATGCCTTTTTTCGATTATGATGCAATCCAATGTAATTGTAAAATTCTTTTTGTTCATTTTAGCAATAAATTGGCGTCATTGGAACCCAAGAATAAAAGAATTGCACAAGATTGCTCCATTGTAGATTGTGTGTATAGGAATGAAAAATTGAAATGAATTTTCAATTAAAGCTTATGATATTCATTGGAAATAGGAGTAGTATGTAGAAAAAGGCTTGCGCCTGTAAATATTCTTGATAATCATGATTTTTTTTTTGATTCCATAAAACAACTTGTACTTGAGCAATTCTTGATTTGATTGTATTTCAATGATGATTTTACACCTGCTGCTGCTGGCGATATGATGATGATGATGATGATGTGGAATCATGAAATTCATGCAATTGAATTCCATTGACAGAATGATTGATATGTTTGATTACACACACACACACATCGTAGCTTGTAGATAGATTCAGGACAAATTATTAGCTCACGAACTTTACGAACGTCAAAAAAAAGTTCATTACACCATCATCATTAGTGCAAAAGGGGTAGGATTATTCTTCATTTTTTCCCGAAACGTTTTCGATTTATAATTTTGATTCGCGGGTTGGCCAATCAACGAAAAAGATAGATCGAAAAAAAATTTCCATTTTTCTAATGAAATTTGGCAGCTTAATAAAAATATAAAAATGCAGTGAAAGTGTTGAATATTACATAGCATCCTCATCATCGATGATGATTATCATGATGCTGGCGATGGTGGTGGTGGTGGTGGTTGACCTTTTTGATTTTTTTCTTTTCTTGTCTTTCTATCTAATTTAAAATTCAAAAATGTTGGCAAACAACATTGACATTAGAAAATAGAATCTTGTTTGAATACCAATATTTCTGTAGTATTTGTTTCACGTTAAAGTCTGAAGGAATCTTTGCATCCATTGAAACCAAAATTTCGATTAAAACCATGAACAAAAAAGGCAAAGACAGAAAGAAGAAACAGGTACGGGGCTCAATCATTTTCAAAAAAAAAATTGATCGACACGGCAAATTTTGAAGGTCATCATATAGAAATGATGATGTCTGCTGTTGTATGTTGTCGAGACGTGAAAGTAGCCATCATTTTTTTCTTTGGCGTTGATGACAAGTAAAGTGTTGTGTTGTGTGTGTTGTGTGTGTGTGTCTATGCCAACACTAACACAAGTGGATAAATTGACCATTCATCCATTTCGATTGGCATCAATGGATTGTGTATTACAATCGCAACAATGAAATTATCCAGGTTTTTTTTCTCGTTTTTAGCCAAAAAGAAATGTCCTTGATTCATAGACTGTTTGTTTGTTGTTTGCATTGAACAATAGCTATTATATAATGGTGAAAGGAATTATTTCCAAAAGAATCTGAAATTGTTGCTACCATCTTGAATGTATCATGAATATTTCAAATTATTCTATTCTATCCAAATTGATCATCAATGAACAGGAGGGGCAGTTTGTCTGTGAAACAAAAAAATTTAAAGAAAAAGAAAGATTTTTTTTTTTTAAATGAACATTTCAAGAATCGCGATTGTATAACATTGTAACACATGTTGAGATGTATGTATGGTGGTGGTTGTGGTGGCCACCATCAAATATCATCATCAACATAATCAGCCAGCTGAAACATACCATTGTGTATTGGTGAAGAGGTTGAAAACCAGAATTGTTAATGGCCATGTTACCATCATCATCAACATTGTGTCTTTGGGTATAGCAAAGAAAAAGTTTGCCTTGAAAATATCAGGTTTTCCAATGAAAATGAACAAAAACACAAATGCTTGATAATTTGCGTGCTTCAATATGATTCAATATTAATGGAATTATGAAAAAAAATAATAGTGAAAATGATAATGATCATCATATAGAAATTATAGAGAATAGAAAGGCTTACAATTCATTTTTTCTTCTTTTGCAACGAAATAAACGTCAGAATGAATGAAGATTCCATCTGGAGAGGAGAGACCTGGGCGCACCAACCCTCAATGTCAATAGTTTTCATTTTTTTTTTTTTTTTTTTGTAAAAAGTGAAAAAAGAAATGGCAACCATTGTTTGATGTGGATTCACCATCATCAATTGGCAATTACACACACACACATACAAATAATTCGTAAATTGTAGACATAATGTTGTTGAACTTGTTTGAATCCATTATATGTGGTTATAATAGATGATGATAGTTGAATGGATTATAATCATAGGTGGGTTTATTTTAGATCCCAATCCCAATTATCATTATGATGGTTATGTAATAATGTCCGAAACAATCAAATTGCTTGATCGCATCAGACTCTTCATCAATTGTTAAAATTAAGAAAAAAAAAATTCGAAATTCTTGAAAATCGTGGGAATTTATTTACGGAAAATTTCTTCGTGAATATTTCACTCATGTTCTGAAAATTTTTCCAAATGTGCACCACTACATGCTTGGTTTTAAAAATTTGAATTTTTTTTTTGGCGAAAAAAAATGGAAAATTCAAAGTAAATTTTTCGGTCTATTTGGTAGTGTTGCAAGTGATAACAACGAATCAGATGTAATCGCTGAACATGATGTCGCAGAATCATCGTGTAACATTGACCAACCAAATCATGGATTATTGGTCAATCGTTTTGTCGAAGAAGTAACGGCCAAACAAGAACGAAAAAATGTAAAAAATTGTTCCATCTGTGAGATTAATATTCATAAATATGTTTGTCCACGATGTGGTACGAAAACCTGTTCGATGAAATGTTCAACAAAACACAAACAATCCACTGGATGTTCAGGAATTCGTGATCAAATTTCATTCGTTCCATTAAAACATTATTCAGAAATTCATCTTAATTCAGGTTTATTATTATTATTTCTGTTGTTTCCACTAAACCTCTAAATCATGATTTCAGATTTTAGATTTCTGGAAAAAGGAATTGAATATATGCAAAATTCGAATCGAATTCTGGACAATAATCCAAAACGTCAACTGTCAACTGTAAGTGTAACAATAACAAGATTGGAATTGGAATTGTTATTAAAATTTTTATCATTCCTATAGTGGGCTATACGTTTTGCACAGGAATGTCAGAAACGAAGAATTCAATATGAAAAAATGCCCATCGCATTCAAACGAGCTCGATCAAATAGATCAATCTATTTGTATAAAGAACAAACAATCTATTGGGACATTGATTTTACGTTTCCAAATTGTCAATCAAAAAATGAAGCCTCAGTGTGTCAACTATGTTTTAAATGTAATAGAATTTCTGAAAATCGTCTTTTGGCTGATATAGTTCAGGAAATTATTGATCAACCAAATTCTATAGTCAACAACAATAATGATGATAATGATGATGATGATCAATGCATCGATCGAATCGATGAATTTGATTTTACGCCATATCGTAATCAAGAATATCAGATATTGTTGAAACATAAATCCGGACGACATTATTATCGTCTTCAACGTGAATGGACATTGAAAAGAAATTTAGAGGATAAATCCATTGTCGAATATCCAATTTTGGTCATTGTTTTAGCAGAATTTGTACATAATTATAATGTCATATAGATCATTAAGGTTTTCTTTAACACAGACATTTTATTTAGTTAAAAAATTAAAATCAAAAGAAACAACCACAAAAAAATCAGAAAAACAAAATTCAATTCAATTCATTCATACGACCAAGATAAATTCTCATTTGTTGTGCTGTAATAATAATTCGACAAATTGGACAAATTTGTTGAATTTTCAATGAATCGATGATACATTTTTGATGGAACAAATGTCCACATGGTAATTGTTCCATTGGTGGATCGATACGATCCTGACAAATGACACACATATCAGTTGGTCTTATCGGAACTGATGATGATAAACTGCGGTTACTGGAATTACCATTCGACGAATATTGATGTGGTGATTCATCATTGTGACTTGAAAAAATTGCCTGGCCAAGCAATGCACCTGCAACGCCAATTCCTGCACCGACTGCAAGAAGTAGAGCAGAATTGCTTTTATTCTGTCGATTTTGATCGCTCATTTTTTTCTTTATCAATAAATTCTTTTCTTCTTTAATTTTTGGTTATATCATATTACTCCCATTTGATTGAGATTCTGTTTACACTCACTTCTAAAATTCTATTTGAACATCAACTAGCTTATACTGTGTAATTTGTCGTGGTTATACGTTTGAAATATTTTTCTGCTATCACAATCGATTGTCATGATCCTCATTGTATTTGGAAAAAAAATCCTCCAGAAAAAATCGAAAATGACCGAAAACTTGGAACATTTCAATGTTCAACATTTATTTCGACAATTTTTTCTTAAAAATCAATGTGTTTCCGATGCACAATTAGAATGCTGGATTAATCGTACGTATATTTTTGGATCAACTTATCAATCAATTAAAATAAATCGATTGTCAATTTATTTATTTCACAAAGGTATTCAACAAAAACTTCATAGCCCACCAATGGATAAAGAATTGGCCATTATGAATGCCAACAGAATATTTCGTCATTATGGTTTTACCATTAGAAAAGTTTTCTCTGAATCTATTGATGAAACATTCTACTATTTATTGACTAATGATATCGAAGATGTTTTGAATGCCAAATCAACATGGACACAAGCCGAAAATGCATTCTATCATCTACTACTGGATGCAATCATTCAGCCATTCCTAGAAAACGATTTTGATATTGATGATGAAGACGCTTTTAACGTGGCCAAACATCTGGCAATTGGTATGACATCGGCTAACAATTTAGCACGAAACACAACAATAGCGATAATTTTGGGCGAGAAAATTGTTAAAAATTGGATCAATCAACATTGGTTCAAGCAGATTGATTCGGGAAACAAAATAACATTGGGTGTTCGGACAATAGCACAGAAAAGTAGTTATTTAATTCGAAAATATGGTCTATCCGCTTGTAAATATTGTAGTCTGGTTTGTTTTCATGGCTTTTTCTGTTCCCAATGTAATGTTTGTTGGCATGAAAAATGTTTACCAGTCAACAGCACTACTTTATTATCACCATTATTGTGTTCATCATGTGATTCACCATTGGCTGTAAATCAAATTTTTAATAACAAAAATAATAATAATTGATTGATGATGAAAAAAATTTATTAATTTCAATCAATCCTTGTAAATTGAGATTTAACTCTAAAGAGACAGAAAAAAATAAAATCAATTGGTTATTTTTTTCAAATTTTTCGACAATACATGTGCATCCGGAGGTTCGATACGTTTGTAATAATTTTTTCGTGTTTCAATAATTTCGAAACCAAATCTTTTATAAAATTCAATAGCATCTTCATTGTTAATCTGAACATGTAGAAAGATGCTATCGAAATTTGAATCTTTATTGGCAACATAATCCAATATATGTTCGACCATTTTGGTACCGATTCCAAGCCGACGATATGATGCTAAACATCCCAATGTCATTATATACAATCTTCGTGTATTCGGTTCCGATGTATCGACACGACAACAAACAGCACCAACCATAATATCATTGTAATAGGCTAAATTGGAAAATTGACAATTTGTTATCTTTGAAACCAAAAAAAAAAAACAGAAATCAAATCTCACCTAATTTAGCTAACGGGCCAGATTCCAAAACATCTTTATAGAATTTGGCATTATAGCTGACAGGGAAAATGACCTGATTTAGGCGTCGAAGTAGTTTTATGTTATGCGGTGTAACATCACCAAGCTCAATGATACCAGGTCGTCTTTGGAACAAAAATAAAAAAAAATGAAGAATGATTACCACACACACAAAGAGGTATACCTTTTTCTAATCAAACCATTCATTGCATTCGAATTGTTCTCATCGGATTTCGTTGTATCATCATCATCATCATCATGAGACAATTCATGATTATCATTATTGGACATTGTTGTTTTGACAGTCATTTGTTGTTTGGGCAGATGAATTTAATCATTCACTATTAATTAGAATTGATTTGAAAACAAAGAATTTACTTATTTAAACATGTGAATAAATTGAAAGGCAAAACACGTCTGTTTTTTTTTTGTTTCGGGAGCTCTCTCTTTTTCACACACACACACACACATAAACACGCGCGCGCCTATCACAAATAAGGTGTGTGTAACAATTTTTTTTCTCACTCAAATTTTTCGGAAAATTTCTCGATGACGACAACACAATTTTTTTGTTTTTCCCAAACCATCAGTGTTTATCATTGTTTTCACGATTTATCATATACTCAATCATGGTAGATGCTGCAACACGTAAATCATTGACACAAATTCCTCTTCTCAAAACAAAAGCTGGACCACGAGATAAAGAATTATGGCCACAACGATTAAAAGAAGAGCTACAGTCATTGATTGAGGTTCGTTGAAAAAAAGAAAATCCTATTCTAACTGAATTCATTTTCATTTTTTTTTTCATTTCATATTTTTATTAGTATGTAAAAAAGAACAAAGAAAACGATAATGATTGGTTTCGTCTTGAATCAAATTCCGATGGAACAAAATGGTTTGGAAAATGTTGGTACATTTATAAATTGGTCAAATATGAATTCGATATTGAATTTGATGTACGATGAATAATCATTGATGGATATATACAATTCTTATTCTGATTACGCATTCTTTTCGTTTTCACAAACAGATTCCTGTAACATATCCAACTACATCGCCAGAGATTGCCTTACCAGAATTGGATGGAAAAACAGCCAAAATGTATCGTGGTGGTAAAATTTGTACCAGTGATCATTTCAAACCATTATGGGCAAGAAATGTTGGAAAATTTGGCATAGCACATGCAATGGCTCTTGGTGTATGTTTAGTTTAACTTTTTTTTCATCAATTAATTGTTTAATCATCAAATTAATTAAATTAAATTTCCAGTTAGGTCCATGGCTAGCAGTTGAAATACCCGATCTTGTCGATAAAGGAATTGTGAAAGAAAAAAGTGGTTAAAAGATTTTTTTTTATTTTTCCAAATAAGCCTGATTGTCGATTTGATTTTTTTTTATACAAAATGATTTTTTTATTTTTTTTGTTGTTGTTGAGAATATATCAAACGAATGATGAGCGATGAATTGAAATAATATATGAATTGATTGATGAATCGACCAAAAATTCAAAGTTTTTTTTCATTAAAAAAATCACATTTGTGGCAATTGATCGATAGGAGTGACGAATTTAAAATCCGCAGGAAATAATTTGGCAGCATCTTTGATCATTAGCTTATAGGATTGCCGGATGGTAACATCGGCCACACCAGCAATGTCGCCAATTTCTTTCTGCGATTTTTTATCCGCTGATGCCTGTGAAGCCATATAAATGGCGGCGGCAGCCACCGATATTGGACTACGGCCGGGTACCATATCCAATTCTACAGCTTTTCGTGCAATATAAGTTGCTGCTCGTTGTACGGCATTCGATAGACCAAGATTCGAACAGAATCGTGACATAAAATCTCCCGTAGTAATGAGATCGACAGAAGTTTCTAAAGCTTTCAATATGAGCTTAAAACAGCGGCCAATTTCTTTTTTGGAAACATTAGAAACGGCACATATTTCTTTGAAAGTACGTGGTACACCTTCTTGTCGGCAGGCAATATAAAGACAAGCGGATGCAATAGCCTCATTACTTCTACCTTTCAATGTACGGCCATCATGAACTTGTTTGAATAGAAGATTAGCACGATCGACAATAGTTTTCGTAAGATTAATCTTATCGGACATATTGCTAATTTCTTTGAATGTATTTACTAATGCACGATCCGAACTGCTCATCTGTTTTCGATTAAAATACTTTGGTTGGCCACTTTCATTGAATGCAGCATCCGAACTGCTTCGACCAATCATCGTTGTCAGATCGGAACCTTCCAATAATGGATTCTCTGCGGCACCAACACGAGAAGGATCAGAGGTAGCTTTATCATTGCTAAATGTACGCCATTCAGAACCAACATCAACCACACGATCACCAACAACGAGACCACATTCAGGACAAACAAGATCACCAGCTCGATAATCTTCGATTAATGCTGCATCCGGATGTGATGGACAGGAAACTTTATTCGTTCTAGACATTTTTTTCGCGGTGCAAGTGTTGTTGTTGTTGTTGTTGATGGCCAGTTGTAAATGAAATGCAAGATGATCAAAAAAAAAAAAAAAAATTGTCATTTACTCAAAATATACTGCTCTATGGCCAACCAGATGATTGTTTGTGTTTATACACTGCACAGCGGTGTTGAATTTTAATCCAACAAAACAACGTATGAACAACATGTTATGTATAAAATCAACTTTTTTAGCCATCATCATCAATTCATTTAAAAACATAGGGCAAATGAAAAAAAAAAAATCAAATTCCACAATTACAATCAATTTGAAAGTAGAAAAAAATTTGTTTTTTTTTCAATTATTGATACAGTGCAGATTTCATGTAGAAAAAAAACACATTCATTCTAATATAAATATAACCTAACACATTTCCAAGAAGAAAAAAAAACGACATTTAAAGACCATCAAATTCATCAAAATCATCAACATTATCATCATCATCTTGATCGCCTTCGATTGAATTCATATCGACACGATAACGAAGTAATCCACCAATACCACCGAAACCTTTGACAAATTGTGATCCTTCCTGTGAACGATCCGTAACGATTTCTAATGTGGCCCCAAAATTTTTATAATTATTTGCTAACCATTCCAATAATGGTACCGATTCAACAAGTTCCAATTCAACACCAGTCTGATTGTCCGTAAAATGTGATTTATCTTTTTCCTGTTCTGGTGTTAAATGCAAAACTTTTTCTTCACCAAGTTGTGGATTTTTCAATTGATAACGTGTTATGTTTAAATTTTCCCAACAAATCAATGTTTCCACTGCTCCCATTTCCAATGCTTTCAAAGTATCGTTGACACCAAAACAATATTTTCCCGTATCTTGATAGATTTCTTCAAAATATTTGCCTAAATCATACAGGAAAAAATCAATCAATCAATTCAGAAAATAAAAACATTTGTTTCATCATATTTACTAATAAGTTTTTTCTCTTGAATAAATTTAACGTTGGTCAAAATTTCCGTTGACAATTCGATTGCTTGATTGAAACCATTTTCGCCACCGTAAGAAACATCGACTAATTTCAAGATTTTTGTTTGTAATCTCTATAAATGAGAAAAACAAAACAAAACATTTGATAATTACAAACGAAATGAATGCAAAAAAAAAAAATCATTACCTGGTCAAACATATCAGACTGAGCAAGTTCGGTTTTAAAATCCGCAGATCCGGCCAATATAAGACCAGAAATGTTGGGCTTATCATTTGTAATGAATAATTGTGTGGCAACTTCGGCTACTTTACGAACATAATTATGGCGTTTTTCCATTCGAAGACGAGCAAAACGAAGCGCTGATTGACCACCACGACCTATGAATGAATTTAACATAATAAACACACGAATGAATCACTCAATCAATTGTTACCATGTTTTTTGGGCAAATCGACAGGAAATTTGTGCAAAACTTCGCGTGTATTTCCTTGCAATGTACCGAACAATGCACCATTACCATCCATAACAATGAAACCGAATTTATTATCATCGGCAAGTAAGGCGGATAATGCTTCAGTATGGAATTTATTATCACATAGATACAACGATGTATTGATCGGTTTGAATGGCTCGAAATCAATATTGACTTTCTTTTCTTTTCCTTCATCCGTCACAATCGTACCACAATAGATAACTAAACCATTTGGTGGCACTTTTGTATAAAGCTTCAAACGTTGTTGTACGGAAGTTATAGCACCAAGTACTGATAACCGGTTTACACGACTTTTTATATTGGACGCTGTACCAAATTCATCAGCCAACATTTTCGATACACGTGATATTTGATCTTTTGGTGGTATAATCAATGAAATCATCGATGTTCCATTCCTGAGAGACGGGAAAAAAATGAAATGAAATGAAATTCACAACTTTCAATAAATAAATTCTCTTACCCTCTAGCGGCTTCAAGACTTTTAATCAATTTTTTCACTTTCCATATCTGCACATTACGATCGGCACTGGCTTCGTCTACCGACATTTTGTTGTTGTTGTTGTTGCTCACAATTTAATAAAATTCGATTGAATACAATGGATAGTTTGATGATGATTGACAAAGAAAAAACGATGATACTTTAATACTTGATGATTGAATTGTCCAGATTATGGAATAATAACAAATAATAAGTGACAAAATAAAATTAAAAAAAATATTCCGGAATTTGATAATCAACCAGTCAGTGTGTGTGTGTGTTTGTGATATATTGTATTACACGATGTTGTTCTTATTATGATGTGAATGGATAAAAAAAAGAAGCAAAAACACGAGACATACAAAAAAAATGCATGCACACCACACACCAATTTTGCAAGGCTAAAAGTTTGCAGAAACAAAAATGCCACACGGACAAAAAGTGTGTGTGTGTGTGTGTGTATGGTGGCGTTGTTGTATCGTGGTTTTTTTTTTTTGGCTGACCAATGCTCACGCTGAAATCGGTATAAAAAAAAAAAAAAATTCCATACGTCATTTATGAATTGTATCTTGTATTTTTTTATTTTTTTTTGGTCATATTAAATACGCCATAAATTTTTGTTTTTGTTTTCATTTCTGTTTTAATTTTTGTTTACAACAAAACTTTTTTTTTCATATTTCAATGTCAGGTAATTTTCACTCATGTTTGTAGTATATATGTTTATTATAAAGTTTTTTTTTGTTTAAATAGCGGCAGCAGCAGCAGCAATCAGTGAACGACAATAATAATGGCCATTGGTTTTTATTCATCGGCCCTTGGTATAGTGGTCGGTATTGTGGCCTATTGTTGTTATTATTACTATAATACAAATAATAATCATACGGAAAATCCACATGGCAGCCAAAGAGGTAGTAACCGTAATGCTAGACAACAAAATGATAATGGTAGCCGCTCATCAACAATACCGCCAAAACCATCGGATGTATGCATTATTTGTTCCGATCAATTAACATCACCATTAGAACAATTACCTTGTAAACATTTATTTCATCAAAAATGTTTAGCAAAATGGTTTGAATTTGATTTACGATGTCCAATTTGTCGTTATAAATTAAGTTTGGCTGAATATGAAATCTATAAAAAACGATTATGATGAATCGTTAGTCTCATCATAATCATCATTTGATGTATATTTTTAGTCAATTTTTTGACGTTGATATTTGTAAAAAAAAATTTTTGTTTTTCTTTAAAATCAAACTTGATGCTCAACAAATGCAATATAATAAATGAATGTGTATGGCAACGCCTAAATGTTGTAAATATTAATTTTAAAAAAATCTGAAGTAGTAGGAAACACCGACACTAGATGGCATTATTATTGCATTAAAAATGAATTTAAATTTTTTTTTTTGAATTTTAAATTTTTGGTAATCATTCACAATCAATCAATGATGATGAAATCTATCCATCCATCATGCCCCTTTTTGATTTGTTAAAATCACACACACACACACACACATACATACAATTGCTAGAAGACCAAAGAATCCATAGAATATTCTATTGAACATCGCCATTCTCTGTGGCCCATCACCTAAAGTGTTTAGCGAAAGGCAAATTGGTTTAAATTTATTGTGCTGTAAAAATAAAATAATAGCCATTAAAACAACAACAACAACAACCGAAGAAGAAGAAAACAAAAAGTTTGCGGCAGCCAAAATAGCCAAACAAAAAAAAATTTTGTTATTGTCGTCGTCGTCGTCGTCACTACCTGCATCGATTTGATCAACATGGTACCGACCCGATGCCGATGCCGATGCACAAATGTCGAACGATATGATGATTATCCATCCATCCATACAATATACAAATTTTTTTCTTTTTAAAAAAAAAATTGGTCGTAGTGGTGTGTTTAGTATATACAACAACAACACATATTTTAGCCGATAGATCGTAGTCGGCAAAAATAGGCTTATTCTTTTTTTATTAGAAAAAGGAAAAGAGAGGCCTTTCTGTATGTGATGTATATATCGTCATCGTCGTCGTCGTCGTTGTTGTTGTTGAATTTGAATTGCCTTTTTATTTTCAAAGATCCCGATACGAATATAATATTGACTTTGTTTGTTCATTCGTTCGTTCGTTCGTTCGTTCGTTAACAGCTGCTGCTGCTGTCATCATTTGTTTTGTGTGTATGGCAAAAAAAGAGATCTTTTCTGCTCCTGTGTGTTTACACTGTATGGGGCTATTCCAACTCAACCATCCATCCAAAATATATACTTGCAACCAATTCATTCATTTTTGGTTCTCTCTCTCGAACACATTTGCTATTCTTTTTCTCGTTTTTTGACGACGACGACGATCACCCGTCGTTATTGTTGTTGTTGTTGGATCGACAACCAACCAAAAACAACGATATGGTAATATCAAGAGATTTTTTTTCCTCTTTTTTTTTGGGTGAAAGCGTTGAAGTGAGAAAAAAAGTGTATACGAAACATGAAACGAAACGAAAGCCCGATATCGGATGAGTTTTAGTGTTTTGAAAAGAAAAAAGTTATGAAGCCGAATAAACGACGAAACAACTTGTGTCTGCATCTCTCTCGGTGCTGTGTATAAACGCGTTTCGCTCCCTTTTTTTGGTTATGATGATGATGATTCCCACCGCCACCACCACCACCACCATCATCATCAATTCTCCCAATTTTGTGCATTTCTTCTTTTTCGAAACATTGTCGTCGTCGTCTTCATCTTTATCATCATCATCATCATTCGATCACGGAATACTCGTCTGTCTGGTGGTGGTCGGCTGGTTTTTTCTTATGTTATATTTGTGATTAGTGTTTTTTTTCTGATCCTAGTTGCCGATCCTATAGCCACCAACATACACACATAGTGAAAAGAAAAATTCTCGCTAATTATTCCGCTGTTTTGTTCTGTTCTTTTGTTCTCATATGTTTTGTGATCCAGAAAAGTCTTGTTCAAAAAAAAAAAAAAATTTTTTTTGCTCATCAATTGACACTTGATCTCGTGTTTCGATTTTTTTTTTTTTCTCTCTCTCTCTCTCTCTCTCTCTGTGTGTGTGTGTGGTGTTTTTGCCAATGAAAATGAAAAATAACAACGACGATGACCACGATATTTTATCATCATCTTGATCAATTATAGAAATCATCATCATTAATTATAAAAAAGTAGTAAGTTTGGCGATTATTTTAATTTCGGTTAATATTTTTTTTTTCTCTCACAAAATCTTTTCTGATTTCATTGGTGAATTTGTTCAAGAATTTTTGATCCCACTCTAATATCTCTCTCAGTGTGTTTGTGTGTAGGTGGAATTTGTGGTTTTGCATTTTGTTTTTTTTTATGCAAATTAACAGCAGATAAATAATGTCAATAATTTTATTCCACAAGAATGAAAAAAAAGATCAAAAGGCCAAAAATATTCATAGTCAAATGAAATGAATGAATGAATGAAAAGAAACCGGAACCTAAGACCATGATGATAATGATGACGATATTTACCAATAGAATGTGCATGAAGTTTTTTTTCTGTTTCTGGTCCATGGAATATAGAATCCATGTATTACAGGAAAAAAAAGAAAAAAAAAAAATATCCGTAGCCGCGCGCTTACCCGCTTTTATTATTGTCTTTGTTTGAGTATATGTCTACACTAATATGTGTGTGTGTGTGTGTGCATAATACGTAATTCCGTCAGCATTCAACCGATGTCCCGATCCTCTCTCTCTTTCTGGTATAATAAGTCTCTTTCTCTCACTCTATACACACACCACTCAAACACACACACACACAGTTCGCTGCACCGCGATCTCTCGTTAGTCTCGATTTTCTTTTTTTTTCTTACCAATTTTCAATGGCTTTCAAGCCCAACTAACTAACCAACCAAACCAACAAAAATAAAGCATATAACAACCAGACACACACAATTATTATCATCACGCACACACGGTTTTTTTTTCTTTCAAAATCATCCATCTTTTGATCGGAAGATTGGACCTTCGTTTTGTTCATTTCATTTTGTGTTTGTGTGTGTATAGTGAAAGGTTCACAAATTCATGATCACCGCTGTAACAAATATCTTGTATCTTGAATTATGAAAAAATAAAAATCTTTCGGATGTTTTTGTGGTATTCAGTGGTGATGTGTTTAACGCCAAGGCATCAAACGAGATGAATTTTTTTTTTTCATTTTCCCCTCGAAAAAATAAAGTTTTTCTTTTAAAAAAACATGACCAAAAAAGTTTCGCTTCCAAAAAAACTTTTTCAAGTTTTCTCAATTTGTTTTTTTCTGGTTGAGAAAGAAGCAAAAATCTACTTTATTTGAGTGTTTTTTCTCCATGTGAATTTTTCGTATTCTCGCTTTTCATGATTGTTTTTTTTTCTTCCGAGTTTCACTGGTCAATTCATTTGTATTTGTGTGTGATTAATTGTTAATTTGAACCTTGGAAAAATAACGACAAAAACGACAACAACCAAAAGTGGATGCACTTTTCTTTTGTTCTATCTATCTATCCGGTTTTATCACAATTACACTGGTTTGATTAGATGGCTGATTAGTTTATTTTTTCGCTGTTTTTGTTATTGTTGGGTAATTAAAATTTTTACAACATTGTTGATAATGATAATGACGGCGATAAACTCATCAAACATTAAGCAAACACACAATCAGTCAGTCAGTCAGTCAGTTATTGATATGATGAATCAAAAATGAAACAAAATCAATTCAAATGATTCACATTCACACACACAAACATACGCATATAGAGACATATAGTGATTGTAATCACAACTTTTGTTTTTTTTTTTTTTTTTTTATTCACACAGTGCATCAAAATCAAATCACATCATTACATTGGTTCGATTGATTGAAGAAGAAACAAAAAATGTATTATCCCAGTTTATTTGAACCGGTAGCCACTAATCCACCATATTCATCATTCAATACAAGACATTTTATGAAAAATGGATCCACTGATAACACTGCTGCTGCTGCTATAGTGCCTTCCCTTGTTCATCATCCACATGCCGATTTATGTCTATCATCGACATTGGCCACATCCGATAAGCGAACAATGACTTCTGCTTCATCATCAGCAGCAACATCTATAACGAATGGAGCGCCACTTTCATCATTTCGTTTACCAAATTTTGTTTGTCCATCATCACCATCATCAGTTCCACCATACAATAACAACAATGGACAACAACACAATTCATCAATTGCCGGTCCTTTGATGGAAAATTCTTTGATCTTGTCATCTTATGGGCCATTATCATCATCATCGACGTCGACGACGACCTCCACACCAGCAGCAGCATCATTATCATCATCTAACCATTTATCATCTACTGAAAATGTCTACAATTCAACTATGCAATCGAATTTAATGGAAATAACGCCTCATCACCATCACCATCATCAAGCTCATTCATATGGAATAGGATCATCATTGTCGGCACAACCACCGCCACCTCCCCCACCACTATCACCAACAGCTTATGCTTCCCATCATTATTACAGTATGAATACAGCAAGCTATAATAATAAAATACCAAATGTTTCAACAACTACGTCGACATATCCATCGACAATTACTGCTGCTACCGCTGCTGCTGCTGCTGCGGCTGTACAGAATTTTTATCGTTCAGCTAATCAAGCAGTTCATCCAATATCTTATGGTCATCCCCACCACCACCAACACCACCAGCATCATCATCATCATGCTTCACAGACTTATAATGAAACATTTATACCTGATTCATATCGTACCACGATTACCAGCGCAGGTTGTGATAATAATTTTTCATCATCATCGAAAACATCAATTTTTCCATCATCAAATGAACAACAACAGAATCATTCATCATCATCATCAACATCATTTTCTGATCATTTAAAAAGATTACAAGAATCTTTTCAATCAAAATCTTTTTCTCCATTGTTGAATGATGAAATAAAATTGGAAAATCATCATTTTCATTCATTACATTCCAATATTGTTGATGATAATGATGTCAATCAATGTCAACAACAACAACAACAACAAAAGTTGAATTTATCGAAAAAATTGGATAAAACAATCAATGATTTTACAATTGTGAAAAATGAAACTGCCAATATTGCACAACAATCGGCCAATGTTTGGAATCCACTAATGATCGATGATAATCAATCAATGACAACAATCGATCAACGGAAATTATCAAAATCCGATTATAATGAACATAATCATTTTCATCACCATAATCAACAACCACAACAACAAAAAAATTCATCAGAATTATCATTTTTCAATAGCAAAATGATAGTATCATCATCATCATCATCACCAAAACAACAGCAACATCGTTAACCAACAACAACGATAACAATCAGACAAAAGTGAAAAAAGATAAAGTAAGTTTTTTTTCTCCAAAAAAAATAAGTAAAGCAACAAGAATTTTTTTTTGTCTGTGTGGCATATAAATTTCGATTCTGTCATTCAAGATGGTTCCCGTTGGATTTTTTTTTCATCACCAAACACATACACACACACACACATGTACCATTTCTTTTTCACCAAAAAAAAACTTGCCATTTTTTTGTGTGATATGTGTGACAGATTGCTTGACAGATTTCGGAATATTGTTGCATTTTGTGTGTGTATGTGTGTCTGTTCCAGTGTGCATTTTTCTCTTTATCTCGGTAGTTTTTTTTTCTTTACACTGAATGACCCCCGAATTCTGTATATTGACGGTGGTTGATGCTGTGTGTGTGTTTATGGTATAGTGTTTCACAGGCACTATGATTCACTTGATTCACAACATTATCCCTACATTAACTATCGGAACTTTGAGTGTTTTTGGTGTGTCGAGTGAGATATTAAATTTTTTTTTCTTCTTTTCTCCATCATTCTTGCCGATGCAAAGTTGTGGAACGATGGAACGAAACAAGAATAATAAGAGTGAGAGTAAGAGAGAGAGAGTTTGTCGTAAAGTGTAAAAATATAATCCGGGCTGCCGTCATCATCATCATCGGGTCGTTTGTGTCGACAAAATGTTGGTAAATGTGTGTGTGTGTGTGTGGCTGCATTTATAATAACGGCAAATCGTTTGTTCGTTTCATTTCGTTTCATGGATCGGTCTCGCGCGCGCTCTCGTGAATTATAATGACTATACTATATGAAAGAAATAAAATCGACTCCCGATGATGAACGAAATTTGCCAACTTCACTTCCACTCTTCATACTAATCAATTGCTTTTCTCTCTTACAAAAAAAAATCTCTCTTTCGTTCGTTTGTTCAATGGCTAGAGATCGTTTTGATCATTCAATGTGATGGGTGATTGAGTGTGTATGTGTGTGTGTGTATGTTAAGTTTTCTAATAATCACCCCTTATCAAAAATTATTATTTTTCCGATCCATTATGGGAAACCAATAATAATATTCAGGTTTCGGGTTCAGGTTTTTGTTTCACCCAATCATTGCGTGTGTGTGTGTGTGTGTTAAGTAGTTGTGTTTCAATCAATTTACTAATGATGATGATTATGATGTTGATGATTAATTTTTTTTTTTTATTGATGAAATGATTTTGATTCGATTCGAGTAGCAAGAAAAATGGCAAAAATCGATGAAAAAGAATGAAAAAGACAAGGATGATGATGATGATGATGGGAAAATAAAATCTTTCAAATCAATTGATCATCAAGTTTATGAATACAAACAGTCAAATGTTGATAATGATGATAAAACGACCAAGAATAAAAATGATTCATCAAATGAATCGTTGGATAATAATTGTAAAAATAAATCACGTGATCATAATAATAAAAACAACAACAATAAAAAGGTAAAACAAAATAATTAATTTTTACCAAACGTGAAACGTCAATTTTATGGTTTTTTCCAGAGCGTTAATAGTGTTAGACGGAGAAGATTTCGTTCCGGTTTAGATATGATACGTAATTCGCGGAAAAAATCATACAAAACTAAAATGATACGTAAAGAACAACAATGTAATAATAATAATAATGGGAAAAAAGAAATTTCAATGGTAAGATCAATCAACTACTAATTTTTGCTAGGCTGTTTTTGATTCATTAATTTTTTATCACAGGATAATTCAATCAATGGTCGCCGTTTTGTTGTGAATAAATCATTGGGTGAAACACTTTTACATCGATCAGCTAGAAATAATCGATTGGTATGTGTCTGATTAATGATAAATTAATTGTTTTTTCTTTGTGTTTTTGGTAAATTCCTGTTTTTTTTGTTGTTGGTCCAGAATGTCGTACGATTATGTTTAGAATCGGATGCTTGTGATGTGAATGCAAGAGATAATGCTGGTTACACACCATTACATGAATGTTCATCACGTGGAAATTTGGAAATTGCTCGTCTTTTATTGCAACATTCTGCCGATGTTAATGCCAGTGCTACTGGTGGCATAAGGCCACTTCATGATGCAATTGAAAATGATCACATTGAAATTGTTCGCCTGTTACTTTCATATGGAGCTGATCCACATATATCTGTAAGTTTAATTGTGAACGAATCAATGAATGTGCTTAATGAATGTTCAATCTGCTATAGACTTATTCGGGAACAACACCACTACAATTAAGTCGTTCAAAAATGATGAGTAAATTTTTAAATGGTTTCTATAGTGATATTAGTTCAGATCGTTCAATGATTGATGAGACAAATGTATGGAAATTTAATAGCCACGATCATCATTGTTTAGGTTAGAAAAAAAACCATTGCTTTTCTCTCTATTTTCAATCATTTTTGACCACATAGTAGATTCAGGTTTCGATGTTTTTGCTGACATACCATCAAATGATTCGAATGATGATGATGGATGATGATGATGATGACATGGAATATGAATTTGAAGCCAGTTGTCGACCATTATTAAATCTTTATACGTTCCTACATAAACCTAATCAATGGTATGTTTGTTACATTCAAAGAAAAAAGACATTTTTCTATAAAGTTTTTTTTTGGTTTTATTTCTAGTCCATTTTATCTTGTTTGTGATGTGATTAAATCATTGAAAATGACACGTGAAATATTCATTAATAAATATCATCATATGGTCAACATTTCAAGAATAAATCGGTCAGATTTTGAAACAAATGGCCTAATTGTTCAATTGGAAAAAAGACGATCAAATTGTAAAATACTAAATGATAAAAACAAACAAACAATGAATGAACAACAACAACAACAACAGCAGCATGAAATTGAAATTGTTTACCAAAGCGAACAAATTAATAGGATTCTTGATATTGAACTAACTGTGATATGATTTATATTTACTGGTTGATTTGAAACATGTGCAAATGTTTCTCTACTTATTTTATTTAATTTAATAAATATAAAATTGATGATTAAAATAAAAAATAATTTTTTTTTTGAAAATCAGATTGCATCGCCATCTGTTGACTGGAATTGAGATCTGATGTATTTTTCTACAAACTAGATGGCAGTACAAGGTTCAGAAAGTTAAAAAAAATTAAAAAATGTGAATAGAATAAAAATAGAATTAATGGAAAAAATAAAATTGTCTCCGGCAAAGATTTATTTATTCAAAAATGGTGAAAATAAATAAATGGTTCAAACGTGATCCATTTATTTATAAATAAAAAAAAACAGAGAATGAAACTGATGAATTATCATTATTACGAGAAAAATATGTTGATATTGAGACTCCTGTACACACACACACACACACACAATTTAATCGGCTCTTTTTGATTTAACTTTGACGTGATTCAAATGATTCAAAATTCGGCAAGAAAAAACCTGTTTTGTTCATTTTATAAAAATATTAAATAAATTTGCTTCGGCGTTGTCTTCATTATCGTTGCTGTTGTCGTCGTCGTCATTTTTTTCATTTTTTTTTGTTTTTGAAAGTGCATCTGTTGCTCAGCAGAGAAATTTGCTCGACTCATGGTCAAGCATTCATTCATTCATTTATTTATTTATTTCTGTCATTTAAAGTTTCACATTTGAAAAATTGAATCAAATCAAATCGTCTTTTTCATGTCGTTTGATTGGTTGTTGTTTTTTCATCATCATTGCCAACAAATTTTTTTCCATGTAAAAAAAAAATCGATCGATTTTCATTTTCAAACATTGCCAATCAATTGAATGTTTGATCATTTGGTCTCCTGAAAAAATCATGAAATCATCACATCAACGAATTAATTAATTTTTTTGTGTTTGATTCGAAAAAAAAATCAAAAAGTCAAATCAACTGCCTTCTCTTTTGTATGATGATGACGATGATGATGTTTAATTGTATATTTCTCCTCTTAATATCAGGTAATTAGTGTTTTATTTTAATAAATTCATTCATTAATCAAATTAATGAATGATGAATATTTAGGTCTTTATGTCGATGGTTTCCTATTATATTCACCAATCGATTCCGGCGGTATACGTGGAAATGTTACATTTTCGCAACAAACAGATGATCCTGAAAATGTTCACATCAGTGTTTATCTTTATTCACCATCCGCACAGGAAACTCAACAATTTGATTGGGCTATACATGAATTTCCTGTATTCTTTGATCTGAAAAATCCTTGCCAAGCAACTGAACTTGGCAAATCATTATATGATCTATCAAGACATGGCCGTATTACGATACCTAGTTCTGGTAGTCAAACATTGTCGTTTATTGATAAAAATATCCATCTTAAAGGACCGCAAACAATTTGGGGCCGATCTATTTATCTTAAATCTACCAATACAAGTGCACGAGCTTGTTCGAATATAATGTCTACGAACAAAAGTAAAATGGCCATTGCTACATTCACGGAAAATGTTGCCGGATCAATTTTGTTTCGTGAAAATGAATTTCAAGAAACAATGATTTTCTCCAATCTTTTTTACAATATCGATGATTATCGTTCAGGATCTCGTAATGATTGGAAAATTATGGTTACCGATATATTAGACAGTAATGATAATACAAAATGTAATCAATTACAAATATTACTGGATCCAGACAATACACCAGATTCGACTTGTTCGATGAATGATCAACGTGATTGTAAGATTGGCGATATGTTGGCCAAACATGGACAAATTGTCGTTGGAAATAATAATAATCGATATTCGAAAAAATTTTTCATTGATATGCATCTGCCACTTGATTATTTGGAAAGTAGTCGAAATTTATTCGTAGTAATTTATTGGAAAAATAGCAACAAAATTATGACTTGTGCAAAAATTACGCCATTGTTATCGAAAGAAGTTCGAGCTCATTTTGATGCCGATGGTGTTAAAGGTGATATTATGTTTAAACAAAATTATAAAATCGATCCAACTATTGTAACGATAAAATTGGATAATCTACGTGGCCGTGGCAGATATTATTTTATTCACGAATTTCCAATCATCCAGAAACAAACAAAAAATGATGATTTATGTGGCCAGGTTGGTGATCGATACAATCCATTCAATATTGAATCACAACAAGCTTCAACAATGATTCAGGATACAAATGATCAATATGAAGTTGGTGATTTGAGCGGTAAACATGGAACATTAAGTGAAATTCAAGATATACAAGCCTATTTCAACAGTCACATGGATTTCAATCTACCACTTTTTGGTGTTCATAGTGTTGTTGGTCGTTCGATTGTTATACATAAAGCTAATGGAAAAAAATGGATCTGTGCCAATATCGCTTATCCTGGCGGCAAAACAATTGTGGCTAAAGCAATTTTTTATTATCCAATTGTCGGTTCAATTGTGTTTCGTCAACAGGATAATGGTGATCCGTTTGCGGCTACAACCGTTTTTGGTGAATTGTTCTACTCGGATGGAAGTGCAAATATCACAAGAAATCATCCATGGCGTGTTCATGTCAATCATGTCGGTATGGATTTCTACAATTGGACTAAACGATGTATGAGTTGTGGTGAAAATTATAATCCATTCTCTATAACAACCACTGCTGGTCGATCATATCAATCACAATGTTCATTGGAAAATCAACTTCGTTGTCAAGTGGGAGATTTATTTCTTAAATATCGAAAAATTGACATTAATCATTATTCATCGAATGAAAGCACGAGATTTTTTTATACCGATACTCTTTTACCATTATCGGGAAAGGTGAGATTTTTTTTTCATTCATTCATTTGATTCACATTCACACTTTATAAATTTTGTCTTTGCTTTTTTCTTTCGTCAACAAAGCATTCAATATTGGCACGATCAATTGTAATTGAAGATGAAAATGCACCACAAATACGTGGTAAAAGGATGGCTTGTGCAACAATACGACAATCACATCCGATTACGGCAATTGTTGATGAATGGAGATCTAGTGCTGGCATTTCGGCAAACATTACCGGTCGGATTGAAATGCATCAGGAAAGTGTATTTGATGAGACGAAAATTAAAATTTATCTTCGTGGATTGAACAAACTTGCTAGTGGCTATCACATTCATAAGGTAAATTGTGATTTTATTTTTTCAAAAAATTTTTTTTTATAAACTAGAAATCATTTTTTTTTTTTTTTTCCTACATCAAGGCATCCGTTCCATTGGACAAAGAATTTCCTTGTTCTGGCGACATTTTATATGGCCATTATAATCCATTTGAAATTGATTCACAAATTGGACCACTTCCTTCGATTGGATCGGTCGATGAATATGAAACGGGTGATTTGAGCGGAAAATTTGGTCTTTTAAATAATTTGGCCACGTTTACCAATGAATATAATGATTTTAGTCTACCATTGAAAGGCATTAATAGTGTGATTGGTAGATCGATTGTCATTCATCGTGAAGAAAATAATTTTCGTTGGACATGTGCAACGATCAAACCCAAAGTGGCGAAAAATGAACGTGAAATCATAGCAATTGCTTCGTTCGATGATCCAAGAAATTTGATTCAAGGCTATATTCGATTTAGACAGATTGAATATTGGGATGGCAGTTTAAGTGATACTTGGATTGAAACTTATCTTGCTTACCGTGGAAGCAATAAGAAAACAACTTATGGTCATAAGTGGTCTGTCTATGTAAATCAAGTTGGTGCTGATGCCTATAATCAAATCGATAGCGTTCGTTGTCTTGCTGGTGGTTTTCTATGGAATCCATTTCTAGTGAGCATTGATAAATCCTACAAACATGAATGTAATCCTAAACATCCATTACGTTGTGCTTTGGGCGATATAAGTGGTCGACATGAACCACTTGTTATTGGTGGTGATCGTCGTATATATTCGGATGTCAATCTACCATTAGTTGGTAACAATTCAATCATCAATCGGGCATTAGTCATTTCGATGCAAAATCAAAGTGATACATCATTAGCTTGTACAAATATTAAATTGGATAAACATCTATTATCGACGATTGTCGTGCAAAAAGTACCGGCATTCACTGTGGCTAAATTTATGCATCATATGCGATTAAAATTGAATACAACCGAATGGCTAGTTGTTCCAGAGATACAAAAAGCCAAAGAAATGAACAATGATGAATGTATCCAGATAATGGTCCACTTTTATGGTAAATTTTTTTTTTGTTTACTTTTTACTAATTCATATATTGACTTTTCTCTCACTCTTTTGTACATTGTTAGGCGACGAAGCATGGAAATTACAATCTGAATTTAATAATCTAATCGAATATGGATCAATCAGACGTCCAAATAATGGTGAATTGATTAAAACTTATTACAAATCTTGTAAAACAGGTAAATTCGTTGTTGTTTTTTAATTGGAAAAAATTAACTTTTTGGTCAATTATTTTGCAGCATTATTACACTCATCATCATCATCCACGATAAATACTTCGGTTCAATTATCTGTCCTGATTATTGCTACATTAATCTTGACAGTTTTCCTTTTTCAACTGTGATAATAATTTTATTGATTTTTTTTTATTATGAATTTAATTATTAATTTATGGCTGTGTTGGTGTTTTTCAAATGTTGGAAAAAAAATTTATTTCAAATTTGTAAATATATAGCTAATGTGTGTGTGTATAATAAAAATTGTTGAATTTTTTTTTCAAAAAAAACAACTTGAACCATTCAATGATTTTTTTTTGCGAAACAAACAAAGATACACATTTCAATCATTGGCTTTTGACCACACCAACCATTGCCGGACGTATGGTTCGATCGTGAAGTTTGAAACCAATTTTTGTCACTACAGAAACTGAACCCGGTTCTTTATTTGGATCGTCCACTTGAAACAATGCATGATGTTCGTTTGGATCGAATTTTGTTCCCAATGGATTTATAGGACAAAGACCATGTCGTTGGAATACGTTCATCAATTTTTGTTCGGTCATTTTGACACCATCATAAAGATTTTTTAAATCACTATTTGATTTCAATGAATCATCCGGTATCGAATCAATGGCCGCTTTGAATATATCGGAAACTTCAAGTAAATCTTTACAGAATGCTTGAATGGCATATATTTTGGCATCTTCCAATTGTTTTTTCGATCTTAAACGAGTATTTTCTGCTTCAGCTAATGCACGTTTATATTTATCATCAAGATCTTTAACCATTTCCAATAGCGTTTTATTTTCATTCATTAAATTTTCTACATTCACTTGATCATCTTTGAGGTTTTGGGAATTTTTTTCAGATTGTTTGGTCATTTCTTCTTGCTGCGCTTTACCACCATCGTTATTATTATTATTATTATCGACTTTGTTTGAAAAATTTACAACAGAAAAACATCGATTTGATCTTTCATTGATGATGGAACGAAAAAGATTGGTTCCTTTGAAAAAAAAAAAAATTAATAAAATTAACAAATGAACCAAAAATAATCACAGCGTTCTTACTGATCACAGTTCTCAAACTGTTGGCCAACATTTTGGAAAGAAAAATACGAATGATGTGTGTTTTTTTTATTTTAATTTAAAATTTTCAATCAATCAAATTTTTTGTTCTGTATGTTCACACAAAATCAAAAAATGTACCACATGCAATACACACTCATTCATCATTTAAACACATGGTAACACAACGTAGTATATGAACGGTTCCAATTGAGTTTGAAAAAAAAATGACCTGCAGGTTTTTAATTTTATTGACAACTTTTTTTTTGTATAATTATAATAATTGTATTTACAAGAATGATGAATATGAATAAATTATACACAAATAAAAATATGAAATGTAAATCAATTTATAAAAAAAAATCGAATTGATTTGTGTTGTTGTTGTTGTTGTTGTTGTTGTTGTACGACTAGTGATTCGTTCACATGACTACTTTCCAGCGATTTGATGATTTTTAAAAACTTGAATTCTTATCATCATCATCATTATCATTTTCTTCATTACCATCATGTGATAGGTGAGTATCAGCATTTTTTTGAATTTCACCAATTCCTTCTTGATATCCTTCCAAATGTTGTTTACGCCATTTAATACGACGATTCTATTTTTTTTTTTTTAATATTCAATCAATCGCGAATCGATAGAGTTAATATGGATCTATATATAATTAAATAAATAAATAATTTGCTTACCTGAAACCAAACTTTAACTTGAGCTTCGGTCAAATTCAATGTGGATGCCAAATATAGTCTTCCTGTGCCGACCATATATTGTTGTTTTTCAAATTCATTCTCTAAACGTTCCAATTGTTCAGGTGTGAAAATTGTTCGTATACGTTTCGATTTATTCAATGCTGTTGTTGTTGTTGTTGTTGAGGATGTTGTTGTTGTTGTCGTGTTGTTGTGGTTGATAAGATTTTTGATTTCATTGTCATTTTTTTCTGATTATGAATCAATCCAAGCTTTTTACAATTTTTAACATTTTTCGTCATCATAGTTGGTCGTCGTTGTTCAAGAATCATCATTGATTCATGTTTGTTGACGGCTACTACTTTTGATTCAATTTGTTTGTTTGTGGCAATTTCTGTGGATGAAAGACGACAAATGAGAGAGAGAGAGAAAAAACGAAACAATAAAACAAACCATCCATCAAAATCTGAATTTTTTTTTTCAATTATCAAATCATATATTTCAATGATGATGACAGAATATTCAAAGAATCACAAAAATAGTTTGTGCCCGTGTGTGTGTGTGCGCGCGCGTTTTGGGGTTTGACGATTATTGTTGTTGTTGTTGTCAAAATATAATGGAAAATTCAAATATTTCAAATATTTACGCATTCCATTCAACGCTTCAATAATGATATCATGGATTTTTTTTTCGGCTATTGTCGTCCAATTGGACGCCAATAAAAAAAAAAGATGAGAAAAAGATGGCTGCTTGTTTTGACTGAAATCAATGAAAAAAATCATATCATGCATGATAATAATGATGATGATGAACAATATAATTGGCCTACGCAGCAACTACTACTACTACTACTGCTACTGATCCAACAATTTTCTAATCCATTATTATTATTATTGTATCATAAACAATTGATGATGACAATTATTGATGAAATTCGTTTGATGCCAAACAACAAAATAAAACGATCTCGATGATGATGATGATGAATACCGTGAATAATTTGAATTCGGTTCGGTGATCATTGTTATGAGGGAGAGAGAGATAGTTTTTTCGGAATTTATTTTTTTTCCAGCCAATTTTGTCTCTCTTTCTTTTGTTCAACATAATTTGAATCAATTGTACCATAGAAAATCTTATTTTAATTTGATTCGAATCAAATTTTTTTTTTTATTCCATTCTACATCCACATCGAGCCATTCATAGATTTCAATTCAATTCAATTGAATTTACTACTTATTGAACAACAATTGATTTCATTTTTTTTCTATTTTTTGCTGTTAAAATGATGATGATTTTTCAACAACAAAGATAACAAGCACATACACACACACACACGTGATAAGGATCAACAATCTCCCGTTGTTAATTTATTTTTATTATCGATTGAAATCCAATCTTTCCAACACACATCATTCATCAATAGTAATGAATGACAAGCAAAAATCATCATTGAATGATCATTAATGACCATCGATAATCATTCAATCACTACTACTACTTCTATGCAAATTGACAGTTATTTGGATTTTCATTTTGATTTTTTTTTTCAAATCAAATTTTCATTAAAATAATAATGATGATAAAAAGTCATAAAAAATGGCAGATCTTTTTTTTATGACTTTCACATATCCATTCATTCATTACCGTTTGAATATTTGAACCAAAAGAAAAAATCTTGTGAAATCGACTTACTTTTCATTGGATTTGGATAGAATGAATTTTGATGATTTGATTGCTGTTGCACCGAAAGGATTGTCTGTTGTTGTTGTTGTTGTTGTTGTTGATATTGATTTTGATGTCGATGGCCATAAATAAAATCAACGGCTGAATTATCGATAGATTTATTGTTATTACTGTTATTATTGTTGTTATCGGTGTTGGTTGCTGCAAAGCCAAGAATGGAATCAATACTAAAAGATTTACCTTCCTGATGATGATGACCATTAGATCCATGATGATGATGATGATGATAAACTTTATTCAAACAAAAATTCAATGATTCATTCAATAATGGATACAATTGACCAGTATTATTATTATTATTATGGTGGTGATGATGGTTATCATTATTGTTGATAAAATTTTCATATAAAATATTCAAATCCAACATTGGCTTGATTTTTGTTGAATGATGATGTTGGTGTTGATGTAATTTGTCCATATTTTCCAATTTAAAAATTGTCGTACTTATTGGATTCGAATGATGATCATGATGATGATCAATATCCAAATATAATGGACTACTATATGACAATGAATCATGTTTATTCATCATTGTTGATAATTGTGGCATTTTTGTTGCAATGATTATTGATGATTATTGATTCTTGAAGAATAAGAATTTGGTCTGTCAATGTTATCTTGTCGGACAATTTTGAACAAATGATATTATCATTAGCCAACTACTGGCAAATAAATACACGAAATTTGATTTGAGTCGGTGCCGACAAACACATACAACACACACACACACACACACCGAAAAAAAATCGCAAAAAAACACTAAGTTTATATGTATGATGTCTCTATATTCAGGCAAAATTTGTACATTTGGAAACGCCTTCCAATAATCAACATATACACAACCACCAAAAACAAGCCATATACACACACACACACAAACTTGATAGTGATCAAGTTCAATAATGTGTGGAGGAGTGTGTGTGTGTGTGTGTCTAAATATTCACATCTATGTGAATCTGATATTCAATGGCGACATGAGCTCATTAAGATTTTGCCTGTGTGTGTGTGTGTTTGTGGTTTCTATAATAATAATAACGATGACAAATAATGAATGAATGATAATGATAACAGCTCAATAATCTAATTTCATTTTTTGTTGTTGTGAGACTTTGTTATTTTTTTCACATTTGGATCGTTCCATTGTGCAGAGAGAGAGAGAGAGAGAGAGAAAGAGGCTGTGTATGTACATGGTAAAGAATATTCTGGCCATCCATACATGTGTATGGCATGTCATTTAGTTTAATTTGATGATAACAAATATTGTATCATCATCATCATTGAAAAAAATGAATGGCAATTTAGTTCTGCTTGGTTTATTCTGTGGTATTCCAATGGAATGTCATCCATATTTTCTATCTCTTTTTTTTCTCAAATTCTTTGGTATTTCGATTCATTACACACACACACAAAGGCCTGATGGAACAACAACAACAAAAAATAGAAAAAGAAAGAATTTTGATTTGTCAAAATGATGAGATCAAATTAAATTTTCTATCTGTTTGTACCGAACAAAAAAATGAATAAAAGAATGTCTTTCAAACTGACATATACATGGATAATGATGATGAAAATACAAACAAACGGGGTTAATAAGAGTTTTTTTTTGGTTTCAAAAATATCAATCTTCCACCGATGATGATGATGATAAATACGGTAGGTGAACAATTTTAATTAGGACTGATGATTACCTGATGATGGTGGTGGTTCAATATTGTCTCAAGCATTTTGTTTGCTTTCTGTTTGTTTTAAAATTCTATATTTCGACAATATTGTGATCCATCATCATCATCATCATTCAATATATTATGGAATCGGTGGCCATAAAAAAACAACAACAACAAGCCGATAAAATAAAAAGTTTTTTTTCGTCGTTATCATTCCCAAAAATAGGCAATAATAAAAAAAATATTGATCATCATCATCATTGATCGATATATATCCATTATTGCCCTTAGGATTCGTTGTTGTTCAACACCATTTGATGATCATAAGCCAATCGTGTATCGAATCGTTGTTTTTTTTGTTGTTGTTGTTGTTGTAAATATTCATTTCTGCCGACTGACCGACCGACCGACCAAAAAAACCTATCCATTGAAAGGCAATTAACATTTTTTTCGGCCATTCTCATTTAGGAATCAATATCATCATCATCATCATCATGATAATGATTACCACCAGCACCACCATTATCATAATCATCGTCATCATCATCATTGTACAAGTCTGAGACAAAAAAAAAAAAGAAAATCTACCGACGGACCGAAATGTTTTATCTTTTAGTTTATTAAATATTATATTGCACGAGAATAAGAAGCTAAAGAGAGAGAGAGAGAGAGAGACAGCAACGAAACGAAAATCTTTTCTCGTGCAATAAAGACATTAGTTCGTTACTGTATGTGTGTGTGTGTGTGTGACAAAGATTTTTTTTTTGTTTTGTTTCATTTCAATTTTATTGTATCCTCCCCTGCCCCTCTCACCCCCAAAAAATCGTCGGCGACATTTAAAACAAAAGATGTATGCGTAATGATGAAGAAATGAAAGAACAAAAAAATGCTGATGACTCGATCATTTTGTGACACCGCCTAATATAATGACCAAATATTATTTGTGACCAAATGACCAACAATATTGTCTAAATAAGACAATCATAAACGGGCAACAAACAAACACACACACACACACACACACACACAGCGCAATCAACAAGCTCGTGAATGGCAATAAAACCCGTTTTTTCTTTCTTTCTTTCATTCATTCACCGGTACACTAATGGTTTCTTTGTCTCAAGACCGACATTTACTTTTGGGAATCTTTTTTTGTTTCTAATAATTTTCGATTGATTTTAAAAAAATTTCGGCTTCAGAACCAAAAAAAAAACGATTCAATCATCTTCATTCGTTTTTTTTCTTTTGTTGATTTTTGTTTTTGTTTTGGTGTTTATTATTGATCGATCGATTGATTCATAAACACACACACACACACAATGATAATTTTTTTTTCACAAGGAATTTTGATTACTCGAGGGACTCATCATCATCATCATTATGATGATGATTGAATAAACGTCCATTATCATTGGTGATTGGCCAACCAAACAAACAAAAAAAGTGAGAGAAAAAATTTCAATCTAATCAACCTGGGAAATGAGACCAAAAATTCGTGACATTTTTTGTTGTTGTTGTTGAATTTTGAATTTTTTTCTATTTTTAATTCAAATTCATTATAACATCTGTCAATAATTAGTGGCCATTCTGGGTGAAAATTCTGAAATGAATGTGAGAAACAAAAATCTCTTTTTTCTTTCTCTCGTTTGTCCTATATTTTATCATAGCATATCTCATCAGAAATGAAAAGTGAACCATGTCGTTTTTTTTATTGCTCAACAACAACAACAACAATCACCCAAAATATTGATATTGTTGTGGGTGGTGGTGGTATTTTTTTGGCCCATTATTCTTGTTGGCCTGAGGTAATAAACACAACACAACACAACACACACATAATAGGACCCATTGACGCCAAACAATTTACCGAAATGACAATGATGATTATCAATAATGATATGCGGTGTGTTTCTAAAAAAAAAATAAATAAATGTCCCAATTATTTTCTACAGGACACAGAAAAAGAAAAATCTAGGTCCCGTTGATTTTTATGTGACAACTCTATGTGTGTGTGTGTGTGAATGTTGTTTTTCTACTGAAAAAACTTTTGCTTTCGAGAACAAAAAAAAAAAAAAAAATTCCAATGAATCAGTATGATGATGAGAACCACACATCAAACATTGAAATATTTTTGTTTTCCCTTCAGTTTCGGCTTCAATTTGATCATCATGTTTGTTTGTTTGTGTGTGGGTAGTCATCACCCAAGAAAAGAGAAAAAAAATTCCCATTTGATATATTGATCGGTATATGATTGTTGTGTTTGGTCATCATTGTCACATTTATATTTACGCGCACACATTTGTCACAACTAATCAAACGAACACACACACACACACAAAACATTTATTCGTTTGTCCTAAATAATAGCAACCCATGAATATATTACAGATCTAATTATCGTCATATTAATGGTCGATAATTGTTTACTTCAATATTTACCCGCCGTTGAGTTTTTCTTGTTGTATGAATCAATGTGATATATTTGTTGTTATGTATAAATAATGGTGGTGGTGGTCGTCGTCGTCGTCTTTTAACATTAATCATCATCATCATCATCATGCAAAATATAAATTGATTATTTTATTAGCGTAACACGCACTACAAGTGGTCCAAATTTCTCCTTTTAAACCATCATTATCGTCATAGTTGTTGTTGTTGTTGTTGTTGTTGTTGTTGTTTTGTTGTCATTATCATTATCATTTGTTTTGGCTTATATTTCACATTCTCATTCTCTCGATGATGTACGTTTTGACCACCACCACCCAATAATATTTACCACCCAAGAAACTTTCAAAAAAAAACTATCACGTGTTATATTTGCTTGCTTGGTTGTTTTTTTTTGTTTTGGTGTCAAATTCTGACAAACAACAACAAACTTGTCAAAAAAAATTCATGTCACATTTTGGGGGACCATGGTTGATAATATTTACATTACACTTTCGTGGGTGGTTTTTTTTATAGATTGATTTAATTTAATTATTTTTAATAATAATTCGTTCATCACTGCGTGTGTAGTGTGTAAATTTCAATGTCATATATTCATATGTGCATGAATAATTTTGGTTTTTTTCTTTTCTATTCTCTCTCGTTAACATTGACATAATTTAATTGAAAACAAAATTGTTGTTGTTTTGTGTGTGTATACTAAGCTTATTATTTATGTAATAATAATAGGCCACACACAACAACAACAACAACAACATGGACGATTAGAGAATTACATAAACAACATACTTCCACCTTCTCTCTCTCTCTCTCTCTCTCTCTCTCTTTGGTCATCACCTGTCTCCATTCATCAACTTGTGCAACAAATAGTAAGGGTGATGGTTTATTTCCAGATTTTCTGAATATCTGATCGAATCAAAAAAAAAAAAACAAAAGTTTACGAGCTAATCATAACATTGATTGATTCAAGCTGTGCGCTATATAAAAATTTTCATTCATTCATTCATTCAATTTTTAATAATCTCTCATGGTTGTTCAAGATTCAAAGTTTGACAAGTTGATCACTCACGTGTTGTACACACACACACACACACAAGATAATCCGACAAGTTGTGATTTGAAAAAAGGGGTTACATATTGTGTGTGATTGAGAGCAACCAAGCAAGTTTGTGGCTATGGTCAGGAAATAAAAATGGACAATTTTTTTTTTTTTTTTTGACACTAATCAGATTTTTTTGTTTATTCATTCAATTACATTATTATTGACCGGTAGTGATTATTATTTCGATGGATGAAATTACAATGAATTATTATTATAGGACTAAATTTTATTCATTCATCTGATTTGTAATAATTGAAAATTATAGCAATTCAAACACATGATAATTGATTTTCTAATTTGAATTGCAAAAATTAGGAATGCGAACAAGAAGAATTTAACTTTGTGTTTGTTTAGTTGATTTTTTTTTTGATGACGATATTTTTTTTGGGGAGAAAAGAAAAATTATGATGATAAATTAATTATGAAGAATGGCATCATATATTTGATGTACAGGTGTCGCTACATCGGTTACACGAGCTTTCAATGAAAGAACAAATTGTGAATTACCTGGCTGTATTTTGAGCTCAGCCAATACCCAAATGTTGTTGGTGAATTTCATCGATTGATAAAGCATATCTTGTCCTTCTACATTACGTCGTGCAATAGTGAATATATTGTTCGATTGTAATTTCTGTGATATTTGTTCCACGGTCAATGTTACATTTTCAATATTGAATTGTACTTCATTCTGTGATGGAATATCTTTCCATGTGGAAAGAAATACACGTTTATCCATGGCACCATCTTCACTGCAAAATACATTGACCGGTACTATACAGCTGAAATAGAAAACATCCACATGATTTTTTACGGCCACTTGTAAACTAGTCAATGGATCCATTTTTTGCACTTGTCCCAATGTATTTAACTGTAGACTGATTTCAGCATTGGTATTCGGTTGTAATGGTGTTGGAACCTGAAGCGGTTGTGCCGGTGCTAAACCAAAACTATTCTTATTGAATTGGATAGCAAATCCACCCATAGCTTGCATTGCTTTATTATGAAAAGTCATATCCATATAGATCTGGCCATTTCGTCTAGAAAATGTTCCTTCAATTTCCAATCCTTTTCCACGAACTGCAGGCAACCAAACCTAGAAAAGAGAATTGTTTGTTTGTTAGAAATTTTCATAAAGATTCCAACAGAATACATACTTGTTTAGGTGGTGAATAAAATGTTTCCGAAGTTGCCAGACCAAAAATATCGCCCAATAGACCAGTGGTTGATAGTCCAGCGGTCGATGCGGTTGCAGCTGCAGTTGATGGTTGATCTGAACTACCACCACCCCCACCACCACCAAGCAATGTATCCAATCCATTACCAAGAAAATCAACATTACTACCGCCGGTACTAGCGGATGGATAAACGTTTGTCGAACCAGTTGCATTGATATCTAGACTGAGAAGATCTCCAATCAAACTATCGGCAGCCGGAATGACAGTCGGTTGAGCTTGATCAGCCGCATTATTATTATCTTCACCTGAACCATTACGGCTCATCAATGTTTTACGTTGATAACCACTTCGACCTTCGACAAACGAAGACGGTGGTTTATGATAAACCGAAGCTAAACTGCCAATATGACAGATCAGTTCATCTAATAATGTTGGCTCCAATAGATCAGTTTCTTCCGAAATCAATGGTTTCTCAGCAAGAACCACTTCTTTGGCAGCAGCCGGATCTGTTGATAGTAAACGCCAATAAATGAAGCCACGATCACGAAGATCTGGATTGTCACTATCCTGAGTGGCTAGGCTTAATACTTGCTGCACCAATTCTTGTGTTTCGGTTGGTCGTTTAAGAAATAATTTTACGATTGCTGTCAAAAGTTGTAGCTGAACTTGTGTGTTCTCATCATGAAAACCTTCCAAAAATGTTTCCAACAATTCATCAGCATTATCGATTCGTTCAGCATATTCACCAATGATCCAGATCATCGATGCTCGTGCTTCTGGTTCATCCAATGTATCCAAATTTTCACACAAAGTTGAAATGATACTTTCATATTTATTGGGATATTTACGGAAAATATCTTTGATGACAACAATGGCTTCTTGTACAACATAATTGACTTTTGTCTGAATCAATTCCAATAATGTGGCCACACATCGTTCAGCCGATTGTTCAACTTTGATGGCACAACGACCAATAGCACGTACTGCTTTTCGAACAAAATCCACATCCACTTCGGTTGCATATTCTTTCAATTCGGCTAGAACTTGATTAATGTTAGCCTGTGATGCTAACCGGATCATTATGTCCAATTTTTCCAATTTAACATAGATTGGATCATTGTATTTGACGAAAAATACTTTCATCTCATGTTTAAGAATATCTGGCCGTTTCTGTACGATTAGATTGATATTACGAAGTGCAACATATTGAACTTCTGGTTCACTAGATAACAATGTAACCAATGGTGGTGCCAATTTTTTCGTCAATGTTCCAACAAAATCTGAATCCTGTGCAATCATTTCCAGAAATTTCATTAAAACTTTTACAGCACTTAAAACAACGGCGGCATTTGCATGTGCTAAACGAGGTGTAACACGTTCACAAATACTTTGTGCTTCACGATCATCGGCTGGTGTGTAATTGGACAATGCATCCAATATGAATACCTGGCCCCATTCATTGCATTCATTCAGAGCGGTCAACAATTTATTGATGGTTTGCATATTCAATTCAACCAATGATTTTCCTGAACTGGATGCTTCGTTTATTTCGGATAATGCAGCAACAGCATTAGCAACGACCATAGGATTCGAATCGGACAATAGATCTTTGAGTAGATCAAGAAATCCTTGTTCTTCAACCATCTGTGCATTGATATCATGCAATTTTGCTACACATACGGCAGCCGTTTTTCTTACATATGGATCTTCATCTCGTAAACATTTCCGTAATGGTTCACATAGATATTCGGTAATTTTATCCACTCGAATACAGCCCATAGTACGAACGGCCAATGCACGAATCAATGGATTAGGATCTTCACAATCTCGAACGAACGTATTCACAGCCATTATGGCCAAATCGGGCTGACTTTTAGCATAGTTCATCAAATAAAGATAGACCAATTTTTTCAATTCCAAATTATCTGTCTGCATACAGTTAACAACATCGGGAAACAATGCTGATACATCTTTACCAACGGTCATCGATGCAATCACTTTTTTCACAGCTTCTCGTCGTTTTTCTTTCTTATCACTGTTCAATTCACTTTTCAATTCGAATATTTCACCTTTTTTGGTGTTTGCAAAATATTTTGCATCGGTCATTTTCTATATTCAAAGTAGATGTTGATCGATTTGGAATGTTGAACAATGGTGATGAATGAATATATTATTATTATTATTTTGTTATTCTAACGCCCAGAACAAAATAAATTATTTTTTTTAGCAAAATTCAATACAATTGACACATCAATCACCTGGGTCGTGATAGTATCCATTCATTTCCAATAGATGGCAGATAATGTGAATATATATCTATCCATACAAAAATGACATGCATCATTCGCTTTTTTTACAATCAAAGCAAAAAAAGTGCGTGAGTATTTTGACTATATCCACACAAAAATTTACCAAGAAATAGCCGAAATACTTCAAGCATTTTTTGAAAAATCGTGATTTATACAATTTTTTTGTTGTGTATGTCCAATAATCCAGTGAACATAATCTGATAATCTGAATATAATGGATGATGATGGCTATAATGATGAGATTGAAATGAAAGCCATTTCAGTGAAAAATCAAATGATTCTTTATGAATCTTTATTGAATTTACGAATGAAAATTCAGAAACTATTAACATTATCCAATCGTTTACCATTGGATTTGTCCATCTTAAATGATGAACAAAATCAAGAGATGAAAAATCAATCAATGAAAGGTATTCAAAAATTACAAAACTTATTCATTGAAATTGAAGATTTAATCTGTCACTATGGTGATGATGATCCATCATTCGATAGAAAGAAAAGAAAAGCATCCGATCAAATGCAATTTGAACAAATTTTATCGAAAAGATTTTGTACATTAAAAGAATATTATCCCACAATAATCGATGAATGGCATGACAAGACTAAATTTGTTCATACGAATGTTAATCTAAAAAAATTCAATTCATTCGATATTCGACCATCGAAAATAATAGATAAAATTCTTATGGATAAAGATCGATTAATAAATCGTACGAAAATCCAACGAAGTCAATATCAAATTATGATGATGAGATGATGATGATGATGATGATGATGATGATGATGATGATGGTGGTGGTGGTCAACGACGACAAGATATATTTGATGATGATGATTTTTATCAATCATTATTACGACAAATTATCGATAATAAAACATCGAATGCATCATCACAAGATGGATCATCATCATCATTGAATAAAATTATTGAAATCCAAAGATTACGTAGTAAATCGAAAAAATCAATCGATACAAAAGCAAGTAAAGGAAGAAAAATTCGCTATGATGTTCATGAAAAATTGGTCAATTTTATGGCACCGATCGATCGAACTACGATGGAAGATGAAGCGAAAAATGATTTATTCAAATCAGTTTTCGTGAATTCTGTCATTTAATCGTCAGTTAGTTTATGATTTATTTTCATTTTGTTTTAAAAATACAAATTTTCTTTCTTCAAATGAATAAATTTTTTTTTATGGCAATTCAAATTACGCATAACCCTGTGATGATCAACACAGCTGGTCTTGTGGCTGTTGTTGTTGTTGTGGTTGTTTGGATGTTGCCACGCCTTTGTTTTGATTAACTTTTGATATTGAGAATCAATAATTTGGGCCATTTTTTTGTTATTTATTTATCAATTTTCTTTGATTATTTACCACCATATAACTGAAATAATAATTGACTATGTAAAATATAAATATTCAATTTCATCATCAACAAGTGTGTGTGTGTGTGTGTGTCCACATCAACACGATAATAATAAAATAGAAAAAAAAATTGTTGTTTTAGGCGACGATGATGACAGTGACAACGAATGATTATCGTTATGGAAATTTATCAATTTTATTATATGTCAATTTATTGTTATTATTATTTTGCTGGACATTATCCACAAGCGAAACTGATCTAGATAATTATGGACAACAACAACAACAACAACAACATGGTTCGTTGATGACGACAGCCAATTATAATAAAGATGGCGATATGTCACTTTGGATCGATGAAATGCAAGTAAAGCAATTTTTCAATGGTATATTTTGTTCATCAATTCATTATATCTGTAATTTAATGTTCGTTTCATTTTGTTTTGTTTTCATTTACAGGATTTCCAATGAAAATTCATGCAATTGTCGATGGTGTTGTTTTACCATATGTTTTGGATCCAAATTTTGAAAAATATCTACCAATCATACCATCACAGGTAACATCGGTGAATTTTACATGGAAATCCGGAGAGAATAGAAATTATTATTATGATTTTGATCAATTGCAATCATTCAATGATGATATATTAAAAGCACCTGTACTATCGATCAAATCAAAAGGTCTAGTGCCAAAACAGCCAACAGTCTTTCAAGTTTTTATTCCATGTATTGGAAACATTTCTGGTATTGCATCATTTACATTAGGATTACGATTGATCAATACAAATACAAATCAGTATTTAGCTGGTACACCGATACGATTAAAATTACAAAAACAATGTACATATCATGGTCCTGATCCAGAATGCGATAAAAAATGTGGAAACAATGGTAAATGTAATAGCGAAAAAATTTGTGTTTGTCCTACAGGTATTCATAACATTATTTGTTTTTTCCCTTAAAATTGTTAACTTGATTTTTTTTCGCCTTTTTTTTGTTCCACACACACACACACACAGGTTATCTAGGTAAATATTGTGAATCGGCACTTTGTTATCCACAATGTATGAATGGCGGAACTTGTATTGCTCCTGGTGTTTGTGTTTGTTCACAAGGATTTCAGGGGTTACATTGTGAGGTATTTTTTTTTTTATTGAAAATTTAACTATCAACGTTTCTCATTTCAATTTATTCAACAAAAAAAAGGGTGGAATATGTAGCCAAAAATGTTTAAATGGTGGAAAATGTATACAAAAAGATTCCTGTCTTTGTCGACGAGGATATTATGGTCCTAGGTATATTAATATTTTCATCATTACAAACTGATTGATTGATTAATTTTTGTCGTTATATGAATATAGATGTGAATATTCAAAATGTATGATTCCATGTTTGAATAATGGAAAATGTGCTGGCGTTAATCGTTGTAGATGTCGAAAAGAATTCACTGGTTCACAATGTCAAATACGAACAAATAACACTACTAAATTTCATCATAGATTTAAAAATCGTAATCATAGAAAAAAATCAAAGAAAAAATTTGTATAAAATTTCAAGTTTAGTAGTTTTTATTATTATTATTATTATTATTTCAACAAAAAATTTTACAAATAAAAATTCAATTACAATTCTTCTTTTTTCTTCTGTTTCGAATATTTGCCTGGATAAACTTTATTCTCAATGGTAACATCTTTACATCGTTTTTGTTGTATTAAAAATTCTTTAGCATCCCATGCTTGTGCACCATCTTTAAACATGAATATAGCACGATTATCATCAACAATAAAACGATCGGCAATGATATGATTATTCTGTAGACTTGATTGCCATAATGATGTAATACTTTCAGTTTCATCACGTGTTGGATTATCATCCACCGAAACAAATGACATTAATGTTTTACCTTTTTTACTTAATTTTAAAACATTTTCTGGATTTGAAAAATCCATTTTTGTCATATCAATTTGTGGTGATTGTTTCCGTAAATGTTCAGGTAATTCATCATCAGGCAATGGTTCTTCATTCTCTTCCCATTGATCAAAAAGACGTTCAAGATCGGCATCATTATAATCACGGATATCTTTTTGTTTCCAACTTTTTTCATCACAATTAATTAGAGAAATGATAAATATCAGTAAAATGAAACTAGATTTATGATGATTATTCATTATGATGATGATGATGATCAATTCGAAACGGCAATGAATCACATGAATTAATGATGACGTTATTCATGAACGTGTTGCCAATATATTGTGTTCTGTTTTTTAAACAAACTCATCATAAATGAGTCAAAAATTTCAAACAAACAAAATTAATTGAATTTCAAATCAAATTTTTTTTTCTTCTAAAATGTCTGGCAGTTTTTGGCGAAGTTCTCATTTGTAAGTTTTGTTTCTGATGTGATAATCAACTGATTGATTTCTTTATTTCAGCCAACAATGGTTATTGACAAGACAAGATCTTCTTCGTGAAAGACATTATGATTTACAGATTTTGAGTGAAGAAGAATATCAAAAATTGATGATATTTTTTGCCAATTGTAAGTGATCAGATTAATCAGATTAGCCGATAATTAATCAATCAATTTTTTTTAATATAACAGTTATACAAGCACTTGGTGAACAGCTAAAAGTCAAACAACAAGTAATCGCAACTGCAATTGTATATTTTCGACGATTTTATGTTCGTAATTCATTAAAATGTATTGATCCATTGCTATTGGCACCGACATGTTTGTTTTTGGCATCTAAAGTAGAAGAATTTGGTGTCATATCTAATAATCGACTAATAAGCACTTGTCAACAAGTTGGTAAGTGTAATCATAAAATTTACTTATTGCCATTAACTTTTTTTTAAAATCGCTAGTAAAAACCAAATTCTCCTATGCATATCCGCAAGAATTTCCATATCGTATCAATCAGATATTGGAATGTGAATTTTATTTGATGGAGATAATGGACTGTTGTTTAGTATTATATCATCCATATAGACCATTGATTCAATTTGTTCAAGATTGGAATAATAAAGATTCTATGTTATCGACTGCATGGTAAGTGGATATTAATAATTTTACAGTGGTCATTTTTTATTTTTTTTTTTGTATGTTATAGGAATGTTGTTAACGATAGTTTTCGTACAGATGTATGTTTGTTATATCCACCACATCAGATTGCATTAGCTTGTCTTCATATTGCATGCGTTATAAATCAAAAAGATTCCAATAAACAATGGTTTGCTGAATTGCATACCGATCTGGATAAAGTATTGGAAGTTACGAAATACATAATGAATCTATATGAAATGTGGAAACAATTTGAAAAACAGGAGAAAAAAGAAATTCCAGAATTGTATGTTATTGATTAATGGATAAATGATGAACTATATATTTATGATTTTCATTTTTTTTTTTCAGACTCGAAAAAATGCCCAAACCAAAGATACAACCTTCAAGGTAAGTTTGATTGAATTAAATGCTGTGATTACAAATCATTCATTTATTCATTCGATTGTTTCATTTTTAGACCACCATCACAAGGAACAAATGATAACCAGAATTCCGTATCACAAAATAGTATTCAAAAATGAAAATTTTTTTTTTTCAGATTGGTGGTGGTGGAACATGTTTTATTTTTCACAAAAAATAATAATAAAAGAGGAAAAATTGAAATTACAATTTTTTTGGTTCTCTATTTCTCTTCTTTGACTTCTTTTTTACCACCTCTGATACGGCCAGTACGACGAGCAGCAATAAGACCAACTTTACGACCAGCACTTGCATCACGACGTACGGTCGAAGCTTTACCAATGTGTTGATGATTACCACCACCGTGTGGATGTTCAACTGGATTCATAGCAACACCACGAACTTTGGGCCATGAGTTTCGTTTAGCCTTGTATTTGTGATAAGCACGGCCAGCTTTCAGGATTGGTTTATCGATACGACCACCACCAGCAATGATTCCAACCATGGCTCGATTAGATGATTGAATTACTTTCTTGGCACCCGATGGTAACTTGATACGGGTTTTCTGAACGCAAATATAACAATATACATTAGTTTCAAACATGATAAATATACTTTTGAAATAATACCTTGGTGTCTGGATTATGGGAAATAACAGTGGCATAATTTCCAGAGGCTCTTGCCATTTTACCTCGGTCACCTGGTTTTTCTTCCAGATTACTGACAACAGTTCCTTCGGGCATTGTTCCAACCGGTAGAATGTTTCCAATTTGAAGGTTTGCCTTTCGGCCACAATAGACAAATTGTCCAGTGTACATTCCTTCAACGGATAGAAACAATTCCTTTCTTAATTTGTATTTGTATGGATCGCGAAAAACAACAACGGCCAATGGAGCACCACGACCTGGATCGTGAATAATTTCCTAAAAAAAAGACGACAGAAATTTAGTAAAGAATTGCACAAAATAGAATAGTTTCAATTTCATCCGAACATTCAGAAACAGCCTCTAATTATCATTCATGGAATTTATGCATTTTACAAGATTAAATTTACATCATCTTTTCATTGAAGAATTCGATGAAAAAAATCGACTTACTTTGACAACACCTTTAATGTAGCCATGTCGTTCAGCAAAATCGATAGCGCGGAATTTCGGCGCTCCTTTACGATGTTTATTATGGCTCTTGAAAACGGAACCAGCACCTTTACGTTGACTTCGAATTACACGTCCCATGATGATGATGAATGATGGTGAACGCGAAAAGAAAAATGAAATTAAAAAACAAAATCAAAATCAAGAAAAAATCACCACATGAACACGTGAATATAAAGAGAAAGAACAGTGCCTGTGTGTTTGTGTGTGTGTGTGCGTGTGCTACGCGGAAACGGGAAACAAAGAAAACTTGTTTCGTGTGAGTTGTAAAAATGTTTCGGAAACATTTCTCACAAAAAATTTCATCATCAAAAAAAAACTAAATAATTTAATAATTAATTAAAAATTTAGAAAATTTAAAGAAATTTACAAAATATCATTTTTTCTATTGATTATCTGGAACAAAATTGGCTCGAAATTCATGGCTAAATTAATAAAATCAGATAAAAACATTACATTGTATATGAACGGTATTTTTTCTAGTGGAATATTTGAGAAAAGTGAGCACACAAAAAGCTGTGTTGCTCATTGTGATTACATTCAATTCGAAGTTAGTTGTTTCATTGTCAAGTTGTAACTAGACTTTAACAATTTGTGAAATTAAACAAAAAAAAATTCTTTTTATTCTTTTAGAAAATATTCATATTTCTATTCTTAGTTCTTAATTCAATTTAATATGAGCTATCCTCAAAATGGAAACAGTCCTCTAGATCAGCAGGTAAGATTTTTTTGTTTTCATCATAAAAAAAATATATCAAAATATGTGATTTATTAATTGACTTTTATTTAGTTTGCTGCTCTGGATATGAATCAGAACAATGCCCCTCGATTCGATGCTGCTTCTGCTGCTCCAATGCAAGCAAGAGGCTATGTGAATTCCAATGAAAATTTTCAGAATCCTGAAATGTACAATCGTAGAGGTAAACTTGTGAAATTACTATCTAATTTAATCATGTGAAATAATAAATTTTTCTTAGCCTATAATAATCAATACAATGATGGTGCTCGTGACTCATACAATCGCCCTAGAACATTTAACAATTCCGGTGATCGTGGTGGCAATCGAAATTTCAATGATAATCGCTATCCACGTGAAAATGGCTTTGTGAATCGTGGCTACAACAATAATAATCGATTTTTTCCTCGAAGCAATGCAAATCTTGCATGGCGAGATCTTCCTCAGCCACAACAGCCTCAAATGGAAATTGCAAACGGATTCCAGGCAGAGAATCAGAACCGAAATTTCTATCCTCGGAACAATGTTAATGGATTTGCTAATAATAATCGAGTTAGCAGCGGTAATTTTTATCCACGAGGTCCACCACCTCAACAAGTTAATCAAGATTGGACAAACCCATTGCCACGAAATGAAGAATATGAAAAGCATCTATTTGCTGGCGTTCATACTGGTATTAATTTCGAAAAATATGAAGATATTCCTGTAAAAGTTACTGGTGAATGCTGTCCTCAGCCCATCGAATCTTTCGATGATTCTCAATTGAAATTAACTCCGATCATTGAAAATAACGTTAAACTGGCCAATTATGATAAACCGACTCCGGTGCAAAAGTATGCCATTCCCATTATAATGGCTGGTCGTGATTTAATGGCTTGTGCACAAACTGGTTCTGGCAAAACTGCTGCTTTCCTTTTGCCCATCTTGAATAATGCTTTCATATCTGGCCCTCCTGCTCCCCCACCTGTACGTCGACCTGGTGGCTTTCGAGCTCGACATTTTCCGTTGATTTTGATTTTGGCACCAACACGAGAGTTGGCACTTCAGATTTATGATGAAGCCAAAAAATTTTCTTATCGCTCCCGTGTCCGACCATGTGTCGTCTATGGTGGATCCGACATTGGTGCCCAAATGCGAGATTTGGACAATGGATGCCAACTTTTAGTTGCTACTCCAGGTTAGTAAAGTATTCGAGTATGATATCATCATCAATAAATTATAATCAATCTAATAATTAAATAGGACGTTTGATTGATATGGTGGAACGGCGAAAAGTTAGTTTGGAAAAGATTGCTCATCTTGTTTTGGATGAAGCCGATCGTATGCTCGATATGGGTTTTGAACCACAAATTCGCCAAATCGTTGAACAATGTGACATGCCTGAAACTGGTGTTCGACAAACTTTGATGTTTTCTGCCACGTTTCCAAAAAAAGTTCAAGAATTGGCTACAAACTTTTTAGAAAATTACATTTTCCTCACTGTTGGACGTGTTGGAAGTACTTCGGAAAACATAACCCAAAAAATTGAATGGGTCAATGAGAACGACAAGCGTTCCTACTTGCTTGATTTATTGAACAACGATGTTCATCGTTCAGGTTCGTATTTTTTCCAATGAATGTTTTTATTCATTCATATTGTGATGATCTAATCACTTTATCAAGACACTCGAAGAATGATCCTAATGATTAATTATAGATTATAACTGACAAAAAAATATTTTAATATTTTTTGGATGCTCATGTATACATCAATTTAATGCTCTTTTTTCATTTTATTTTTAGGCCCTGATTCGTTGACTCTGATCTTTGTTGAAACCAAAAAAGGTGTGGATTATCTGGAACATTTCTTGGAACGAAATGGTTGCCATGTAAGCAGCATCCATGGTGATCGAAATCAAAATGATCGTGAAGATGCATTGTACAGCTTTAGAGCTGGTAGAACTCCAATCATGGTTGCAACAGCTGTTGCTGCTCGTGGTCTTGATATTCCCAATGTCAAGCATGTAATCAATTTCGACTTACCAAATGATATTGAAGAATATGTTCATCGGATTGGTCGAACCGGTCGTGTGGGCAATTTGGGTTTGGCCACATCGTTTTTCAACGACAAGAATAAAAACATTGCCGTCAATCTTTACGAACTTATGGTTGAATCAAAACAAACTATTCCAGATTTCTTGACCAACATGGTTAAATCGATTAATGCGGAATCACGAAGCTCTTGGAATCGTCACAAACCAGGCCCACGAAGGTTTGTTATCATGTCGTCGAATGATTGAATATTAACTTTTTAATATTTGAAAATTTCTATAGATATGGAGCTGGTAGTTTTATGTCACGAGATTTCCGACAATCTTATGATGATCATGGTGAATCACCACGTTATTCAATGGCACCACCGCGACAAATGAATGGATTTGTTAGTTACAACAATTCAAATCACAACAATTCATATTCGCGTCCATCCAACCCTCGCAACAATGTTCCAAGTTGTTGGGATTAATTGTGATTGGGTTGATTTGATCAATCTGAATCTACAAAAAAAAATTGGCTCGTATGACTTGGCAATGATGCGTTCCTTTTGATTCTTTCCCTATCGTCAAGTCATATCATTTAAAATTGGCATCATCAACAATTATTACGTTTATTTATGAAATAATGTGGTTAGTATTTTTATTTCAATTAACTTTTCCCCTTTATAAAATCGGCATTCACGTACACACACACACGTACACATTTATCATTCATTTTTTCAATTTTCCATACAACACAATAATATTTAATTGATCTCGATTTTGATTGCAATTTGTGTAAGCTCGGTTTTTATCCTTAGTGACAAAATGCAATCGATCTTTATCAATTTTTTAAACAAAACAAAAAAACAAAATTCATAGCTGTGAGACAATTTTTTTTATATAATAACTAAATATGTTGCTTCTTTCTCGGTGTCAGATAATCAGATCAATCACCACATAATTCGGTGATTGATCTAGTCAAATCATCATTTACTCACAATTGTATTTTGTTCGTTTGTTGAATGAACGAACAAACGAACGAATTTGTAATAAGATTTTTTTTTATATTTTTCGATTTGAATGAAAAAGTGAATCAGAGAAAAAGAACCAAAATATGAAAAAAAAAAAACATCATCAATACACTAACACATGCATGAATCATCATCATCATAAATCATTCTAGTCTTACCTCTTCGAATTTTTTTTTTATTATTCAAAAAAGAAAACAAATGATAATAGGTTGTTTTTTTAATTTGTTTCCATACAAATGATGTGCGAACAAATGGTAGACGACAACATTTGTGTGCCTTAACTTAAAAAATTTGTTGTTGCAAGCCCAAAAATAAAGATTGTTGTTGTTGTTGTTGTTGTTTTTGGTCAACAACAACGACGACGACGATAATTTGTCGTCAAATCAAGTTGAGGCCCATTCATTGTTCATTGTAACATATAGTATTATCATTAATTAATCAATTTTAAAATAATAAATAATTAGGGCAAAAAAAAGTAAGAAGAAGAGGTGATGATGAAGAAGGAAGACTTTATAATGATTATTACCACTTATTATATTATTATTAATTGTATCAAATTGACATTGTATCATCTCTGATTTTTTTGCCTGTTGTTGTTGGATCTGATTTTCACGAATATACATCGCGTTGGCAGCTACATATTTGCTAAATAAAAAAATTGTCAATTCACATCAAACACACACACACATACACACACACACGAACATGAACATGAACTCAGATTTTTAATTATAAAATTTTCTTTTTTTTTCTCTATTTCTACAAATTACGAATGCCGTATTATAATTATAATAATATGATAATATAACCTTTATCATCATCATCACTAATTACACAATTGTCTAATCCTTTCTTTACCAATTGATTGATCCATCCATATATGATATATTTGTTTGTTTGGAAAAAAAAATGATGGATGGATCCAAACTGACACACACACACACATATACACATACACAGAATCAATTCAATAAACAGCCATCAGAAAAAAATACACCATTCACACCACCACAGCAACAGAATTTTTATGTATCCAATTTGTCCACACACACATCAACAACACACAAACACACACATTATATATCAGTAGTAAAACGTATTTAATAATAATTCAAATTGAAAATTTTTATTAAATTCAAGAAACAACCATAATGAATGAATGGTAAATTAATTTTTTTGGTTCAATTGGCATGTGTTTTTTTGCTTTTTGATCAAAAATTATTTATAAAAAAATGATGGAACTAGTGCTGCCATCTAGTTTAGGATGATTTTGAACAGTGATGAATAGAAGTTTTTGAATTAAATGACAATCGATGATGATGATGAGCAATAAATATATTTGTTTATTTTTCACTTTTTTTGTCTTTTCTCTCTCATAAAATTGAAACAAAAAAAAATTTTCGTTAATCAATCAATAATAAAAAAATGATGATTGAATCTGATCAATACAAATCCATAATAAATTGAATGCAAAAATTTCATCGAAATTTTTTTTTTTTTTTTTTTGATTTTTCAGTCATCATTGACGTGGATGACGTTTCTGTCTCATCGTTCAATGTTTGACATCATCATCCACCTACACGTCTGAAAAAAAAATTGAATTGTATGAAAATTTGGTGCTTTTTTCTTGTGTTCGACGATCTTATTGTCTTTATACGACATCCATGATGAATGTTTTGATTGTTTTTTTGCCAAATTTCATCAAAAAAAAAATTTGGCCATCTCCACTGGATCATAACACACACACCATTCATGGGATAAACAAAAATTTTGAGTCATCATTCTCGTAAACATAAATATTGACTTGACATAATCCTTTTGTTTTGTTTTTTTTTTTTCGACAAAATCAACATTTTTTCAAAAAAAAAAAAAATTTCATTTTTAAATCATTTTTTCTGTGAATATTTTTATTTACTTGTCGTTAAAAAAAATCGGAAACAAACCTGCAACAAGTGCACTACCGAATAATGGGCAATATGTGTGTGTGTGTGTGTAATATAATTATATTTAAGGTAATAATAATTTGATTGTCGTCGTAATTATCATTCATATGGTTGATTCATGAATGAGACACCTACACACATGTCGATTTGATTAGCATCAAATGTCCAAAAACAAAACAACTGAATGATTTTTTTTTTCTCATTTTTTTTTGTTTGTTTGTTTGCATGTTTTACCAAATCCAATTTAGGATTATCAATGGTGATTAATCATCATTTCATATTGTTGATGATGATCATTGTTGTTTGTCTGTTTTGTCGACATTGACCATTTAGATGTCACCATTTTTTTTCTTTTGAATGTTTCCGGAATGATTCTCGTTGAATATTTTTTTTTTTTCTTCGATAGAATCATCCAAATGTAATCATCGTAATCATTTGAATCTGATCTTGTTCCGTTAGTGAGAAAAAAACACACAGAAAACTTGTTTCTCTTTTTTTTCTCTGCTTTTCTATGAATAAAGAAAAAAAATTGGATCCAATACAAGACAAGACAAAAAACGAAAATGAAAAATAAGTTGATCATTCGCCCACCATGTGTATTCAAAGACAAAAAAAGGCGTGTAGCGGCGGCAAAATCATCATCATGGTGCCCGTTTAACTTTCGTCTTATCTCCTTCGACGTTAGTCATTATTGTAGTTTTAAGTTGCAAAGTTTCATTTCATTTTGTATGCACAAATCATTCGCATATTGTATCAAAAAAAAGTCATGTCATTATAATCGAATCGTATTTGGTGCCCACCATCATCACCACCAACATCACATTGAACCATCAAAATTGTTGTTATTGTTTGTCGTCAAGTTGCTATAATTACCCGGTGTTTGTCTTTGTTTTGCAACCGATTGTATACCAATGTGTTGTGGTCGGTCGGTATAATTAGAAGAAAAAAAAACCGTTATTGTCAATAATAATCGTAATAATAAATTACATTTCATTACATTTCCGATCCAAGTTTATCGACTTCATATGTTTCATCGAATGGCTTCCTGATTTTTTTTTCTCTCGTTTTAATCACTTTATCTTGCGTTTTTTTTTCTTTGTTTTTAACAATTTTTCTTTTGAACACAAAAAAACCAAAAATCTTTTCATTTCATTTCATTTCTTCCGATCATAATTTTTTTACGGTTGAAAAATTTTTGAAAAAATTTTTTTTTCTTTAAAATAATTTTTTTTTTATTTTTATTCGCACAAAATATATATATGTAAATCAAATGTTTATCATCACCATCGTCATCATCATGATTCGATTCGAAAGTTTCTATTTCTATTCCAATTGAAATTTGGCTCACTCACTCATTCTAGTCACAATTTCCGTGAACTAAAATAAAATAATGTACATCATTTTGATTGATTTTAGTATTTTTTTTCGACAAAAATAAAAACAAAATCATCCTTTAAAAGAATTCGAAATATTAAAACCATCATCATCATCATCATCATCAACCTGTCATATTTATAATTCCAACGAAACAAAAGATCCAATGATTGACATCTAATCCACATCTATCCGATCCGGTCATTGTTCAACGAATAAAAAAAACAACAACAATATTTCTGAGATCAAGCCGTTAAATACGATAAATTTAACGACAACAGTAACAACAACAAAGTGATCATATGGCCAACAACAAAAAAAAATTCACCTGAACCACATCTCTACATATTATATTTAGCATCAATCAAATGATGATGGTGATTGTTCGATTGAATCTACTAATGCACTACTATAACTATTATTATTTTCATCGAAAAAAATATATAAAGACCATTTTCATCATCATCAGCATCATCATTATCGAGGTCGTGAGCTTAATTAAAAAAAATGAAATAAAATATCAATGATCGCAGATAAAAGAACATCTGATTAACTGATCAATTTTTTTTTTATTCGCCATCTCCTGACATCTTCCATTTTAATCCATTTTGTTAATGTTGTTGATGATGATGATGATGGATGATCATTAACATTAACAGCACACACATTCTTTCTCATCGATTCGAATGAAAATATCACATCAATCGGAACTATATAGCCACATCAAATGATGATCCATCAGTCAATCAAGTGAAAAATTTGGACACGATTTTCTTTTCCCTACATTTTGTTTTTTTTTTTGTTTTGTTTTGTTTTCACATAATGGTATTGCGATTGTCTTCAAATCAATCGCCGTTATTGACCATTTGATCTTTTCGTCTTTCATTCATTGATAACAATCAATATTTTTCATATCGTCGTGATTCATATATTGTTGAAATTCCATAATTTCAAAAAATGACCGTTTGACTTCAACGAAACATCAACATCAACAACAACAACAACAACAACGACAAAAACAAAAAAGCATTGCCATTTCATTGACCACCACCACCAACACCGCCACCACCTGGATCAAATAAGTGAATGTTTTGTTTTCTCTACTGTGGTTGTTGTTGTTGTTCAATATTGATAAAACAATCGGGTCATATTTTTTGTGAATCTAATGATTGATTGATTGATTGATCGACACACAGATCGATCCTTCCATATTTTATTCATTCATATAAAATAAATAGGAGTGCCTTATGTTGTTGTTGTTGTTGTTGTGAATTAATTAACCAATTCAAATTGATTGATTGACAGTTATACAATGAACATCCGATAATGATAAGGATTGAAACATTTTCCTGGAAACAACAAGTGTGTTCCATTAATTAATAATTTTTTTTTCTTTATCCAATTAAAAAAACTTCGAAGAACGAAAAAAAAAAAAAATAATAATAATGACATCAACAATAAGCCGACGTCAAATAATATCTCGATCTCGAGATACTGGTCTCAATCGACAACAGCAGCAACAAAAACAGCAACCAATGAATCGTTTTGCACCATATGAAGATTATGAAGAAATGTGGTTCTCACATGAACATTTATTCAAGGTATGTTGTGTGTGTGTGTGTATTATATTGTATTGTGATTGTTATGTTTCATGGCGCACCACGCGTATTGTGATCATCTTCAATTCATTCAAAAAAAAAAAATTTTTTTTATATTTATTTTCACGAATTATAATCGTGATGATATAAACGAAAATTCAACAGAAAAAAAACTCTTTCTTGTATGTGAACTGTGTGAGAAATTTGACACTCGTGTTTTTTTTTGTTTTGTTTTGTTTTCATCATCATTGGCATCAATTCAACACAATTGAATCATTGTTCCGATTGAAACATTACATTGAATGAAATGAATTTGTGGTCATTGTATACTTCGTAGTGTATTACTCTGTAGATGATAATGCCACTGTTTTGATGCATAAAATTTGTTTTCATCAATTGTTTTCTTTTGGCACATTCAATTGTCACCAAAAAAGAAAAAAAAATGAAAAAAAAATTCACCAATAAATGATGATGATGACCACTGTGTCAAGAAGTCAATATTATCTTTATTGATTGCCGGTAGTCGTTCACGATGATGATGATGATGGATGGTTGGCAAAATATTTTTTTCGCCTTTCTTTTTTTTGTTATCTACACTTTATACGTGTGTGCGTGTGTGTGTGACATTAACACTTTTCTTTCTATTCATCAGCACCATCATTTTTATTTTTTGTTGAGAAAGACAATATGAATTATCAACAAAGATCAATTGAATCATTGTCTGATTGGGTTTTTTTTTTTTTTTTTATGTGTGTGTGTATGTGTGATTGAAACGTACTTCAAGTAGCCATAATATGAGAATCGTGAAAATGTTTTTTTTTTTTTAGTTTTTCTTGCCAAGTGATCATATTATGAAAAAAAAATCTGAACATGAAACAGAAAAGAAAACTCAGGTCATCGTGATCATTACACATGATATAATTTATAAAGGAAGGAAAGGCGGTGATCACAAACAACAAGCCTTTCTTCAGAGAGAGAGAGGCTGATTGTAGATCATATGTTATTTTCTCTCGAATTTATCCATGATAAGTGGATTTATATATCATATATAAATACAGTAGCCATTTTGTATATAAAACAACAACAACAATGACGACGACTACGATGACCAACAATTGATTTACAATTAGGACAATTTTTTCTAATAAGTGGTGATTGGGCCAATCCTCCAAATGAAAAAAAAACTAATTTATAATTGAAAATTTGAAAATTCAATATCTCTCTCTCGGTTTTTTTTGCCTTTGGGATGTAATTTATCTTGTTTTTTTTGTCTACACTAACAATCTATCGATAGATTGATCAAAATAATGAAAAATTATCTCATTTGACCTAAACAACAATTTCTATATGTTTTTTGTATTTGTTCGGTTGGGCTGTGTGCCTTAGTGTGCATTTTTTTTGATTGATTTTCATTGTCATTGATGATGAAAACATGAACATTGTATTTTGGGCTAAAAGATTTGTTTCTTCTTTCTTTCAACATTGATCATTTGCATTTTTGCGATACAGTTTTTTTTAAATTAGAATCTACTTATTTATTTCGATCGATGAAACTAATTTGGTGGTTGACATTGACATAGATTGACATAGATATTTTTATTTTCTTAAATTATACACATGACTGATGAATACATGTGTTTTCTTTTTGTGAATTTGCAATAATAATAATAAAAATAATCTTGTTTGATGATTAATGAGAAATGATGATGATATTGTTGTGCTTTCTGTTTGTTTTTATAGTCACTGTGTGTGTGTGTGTGTGTGTTTCATAGCATTTTAGTAATTTTTTTTTCATGCATCAAAATTGTGCATGGATTTTGTTTTCACACGCATAATAAATTTTCATTTCATCCATGTTTTAATTCATTATCGTCATCATCTTGATACCATTATCATGTCATCAAATTACAAATCAAATTTTTTTTTTGTCAACCCAAGTATATATGTTATGCAATGTGTGTGTGTGTTAATCTTGATAATTGTTTTAATTTCTTTTTTTTATTCGTTGTTGTTGTTTTTGTTGTTTACATTTCGTCATGAAAAATGTCAATTTTTTCATTTTTGAAGAAAAAAAAAAAAAACTCTAGTTTGTCCAATGTTAATTATCATTTTCACTATTATTTCATTCACGTCATCAATTAACACTTTGCCAATGAAATAATGGAATAATTATGATGATGATGATGATTACCAATAATTTCGGCAAAAGAAAACAAACAATTTCAATGTCAATGGTCAAAAAATGATTTTTCATTTTTTTTTTGTTTTGACCATCTGGATTATTTATAATTTTGCCATTCAGAGAGAGAGAGAGAGAGCGAACGAGTGGAATTTTTTCATTTTTCAATTTGACAATGATGATTGGTTTATGGTCATCATCCATTCGTTTAGGATGATGATGACATTCGAGTGATTTGATGTGATGAACCATGAAAGGTCACCACCATGAAACGAATCGTCATCATCATCATCGAGGACGTTTATCATCATACACACACACACACACACACACACACAACATATATGGCTTATATAGATTTTCAGGTAAAAAAAAATAAAAAACATTGGATTTCATCCACATTTGTGGTGTTTGATCCATAATAAAAAAATTTCTGTATAAAAGGATTCAGTCGTTTTTTTGTTGTTCCTATTTTTTTATTATTATTTTGACTAAATATAGCCACACAAAACGCGCGCTCATTTGTTAAACATTAATCTTCGAGTGTTTCTGTATGAGAGATAGAGAGACATTGAAAATTGAATGTAGGAAAAAAAACAAGACGGCAATAGAAAGAGAAGAGAGAGAGAGAGAGAGTAGGTAGGATGAATCAACGATGAATTGGATGTATAAAAATTCAAAAGAAGAAAAAAAAAAAAAAATTGGCTATATTTGGAACATTCAGAAAAAAAATAAAACTAATTCCGCCACATTCATTTCAAACCGCCGCCACTGATCAAGGGTATTTTCACTACCACACAACAAGTGTTTTTCAAGCACACAAGGCAAAAAGGTTTTCGTTTCTGTACACTTTACACGAACAAACAAACGATGGTCAAAACCATTAAAAAACACTGGTTATTAGTTTGCCAATAACAATGATAAACGTTTTTCTTTCTGTTTGTTTGTTGTTCATTCGATTCGATTCGGTCATTACTAATATAACAAATGATTAGCGGTCAATGTTTGGGTCACCTGCGTTTTTTTTAGTTATGTTTGGTCATTTATTTAACCAATTTAGCCATTGTTTAACATTATGTAACAAATGAAAAAAATACAATGTAAATGATCATAATAATAATAATATCTAGATCAAAATAGTAAACAATTTCAAATTAATTATAGCGGTAAATATGTTTTGCTTTGTTCAAAAATAATTACCGCCGGTGGTTGTGTTTATTTGCTTGCATTCGTCTGGAACATGTAAACGGTGGTGGCTTATTTTTATTAATTGTTTTTTTTTCTTTTGGATGAATGTGGTTTTTTTCATTTCTTTCTTTTTTTTTTTTCCAGGATCACATAGCCGAAGTATTACGTAAATGGGAACAAATTGATGATGAAATATGGGCAAAAATGATTTTTATGACTCGTAATAGACGGATAGCCAAAGCATATGTTCGTGTACCGGCCGTTATAATTGATGGTACCGATAATGGATTTGATGGCTATCGAGTTGGTTTAAATGGTTTCGAAGATCCATTTAGAGATCCAATGACTGATCAATTAATGAATAATATTGAAAAGGTGTGGAAAGAAAAAAAAATAATAATTTTTATTTTCATTTCAATTAATTTGAAATTTTTAATTTCCATCCATATAGGGCTGTCGAATCGGTATCGATGATAATGGAAATATATTAATAAAACGTTATAGTATGGCAAATGTTTATGTACGATCATATCCATTGGATTATAGCCATTCATGTGTTGATAATAACGTGATACGAATGAATGGCTTGCTAGAACTGCAAAAAAGATACATATTATTCGATATGTGTAAATTTGAAATGGCAATGATGAATGAATTAAAATCAGCATATCCTGATCGTAGCCGTTTAGAACAACAATGTATCGTTATTATTGGTTTTGTTCGTGATAATCCAGATTCAATATTGGATATGCCTTGTTATGTAATGCTTATCAATATTGTTGCATTGGATATGCTCAAATCGAAATTAAATCCAGGTAAGTTGAATGATGAAACTTTCTAAAATTTTATCGTTTTTTTTTGTCATTTATAATAAAGTCATGTATCGAAATATTGTCCCCCATAAGAAACGTGTTCCGGAATTTGTATCAATATTTCAACAACAACAACAACAACATGATAATGATGGTGATAATCATAGTGATTGCTGTTCAGGTGATGATGATGATGATGATAATCATTATCCAATATATGGACAAATAATAGAATCATCATCATCATATGGTGATAATTATTTATGGAAAAATAAAAATAATCATCGATATAACGAAAGACGTGGATTACTTTATTCACACGAAAATGGACCACAATCAATGCCAACATTGGCAAATATTCATCATCCATTACGTTATTTACCTCGTCTGGAACAAGGACAATCAGAAATGTCAATTCATTCAATGACGATGAATAATAGACCACCTAAATTACCGCCGCGTGATAAGAAAAAACTTTCTCGTCAAATTAATACAATAAAATCGGCAAGAAAAAGTCAAAAAAATCATAATAATAACAATTCTACTATAAGACGATCGGTAGAGATTCCATCACCGGATTATCATCATAATGAAGAAATATCGACCATTAAATCTAGATCAAATCGAACAAATACGAAATGTATGAATGAAAATAGTAATAATGGTGAAAATATTTATGGAACAATAATGTTAACTAAAAATAATGGCTATCAAACATCATCGACAAAACAACGTGAACTAAATAGCCATCATAATAATAAAAATTGGCCAACAACAACAACAATCAATGATCGATATGAACGTTCGATGACAAAATCAATGCCAACATATTGTATACGTAATAATAACAATGGTAGAACCGTGACTGGTCCATCTTCATTTCATAATCATCATCATTCAAATTCTACATCTTTTAATCGTACATTTATTGGTAAGTTGATGATGATGTTTTATGTCATCATTGTTCATTCATTTCTTTCTTTTTCTTCCATTCTTAAAAAGGTGATGGCCCAAATCTTATAATGAATCATCATCCTCATCATCTTGATGAAGATCCATATTATTCAGGTCTTGAAGCACGTGTGACATCGAATCGTTTGCATAGAAATCATCATAATAAAAATAATGAAGATGAAGATGTCGTCCAAACCAAAATGAAAGGTCTAAATTGGATGATGCGTAAAGTTCTTTCATCCAACTATATTAATATGCTTACATCACGACGACAGAAAAAGCAAAATAATAATAATAATAATAAAATACCAAAATCAAAATCCTCAACAAATGAATCATCTACGGATTCAGATCCCTATGTATCCATTAATGATGTTTATGAACCTATCTATGGTTATGGTATCAACAACAACAACAATATGAATTCTCGAATGTCAAATGGATGGCCAACTATTCAGGCTCGAATCAAACAATAGTGTTATTCTTCATTCTAACAGTTTGTTTCCATTTTTCATTTGCATTTATTTATTTTCCATAGTCATCAACATTCTCATTTCATCAACATATATTGATTGATTGTTAGAGTTATTACTCATCGTTTATTTCAAACATTTAAATATCTTTGTCTTTTTTAAATTGAATATTTTTTAAAAAAAAAATTTCAAATAAAAAAATATTCCCGAAAATATTAAATTTGTACGACCAAGAAAGTTCTTGAAAAATCTAAAAAAATAAAAATCACGAATCAATTTGTTTGTGTTTATTTTGGGTGTATTTTTTTTAACAACAAAAATTTAAAATCTATAAAAATGCATGATTTTCTTGAAGATAATAATGTCTGTGGTCAAAATCTATTACGAATTGTTTCGCAGGGCAATGCCATCATTGCTGAAATTCATCATCTTTCCGATATGGTACCGAATGTGTTTCGAATGGAAACAATCAGTTCAAATAATCGCCAAAATATGAATAATAATAATTTCAGTGATCTAATAATGGATTTCAATTATTTTAAATCATCCGATTCGATTGAACGGCGTATTGAAAATGATGAAAAATTATTGATCAAAGATGAAGAATTACGTGAAACATATATCGAATTATTAGTGAAATTTTATCTACTTTTCGAAAGTATACATCGATATGCAATCGATTTGGAACGTTATCTAACTGAATTAGATGATGGAATTTACATACAACAAACGATTGAAACTGTCCTGATGGATCATGATGGTAAACAATTATTATGTGAAGCTTTATATCTGATGGGCGTCATTCTGTTGACAATGGATCATGAAATCAACGGAATTGTTCGTGAACGTATGCTAGTCTCTTATTATCGATATTCAGCATCTCGATCTTGTGATTCTCGCATTGATGATGTGTGCAATTTGATTCGTTCTACCGGTTATGCACCAAGCACTAAACGACCGATAAATTATCCTGAAGATTTTTTTAAACGTACTAAAATTCGTACCAGTTTTGCGCGATTGATTATTGGACGTTTACGTACAGATGATGTTTATAATTTATCATCTGTTTATCCTAAACCTGAACATCGTTCAGTTGGCCTATCCACACAGGCATCAATGCTATTCGTATGTTTGTATTTTGTTCCAGAAATTCTGTCTACTGAATTTGCAATAATGCGTGAAATAGTGGATAAATTTTTCGCCGATAATTTTGTCATCTCTATCTATATGGGAACCATCGTTAATCTGATTGAACATTGGGATCCATATAAAGCGGCTAAAGCAGCATTAAACAATACCGTTGATGGTAAAAATATTCGAACCTGTGCAAAACGATTCCGTAACGAAATGGAAGATTTAAATGGAAAAATTCCACAATTTCTAAAAGAAGGTATCATAACCGAAGAAACTATTCTGAATAAAATTAATGAATATATGAATACAAGCCGCAATGCTAATGTTACATTACGTTGGATTATGTTACATACAGTACCGATGCAAGGTGATTTTATTGACACCCACCAATCAATGAAACGTTGTCGACAGATTCGTGAACAAATTATTACCGAACTTAAATTCAATTCAATAGATCTGTTTCATTTATTATTGAATACATCTGAATTCGAATTACGTATACGAGATATTTATAAACAAATTCTACAGAATCGTCACGATAAAGTGATTAAATATCGTGAAGAATCCTATAGCCGTATCAAAGAATTGGCCGAAGTGTTTTCCGGACAAAAACCATTGAGTCGTATTGAACCGAATGCAAATCTTCAGAATTGGTTTGAAAATTTTGCCAAAAAAATCGATGATATTTGTTTGGAGACGGATAGTGACCGAAATCAGGCCAATCAAATGTCAAGAAAATTAATACAGCTAATTAAAGCATTGGAAGAAATTCAAGAACTTGGCCAACTTGAAAGTAATCTACAGATCAAACAATGTTTATGCGAAACACATAATTATCTTTGTTTGATGATCAAAACTATTGGTATTCGTGATGAGATATTGGTTACACAACAGATTATTGCCGATCTTTCATATGCATGGCGTATCATTGATGATTGTTTCACACAATTCATGCAAAAAGGAATTAAAAAAGATCCAAGTTTAGTTGCTAAACTTCGTGCAGCATTCTTGAAACTGGCCTCGGCTCTAGATTTACCATTATTGAGGATTAATCAGGCATCATCACCGGATCTGATAATGGTCTCACAATTTTATTCATCCGAATTAGTTTCCTATGTTCGTAAAGTATTGCATATTATTCCGGAAACAATGTTTACATTGATGGCCAACATAATCAATATACAGACTAATACGTTACGAGAACTGCCTACACGTTTAATGAAAGATCAATTGAAAAATTATGCACAATTAGATGAACGTTATGAAATTGCTCGATTAACGCATTCAATATCGGTTTTTACCGAAGGTGTATTGGCCATGAAAACCACATTGGTCGGTGTCATACAAATTGATCCGAAAAAATTATTGGAAGAAGGTATACGAAGAGAACTTGTACGACAGGTAGCTGCTGCATTTCATCATACAATAGTATTTAATTCAAAATCGAAAAATATTGAAATTTTATCAAAACTTGAAGAATTGAAAAAAATAATGGATGGTTTTCGTCGTACATTTGAATATATACAGGATTATGTTTGTATAAATGGATTGAAAATGTGGCAAGAAGAATTATCACGAATAATCAATTATAATGTTGAACAAGAATGTAATGCTTTCATGCGGCAAAAAGTTCTTGATTATCAATCATTATATCAATCAAAATCGGTACCGATACCAAAATATCCACCATTAGATCAACAATCATCGAATTTTATTGGCCGTATTGTAAGAGAATTAACACGAATCACTGATTATCGAACCACCATCTATGTTTATGGTATTTCTGCATGGCATGATCAACGAACACGTTCAGAAATTATTGATTCAAAGTTATTTTCATTAATATTGAAAAATTTCGGTGTAGCCGGTACCAATGGCTTGGATAGATTGCTTTCATTTCAAATTGTTGCCGAATTGAATACAATATTCACAATGATTGATACGAATTTTACACGTAGTAAATCAACAATCGAATGTTTTGCAATAATCAATAATTATTTGAATAATGAAACACCCAATGGTATTATAACTTGTAAGTTTTTTTTTTTTTATTCATTATAATTTGATATAATTAATTGTCTCAATCCCTTTTCATTGATAGCTAAAAGTTTTATTGGTCATTATCTACCGATGATGAATCGTTTATCAAAAATTCTATCCAAATTGGCCGAATCGATTGGACATCTTGGACAGTTACAAATTATCCGTCAGAATCTTGTTTATGAATTACGAATGGCATCAAAATTTCATGCAAGACAATTGTCATCAGCATTAGAAGTCTTGAACAATGCTTTAATGACCGATTTTCAAAAACAATCCACTAATATCATTAATGATGAATCATTAGAAGCTACTGAAAAACTTTCATCAATTTTCAAAGATGAAAGTCCACTTTTATTTGAATTATCCAATTATCTTGAATATAATGGTCAATCTGAACCGTTACTTAAGGTAAGCAAAAGCTATATTAATGAAAAAAAACTTTAAAAATAACGTTTCCAATTTTTTTCCCTAAAAGATTTATACAAAAAATCGTTTACCACCAAATTTCGAGACCATATTATTATTGTTGCTCATTTCACAGATGCCAAAATTTATTTATGTTAAAGATATTAATGCATTAACATCATCAGTATCTAGTCAGAAGAATAATGAATCAATCGATGGTACACCATTCATTTTCGGCATATTAACCATACTGCGACAATTCCATAATGATTTGTCCATACGTTTCTTTCGTTTTAGTTCACAATTTGTTAACGCCTGTATTCAGGCAGCTCATTCGCCAAAGTAAGTTTCATTTCTCATTCATAATGAATTCCTAAGAAAAACTCTTAATTTATGTTTCCATTTCAGTCAACAAAAACAGGACATTCCAATCGAAGCATTAAACATGTTACAATTTCTACATCATTGCTGTACGTTTGGTGGTTATAAACGTAAATTAATTACTCAATATTTACCGGATTCAATATTTGATCAATTTCATTGCCTTGGATTGTATTCATTTGCAAAATGATAACACACAGTGATTTGTTATTCATTCATTTCAATTGATCGACCATGAAAATAGACGATCAATCAATTTTTTTTGTTTTTGACATTCAATTTTTACATCCTTCGGAAGCAGCACTCACACTCATTTCAGCTCAAGGCTTCCGTCAGATGGGCGGCTATGTGATTGTCTTCAAACTCAAATAAAAATTTTTTAAAATAAAAATTGAACTCAATTTGCCTATACTTTGCCAGTAAATCAAATTTTTCCACAATTTACTTTTTTTTGAACTAAGTGCTGCCATCTATTGATAGCAATAACAACCAAATTTCTGAGGTGCCGAAAGTGGCGGCCCCTAGCGGATTTCTACTCAACTAATTTTTTGCATTTTTTGTCATTTTTTCGTAAAATTTTAGTTCAGTGTAAATCCGTTAGGGGTCGCCACTTTCGGCACCTCAGAAATTTGGTTGTTATTTCTATTAATAGATGGCAGCACTTGGTTCAAAAAAATAATAAATTGACTGAATGGCTGTAGATTGAACAAACATTAATGTTCTGACGGTGAAATTCTTTTATCTTTTATATTTATTAGTCTTAAAAATCTATCTTATAAATAATTGTTTACTAATTGAAAGAACAGTCAAATGAATTCTGTACATTATTTATGATCAATATTCCTTCGATTTTAAGCATTTCTATACAGCCGATAAAATTTTGATAATAAGCCGGTGTAAGGCCATTTGGTAGCGAATGGCATCCACCGATCCATAGTTTTCCATTTGTATTCAATTCATTGGCGCCATCCTGAGAAAGAGAGCTGGACATGTATTTTTCATCCACTTCCATAGTGCCTATTCGTTTATCTCTGTGGAAAAAAATTCCAATAAATCAATGTATTTTTTTAATGATGAAATATCCAAATCAATTTTCATACCTGGTTAGTGTAACCTGATGAAGTTCACCATCATTGATCTTGATTGAACTTCGTATACTAAGATAAGTGGATCGTATACCTAGATTAAAACTGAATTCCAGATAACCATCGATCAATATTAATGCAATATAATCCGAAATTGTATTCGAATCATTGCTCAACCAAAAGATTAATCCATCTTCATTTTTTGTCCGTAATTTCAATTCGATTAAATTTTTATGATAATTAATTCTGAAAAAAATATGAAATAAAATAAAATTCATTAAGTAAAAATGTAAAAAATTCTATTACAATTGCAAATCCACTGTAGTCATATTGTCCAAATAGGATCTTCGTAATATTGAATTGGAATTCTTTTCGATAGCTATTAAAAATAAAAATGTGAGATACAGATGTTATAAGAATAATTTCGACAGATCGGTTTACCTTTTTCACAAAATTCACCGTGATAATTTGGCTGACAACGGCAAATGAATGCATTTACTGGCAAAAAAAAAGAATTCATCATTAATCTTTATAATAATAACAAATTATCGATCACTTACACCATGGTAAACATTGGCCATTATGGCATGGATTTTCTACTCCACAAGGTGGACCCTGATATGGTTGAACATTCACTAGATTTATTGCCTTATCAATAATGTTTCGTTGTATGATGCCATTGACCACAATACGTTGTATTGCTCCATTAAAATAGTCGCTAACATTTTGTGTGGAAGGCATACCACCCAGATATAATGGTTGATTGAGATTTAATTCATTCAGATTTCCGATTGCCATATCTGTCAATAAGGGACTGTGATTCGTTGCAAATAATGAAAAATTAATTCAAATGGAAATAATTTGTTGATTATAACATACTCATCATCCATTTGTAACATTCCAATTTTAGATTGACGTATCATGACTATTCGATGCCATTCTCCAAGTTTCAATCGATTTTGAGACCTGGATTTTTTCCCAAAAATTATCACATCAGTCATAAATAGAAATTACATGAAACTTACTTGATAGAAACACTTCCACTATTTTTGGCGCGAGAAAAAAAATCCAAATATCAAATTTGAAAATAAAGATTTCACTTTTTTACCTTTTGTTTTTTGGATTTCCAAGATTAAAATCAAAATAAATATGACCCTGATTTAGATGAAGTTGAAGGAAATCACCTTGAGTATGGCCATTGAACATGACTAAACCATTCAATGCTCGTGTCATAAGCCAAACTGTTCGAGAGGAACAAATGTGGATTTTAATTTCTCAAAATTCTATCATCAATACGAAACCAACCTTCAATTACAAATGTTTGGCTAACACCTTGTAACGTTGGCAATTGTACATAGGATTGATTCCAGAAATCCATGACAGCAACTGAATGAGCTACATTTTGAAAAAAAATTTGGTAATAATATTTTCAGGTAAAATTTTTTTCTTCTGGCTTACATTTATTACAAACATGATGATCATATTGACAGAATGTGCATTTATGTCCTGAACATATTTTCGTTTCACATTGTTCACCAATAAATTCTTTTGGACATATACATTTAAATGATAAATTACGTTGCCGACATTTGCCACCATTTTTACAAAACGATTGATTACAAGCACTTTTGTCACAATTTTCTAAATTGGAAAAAAATCAATAATTTTAATTCAATCAACACACACACAAACAACGTACCGATATTGATCCAGTTAATAAATTCGGAATTCTGATCCAAATGAACACGATTATCATTAATGATCAATGAATGTAGACAACCAGTAAAGTTTTTCTTTACGCTTAGAAGATCGGCAAATTTTTTCTGATTCAATGATGGTAATCCACCGATGAAAAGACTATGACCTAAATCTAAAAGTTTGTGAGGACCTTCACTTTTGCCGATTATCTGATCATTATTTATAGATAGTGAAGCTTCGGCAAATTGACGATTAATCTGTATGACTAGATTACGGCCAAGTGTAACAGGCTTTGATCCTTTCAGAACAACAGTTCCACTTCCCAGATTGAATCTTAATTCAATAAATGAATTTTTGATAATCAATGCAATATAATCGCCTTCTCCCGTATTTGTTTGTCCATTATACAGAATGATACCATCCATAGAAAATGTTATGATTTCCAATTTAATTTTCACTTTCGAATGTGCTTTAAGTGTATCCATTTCGAGGAAAGCATCACCGTTGAAGTGAATATTTTCCGATTCTTCATATCGATAATCATAATCAACCATTGTTGGCATGGTTGGACCTGTATTCAAAACAATCTCATTTTCGGACATGTCCAACATTTTAGTCAAACGAACATCATAATCTTGATAACGAGTTGAACGACGTACTGGACTTGTTGTGGCGGAATCTTGAAATACAACCGTAGTAGGATAACAACTATCCGATGGTAATGACATGATAGATTTGTGCGTTTTACATGAATACAATTTCAGATGGCATTCAGATTCATAGATTTTTCCATCACTACCACATACTGGATCCGTACTGAAAGGACAATCAAAATCACAAACACAATGGGAATTTTTGCATATTGCACTGAAATTGCATTGAATATTATCAGTACAAGATATCATATCGGTCGTAATATTGAGGTCGATTGGACATTGATCCAGATGTCCAAATGTTGTTTCCGAACAAATATCACATTTCATTCCTTGGAATCCTGGTTAATTGGCATGAATTTTTGTTTATTGATCAATCATTGAACATTGATAAATTACCTGGTTTACACACACAACGGCCAGTCATTTGTTCACAATCGATTCGAGATGATCCAATTTTATTACATTTACAACCTAAAATTGTTATAATTTAGAAAAATGCATAGAAAAAACAATAGCATTGTACTTACGAATACATCCGGCATTTCCTTCGGAAATCTTATGCAATCCCCAATAACCAGCTTCACAACGATCACAACGAAAACCACCGACACCTGGTCTGCAATAACAATGATGTGATCTGGGGTCACATTTGGCCAGATATGACCCAAGTCGATTACATTGGCAAATACTCGGACATCCAGCTTGATTCGGTCCAAGTGCCAATGTTTTCTGATCAGGACAGCAACCGAAAACCGTATCGGAACAATCTTCATCGAAATCCAATTCCTGACAACATTTAGCAAAATCCAATCCTTTATGACAGTAGCTATTTTTCGGACAATTCTGGTGCTGACAATCGTATTCTTTTTTGGTATATTCATTGATCAATGGTGGCTGGCCTTGACAAGGTATGTTTAAAAATCTTTTACAAAAAATCATATCCATTTTTTTAATATCTTGTTGTCGGTTACAAATTTCTTCGCGAAATATGCATTCATTTTCATAGATACGACCATCACTTCCACAAATTTTCTCCGAATTTGCCGTGAATATTGAGCAATTAAAATTGCAATAACAATTATGACGATCTGATGATTGATGATCAATCATGCATATTCCACCATATTTACATGTATTATATTGGCATCGTGTGCTTAATGAATCCGTGATTTTGAGCAATGGAATTCTTCCTTCACAAGAGCCTTTGTATTGTATGTTGATTATTTTAGAACTTGAACATGCAGAAACCATTAATTGACATTGATTTTCATAGGTAACATTATTTGATCCACAAACAGGATCAATATAACTAGGACATTTTTTTGGACAAATACAGGCTCCATTCTCACATCGGGCACCGAATTCACAATGAACATTTTGACATGAATTACATGGACCACGTTTGATGACTAAAATGTTTTGTCGTTTTTTACAAGCATTAACTCGTAATTCACATTCATTCGTATAGGTTATCAGATCGGAACCACATACTGGATCATATTTCTTTTTGCAATTTGTTGGACAAACACAATGGCCACCTTGATCATCGGTTTCACATTTGGAATAATAAAGACAATTGATATTTTCACATCCAAAACAAGAACCATCGGAAAATGTAACATTATTGATTTGTTTTTCGCACATGTCCTGTCGGAATTTGCATCGATTTTTGTATGTTAACAAATTGCTACCACAAACAGGAGCATATTCTTCACTACATTGTGGACAAAGACAACTATAATTGCCTGTCGGTGATAGGCCACAAATTGAACCATATTTACAGATACCATGATTTCGGTGGCAAAAATTTTCCAAATCACAAGTACCCATATATCGGATGCTAATATTTCGATGATTGATGCAAGCCTGACGTTTTAGATCGCATTCAGAATCATATGTTTGGCCATCGGTACCACATACCGGTTTCAATATCTTACTACAACTGGTTGGACATTGACATGTAGCTATTCCATAGCGATTAATTTCACAATCTTGATATTGTGAACATTTCAATGATTTGCATGCATTGTTTTCTGAACAAGCTTTCTGATGTAATATTCGTAAACTTTTCGAACTTCGACATGCTTCCACTCGAAGTGTACATTCATTGATGTATGTTTTGCCATCACTACCGCAAACAGGTTCGAATTCATTTTCACAAGCGCAATTACATTTACAGATTGGATTACGATTATCATCCACTTGACAAATTTGTGAGGCAGGACATTTTACACCATAACATGGATCTAGGAATGAAACAATTATAGAATTCGAGAATTTTTTTTTTGTTTGTTTATACAACATACCACAAGAACCATTGTATCGTACATGTATCTCTTTTGAAAATTCACATGCATGTCGATTCAATTCACAAAGATTAGGATAATCACGGCCATCTGTACCACAAACTAAACGACTTCCTCTTGAATCACCATATGATGGACATTTCTCCATACAAACACATTCAGCTGTACGGCCATCGAATGATATAATACATTCGGCACCTAGATGACAATTTTTCTTGTAACAAGGATTTGTTGGATCCAAAGTGGATCGATAACATGATTGAATGGATGGAAAATGATTGGCTAAAACTATAATAATAATAAAAAGATTAGATTTGTCACAAAACATCTGATAACATAATATTGATGCAAAAAAATTTTATGATGATGATAATAATAAGATTAAATTCATTGCTCAATTTTATTCTTGTTTTGTTCTGTCAATAAACTGAATTTACTTTCATATATAGTGATGATGATGATGGAACACACACACACACACACGCACAACAATAAGAATCCTGATTCTGTATCATCAAAATAATATATGAAAGCGTCATAGAATAGTAGATGATCCAAGCGTTGTATATTGACTACAACAGATGGCGTATATATCCAGAAAAAAGTCGATTCTATTATGAATCGGAAATGTGTGTGGCCACGATAAGAATTGGTGAAGGATTGAAAATAAACAAATCATATTGACGACAATCTGGACCAAATAATAATTGGTATAATGGCTATTTATCTAACGATATGTTATTTTCTCGAGATTATTGTCATCATCATTATTGTATTGTTTTTTTTCAGTGGTTTTTTTTAATGCTGAGGCTTAAGTTTTTTTTTATTGGTTCTATTATACAAAGAGTAATAATTTCTTTGGTTTTTTTCTTTCTCCATCTTCGAAACAAAAATGAATCAAGTGGATCGTCAAGACATTGAGATTGTAATGATGATGATGATGATGATGCGTTCATACTATATGCAATTTGAAAGAATTTTTTGTGCACTTGTGTTATTCGCCAATCGAATCGATCTATTGGCCATCATGCCGGCGTCCAGCACCTGTGTACAAAGAAAAAGATGTGTGTGTGTGTGTGTGTGCGTTGTTATCGATGAAAATCAAATTGAATAGAATCGAATTTGATCCAAGTCATTTGTTTTTGAATAACAAAAACAAAGCGGTCATTTTTTTGCCGATATATGGATGATGATGATAATAAAATGAATGATTTTCAAACATGGAAAAATAAAATGAAGAAAAATGAAAAGAAAACCACTAGCAATGTTTATTGTATATAAGCAAGAAAATAATCTATTAATCGATTATCGAAATATATCGGTTGGAATCGAGAATTGGCAGTGAGAAACAAAAAAAAAACGAATCAAATCGATGAATATTCAAATTGGCTCAAAACTTAACCAATCGATAATTGTAATGATGATGATGATGATGATATATTCTACTCACTTAATTTGATTTGCTTTTTGCTTTGAACAAAATGTTTTATTTGAACTTTTTTTTCTCTGTGTGACTATTGGCAAGTATAAAAGGATTATATTGTTTTCATTTGATTCATTCATTCATTCATTCATGGACAAAAGTCATGATTGAATTTTTTTTTTTTTTTTTTTTTTGATTCGAATCATTTAAAGTTTTTTTCTTCGAAATTATATAATTTATTGACTTGGATTAGGCAAATTAAAAAAAAAAAAAATAACCGTAACCAACCAGAGCTAACAAAAATCGAAGGATTTATTTATTTTGTTCACACTCAAACACAATAGTCAACTGCAGACATTTTGGGCAAATGGATCGGGGATTCTTGTTTCATCGTTCGATTTGATTCCATTTCATTCGATTTGGTTCATTTTAGAATATTGAGATTCTATCACCCACAATATGTGTGTGAGTGTGTGTGTGAAAAATAAATTCGATTCTAACGAGAAAAAAAAATTTTTTCAATCGAAAAACTCAAAAGTCATCTATTTAAATTACATGTCGTTGTGAATGAGTGATACAATACAATTTTTGTTTCTTTTGCTTGTAAAAAAAAAAAAAATATTTCAATGAAATTAAATAATTTCTATATATGTGTGTATGTGTGTGTGACAAATAATGGAATGAAAAAAATTGTCATTTGAATTATGTATTGTTTACCTTTTTGATTAAATTATCATCTGCGTATAAATTTCAAAATATTTCAATTAGCAGAATAAGAATCACTAGATGAGAAAAATCGAACGTCATTGATATGATGATGATGATTTGTAGATTCGAATTCTTGAATTCTTTTACATTCGAATATAAAAACGGATTTGGATTGGATCTATTCTAGTTATATCATCAGCCACACACACACACACACACATATGGAAGAAACCGAAGAAAAAGGAAAGAAAGAGGCGGCGTGGCTTGGTGGGCCGGGCACACTTATTTTTGTGTTCTATTCTTTTTTCTGGAACATACACACACACACACACATATGATAGAAGAGTTGATCGCAGTGGATGCATCGAATGCGCCGTTACATTTCATTGTTTGCTGGTTTTTTTTTTGGTCATAATAAATATTTTTTTTGGCGGCATTATTTTTACAATGAACAAATCTTCATTGTGTTTGAATTGTGTCGACAGTGGAATCATAATAACGATGATGATGATGATGATATTCATATGAAACAAAAATCTTTCAGATCAATACAATCAAAACAAATGCCAAAATATTCTGTTGAAAGTTGACACAAATACAAAGTTCAGATTCCAATCAAATCATTGATCGATTGTTGTTGATCATCAAAAGGTATGTATTATGAATTTTTAATTAATTTTATCCGAAATTCGAAACGTTTTCTGTGAAAAGAAATTTGTAAATTTTATGATAAAACGTACGATACCTGTTTGAACTATGAATTGAATTGAATTTTATCTCTTGCTCATGAAAAACATTCATTCGAAACAATCATTTTTCATGTGTGGAAATTTTCTATAAAAAAAATTTCATCAATCATTCAAATGTTTTTCCAAAAAAATTTCCCAAAACATGATGATCATGACGATAAAAATTTTGAATCTATTAATTTGGTTAGCATCTCATCGTCATTGTCGCCTATAAATATTGGCTTCTGATCAATATCAAACATTATTATCTACAATGATCCATTTTGGGCGTTTTGTGTGTGTGTGTGTGTGTGTGTGTGTGTGTGTTGTATGTGCACACAGATCTTATATTGACATTTGTAATTAATTCCATTTGAAGCAAACAACAACAAGTTTTAGTATTTAAATGTTTGTATAAGTTTTTTTTCTTTCTTTCGTCGTTTTTCCTGGTTTTCTCGTTCCTTTTTCGTCTTAGTCTTCAATTTGGTTGTGCAAATAATAATAGCCCGATACAAAACACACACACACACATCAAACACACAAAAACGAAAATACCGTTAGCGTAACTAACCAAATGAATGAATAAATGAACGAATCAAACAAGCAAGCTAAATTCAACATAAACAGAAACTCTTGGGACATAGAGAATATTATTACAATTACAATAAAATACGACGACGACGATATACACAATGATAAGAGAATATCATCTCAATATGATGAGACCGAAATTTATACATTGGAAAAGAAGATAATTCACCTATTTCATCATCATATTATTATCAATATATTGAAATTGCTCCCCTTTTGTGTAAATATAGAAATTTTGTTTTCAATTCTCATTCTCTTGTTATCACTTATCTTTAGTTTGATTTTTTTTCTTTGGTTTAGGCATAGAATTCATAATTCATCAAACATATCATCGCCATCTTATTAATTAAGAAAAAAAAATGTTTTTAACAACAATCAATCGAACAAATGATTCCAGCTATCTTGTACAAAGTTATGGTGTTGCTGGTGGTGGTAATGATCGAATCGAAGATTGTTCACCATATCCACATCAACAACAGCAATACAAATCTTCAACAGCCGGCCTTTGTCATCTACCAACAACAACAACGGCAACAACAACTGTAGAATTGGCCAATGTCAATCATCAAAATCAACATAAATTGATTACCAGTAAAATGACATATTATGCATTAATGGTTATATTAATTACCGGTATAATGGTTAGTTGAATAATCGAATCAATTCAATATTCAAGTAATATTCTAAAATCCAAAAATAAATTTAGATGTTGGTAGTCGTACCACTTGGAAGTACATTTTTATTTATCGATTGTAAGTGAAATAACGATTTTTTCACATTTTTTTTGTGTATTGTTTTTAAATCACACCAAAACACATTATCTAAATGAAACGGAAATCTTTCATCAAGAACCATATCAATTTTTTTTCAAAAGTCAAACACACACACACACACATCAATTCAATATTGATGATTGAAATGTCTTGATATAAATAGAATAGAAGCTCTCTTTTTTGGATGGATCACCATCATCATGAAAAAAAAATTGTTCATCATATTCAGATTCAAGCCTTCTGGGAAAACTCAAAACAAAACAAAAAAAAAAAAAAACTGTATTTTGTTTTTTTGCATGTCAATGATGTTTTTTTTCCATCTCTCAATTCGGATGTTCACCGATCATCATCATCATCATCATCATGATCATCAACACCTGAGGTGTTATTGTCTCGGTTACACCTTTATCATTTACATCCTGATTGTTGATGTTGCTGTTGATGATGGAATTGTTTATAAAGATGGTCCCGATTGGTTTTTTTTTTTTGTTCATAAATGCTGCATTTTCAATCTTGTCATAAGTATTGAGCTATTTCCAAAATCTGAATATATATCTGTATGTGGCCTATCGACAGATTCGATAATTCCATAAGAATTGTGTTTCGCATGAATTGTTTTGATAGATGAGGGTATCGAACAAACAAGTTTGTTAGCTAAAAAAAGATATAGATTAGAAAAACTATTTATCTATCTATGTAATAACAACAACAACAACTACTACTGACTAGTTAGTAGTAACTGATAATCACATTTTGATGCCCGGCACATTATATGTAAAATGATATTCAATGATCAATCATTGTTGAGGTAGTGTAAGATTTTTTTTTCTCGTGATTTCCATTCAATATTGATATAGCTAACCTTTTTTTACTCTTTTATAAAATCATCGATGATAATGATGATGATGATGATGGTACCGCATTTATCAATTCGATTGAATGAAAATATAATTTTTAATTATGAAACCCTTTTTTTTCTTTTCTTTTTCAATTTGATTTTTTTTGTTTCATTTTCAATTTCGGAATATTCTGTGGGTAACATATTTGTATTTTTTTTAATAATATAGATAAACAACAGCTTGCACAACGGAAATCCAATAAAAGCGGTACAAACACAAGTTTGACAATACGAATATGGATTTATTGAAATTTTTTCTTTTTTTTAAGATTTTTGCAAATCTAAATGTCAATATGGTGCTGAATGTATATTGGATGAATATACAAATCAAGCATACTGTCGTTGTCCATTAAGTTGTCCAGATGATTATCAACCTGTTTGTGGTTAGTATATACAATGATGATGATGATAAATTTTTTCATAATTGAATTTTTCATCTTTTTCTTTTGACCTTTGGAATAGGTTCAGACGGTACAACATATATTAATCAATGTCATCTAAAATATGAATCATGTAATAAACAACAAAACATACGTATTGCATCAAATGGTACTTGTGGTAAGTTTTCATTCATGTTTGTTTTCATTAATCTTAGTAAGAGAAAAAAGAGACAATTCCTATTTAGTATCGGAACAATCATCGATATCCTTCTTTGTTATATTGATGAAAAAAAAGCATTTTGATGTGGGGATAGAGAGACAGGGAAAAAAGTAGACTAAAGTGATCGGAAATGAAGAATTCCCATAGAGCAAGAATATAATGGACATTGACACACACACACACACACTTATACACATAACGAGAAATAATTACAAATATAAATAATAACTTTTTTTCTGGCCTTTATGTGCCATTCATTTCAACATGATGCACGATAACTATAAGAGATATGATGAACCAAGATTCAGATCATAAGCCATTTTAGATCACTTTATTTTGATAATGATAAAAGAGATAGAGAGAGAGAGCATATCTTTTTTTCTTTTTTTTTTGGAACTCCATTTGAATCGCCCATCATCGGATAAGCATCTCTCTTATCCGACGATAGATAGGATGATGATTTTATTTTATTTTATATGCAATTATTTCCCCATATATAAGAATGGCGATAGTTAAGTGTATGGACATTTAACAACAACAACAACAGCAGCAATAATAATCGAGCCAATTTCTTTCTATGTACTTTAAATGTGATAAATAGTTCGGATGTTGTTGAATATAGAATATTCGAAAACGATATCAATCGTCAAAAGTAGATTTTTCCACTTCCTATGGTGATGATGATGAGACAATATAAAAACCATAATGCTTCTTGAAATGACCAAAATGCATGATTCCACATTCATCATTAATTGTTAGACAAAAAAAAAAATATTCATTCCATAAATGGACAATTTGATCCAGAGAGAAAAAACTTCATTTAAAATGAAAACAGAGATGATGATGATGATGATGATGATGCTTAAAATTAGCTTCTGGCATTGGGTGTGCGTGTGTTAAAAGCTACAAGTTTTTTTTTCTTTTTGGTTATATGTAACAAACATTGAATGTTGTTCAAAACGTTTTTTTTGTAGTATTTCTGTTAACATTCATCGATCCATTCATTTATTTATTCATTCATTCATCCATCGTTTTTTTTTTTTTTTGTTTACTTAGGCACGCATTCTTTTTCATCCTATTTACATAAAGATACATCCCACACACAGGGCCCGGCACATTCGGGTATATACAATGTACATACATACACACACTCTATGAATGATAAAAACAAGACAAATATCGGTATTTGAAAGATATTAATGTTTGTGTGTGTGTGTCTTCTGTATGGGAAAGGAAAAGATGGCACCCACCATTAAATAGATGGATGACTTTGCCGGTGGTTTGACACGACGACGATACTTATAGATATGACATTTTTTTCGGTCTATGCCTGTGTAACACTATTTTAAAATTGCGAGAAAAAAAAAGAAAATCAAATTCACTACTTTTTTTCCCGATTTTAAAATGAAAATTAATTATCCAATTGTTGACGCTATATGATAATGTTTTATTGTTTGCTTTGTCATCTTTTTTCCCCTTAAAATGAAAGGCAAAACTATCTTGAGAATATTCTTCTTAAAATTCAAATTCAATTCTTCGAATTTCTTCATCATCATCATGGATTTCAGAATCAAAAAAAAAAAAAAAAAAATCACACCCACAAAACCTAAGACAAACAAAACAAAATGGGTAATATTATTACGAGTTCATCATTCTCAAAATAAAAAAAAAATTGAGAAATGTGTGATCTGTGTGTAATGTAAAAATTAATGTATTTATAATTTATTATTAGATACGTGTGATGCATTGAATTTTTGAACATTTTTGCACCAGTTTGTGAGACAATGAGACAAAATAAGACACATCCATATAATAATAGAACAACGACAACAACAACAACAACAAATCAAACCGTATACACATAGTTTCAAAAACTGAGGAGTTAGAAAAAAAAAGTTAACTAACTTTGACATGAATCCATATGGGAGATTTACACATTATTTTACATCCCATTTTTTTTTTGCACCAGTTTTTGTACACATAGTTTCAAAAACTGAGGAGTTAGAAAAAAAAAAGTTAACTAACTTTGACATGAATCCATATATTGTGTTTTGTCTTTCTCATCTTTTTTTTTTTGCTTTCAGTTCAGTTCAGTTGGGTTCGTGTTGCTTTTCAATATTCACACAAACACACACACACATCTATCCGTAATGAAAAGAGATGTTTGAGTGTGTATGAATGAACATTGAATTTTTTTTTTGTTATTTTTAAATTTAAAATTTTTTCGACTATATCAAATCCATTTACCTCATTATTCATCATCATCATCATCATGATGTTTTTTTGCATATCGAACATATCGAAAATTTTTTCCACAAAGGGTTATATCGATATTGTTGTTGGCCATTTGACATTTGACAAAATAAACCTTTTTTTCCAAATTGAAATTGAAATTCAAACAATTTAAACCGTCATCATTTTGTTGTTGAAATGGTACATTGAACTTGTGTAATTTTGTTTCGTACATAATAAAAAAAAATAATGATGATGATGATGACGATTGTCAAGGTTGGATGTCATTCCAAACAGTCTATATTAATGTTTGATTGTTCAATCGAATTGAGAATCTATAATAGCAACAACAACAACGAAAAAAAAACCATCAGTTAAATTGATTTTCAAATGAACATTATCCCATTATCATGAATCCGATCCTTTTATGTCTGTCTCTCTCTCTTTCTGTCTGTCTCTCTGTCTTTGTGTGTGTGTATGAAATTCATGTTATAAAAAGGGATATTTCCAAAATCCAATTGACATTGAGAAAAAAAATGTTTGGTTTTTAATTAATAAAATCTGTTTCGATTCTGTGTCATTTTGATATCCGGTTTTTTTGTTGTTGTTGTTTTTGTCATTCAAACATTTAAAACATGACATCATTGCGAATCATTGTGAATAATTAATGGTCATGAAACAAAAGTGTTAAATTGAACTGTCGAAAGTTCTCAATCCGATTAGACTGTATCGAGAAAAAAAAATTTTTGAAAATTTTTTTCATGAATTCATGTATATTCCCCTGTACTATCAACATTTTGCATTTGAGGAAATACAACGCCCAACTGATGATGATGATGATGATGATTGCCCATCATTCATAATCAAAATAATGAATGAATGAAAATGGAAAAACAAAAGAAAAAAAACAAAACAAAAAAATGTTGATGGAATTTGTATAAAGAGAATCACATTAAACAGGTCATTAATATTGACAAACATTTAACACATAGTGAAAATGAAAATGAAAGAATATCATAGAGATCATAACATCTAGATAGACAACAACAACAACAAAAAAAAAACCATACAAAATGTATATGTGCATATAATTCTCAATGATGATGATGACGACGAAAGAAAAACTTGCGAAATTTGTTTCAGAATTTTTTTTTTCATATATGAAAATTCTATATGAATGAAGAGAGATTCTCTAGAGAAATCGATGGCATCCTCTATACGCTTTTCGTATCTTTTTCTCTTATCATTCCTTGTCTGACAGTTGCAGAAACAATAAGTGAGAGAGAGAGAGAGAGAGAGAGAGAGAGAGAGAGAGAGAGAGAGAGAGAGAGAGAGAGAGAGAGAGAGAGAGAGAGAAAGGATTCAACGATGAACACTTACGAATAAAAAAAATACACATCCATGGTTGGTGAAACTATATGTATTTTGATCGATAGTGTTAGATTGTGTTAGACACGATGATGATAAACGAAAACAAATCACCATTTTTCGATGATGATAATAATGATATGATGATAACATTAAAAAATGTGTGTGTGTGTGTGTGTGTGTGTGAGCAAGAGTTGCAATGGTGATCTTTTCATTGTCAGACACACAGACACATAAGTGAGGAAAAAATGTAAAATTGTAACAAAAAATATAATCACACATTGATTTTGAATCAATTTTTTTTCCTCTGAATTTGAAATCAAAAAAAAAAAAAAAATCAAACTTGAAAAAAATGGCCAAAAGTTTTTTCTCTGTAGTTAATTCGAATTTTTTTTCATAAATTGGATGTATAGTGAAACAAAAACTAAAACCAAGAAGAAACAAAAAAAAAAAAAAAAACAAAAAAAAAAAACCAATTTTTTCTTTCTATTTCTTTTTGTGAACAATTAACATAAATCAAGCGAATGAATGAATGAATGAAAAAAAGTGAATCATTGAGATTTTAACATGAAACACACACACACATATTTTGTGACAATTTTTTTTTGTTTTGTTTTAAACTTTACATTTCAAGTTTTTTTAAATGGAAAAAAATGGAAAATTTTTCTTTTTCTTTTTCTTCATACATATATATACTTTTTTTATGAATCATTTCTCTCTCTTTTTTCTATGATGACATGATGAATCCAAAATCAAATCAAAAATTTTTTTTCTTCTCTCATGGAATGGAAATCGAATTAAGTTAATTTTTTATTCACATTTTTCTTGTTGTTGTTGTTGTTGTTGTTCAGATGCAGCCCTTTGTAAGAATGTTGTCTGTCAACGTTATCAACGATGTCAAGTGGACGAAAATGGCCATACTAAATGTGTTTGTTCATCACAATCATCGGATGTTTGTTCGATGAATAATAATCACCAACAACAACCAGGTATGATGTGATGATTTGAAATTCAAAAATAAAATTTCCATTTTCAATTCTTTTCACAAATTTTTTTTTTTTACATTGAATAATGAAAAATCAAGTTTGTGGTTCGAATGGAAAATTATATGATTCATTATGTGAATTGGAAAAATATTCCTGTTTCTATAATATCGATGTTGTACCGGTCGATAAGAATTTCTGTACAAAGACAACGATAACAGCGACAACAAAGACTAACAAACAAAAGACAAAATGGTCCGATTATTCAAATAATAATGATGATGATGATGATGATGCTATTTATTCTACCATTGATCGTAAGGATGGTGGTATCGTATGTGGTGATCAAGTATGTCATCATTATGCTAAATGCCAATATATCAATAGACAACAACAATCAACAAACACATCATTATCAAGCCTGAGGACAACAACAACAACAACAACAACAATAGCTACAATGAAGACGTGTCAATGTCAGAATAATTGTTCAAATGGTATGATTGTTGTGTGTAAACCCCCGAAGAAGAACTAGAAAAAACCAAATATTTTTTTTTTTGTATTAATTGCTTTACTCTTTGAATTTGGTTATTTTTATTTTTCTCTTCTCTCGTACCCAACAACAACATCATCATCAACAACAACAACAACAATGATTGTTTATTTTCTCAAATTGGAAGAATATGATCCAGTTTGTGGTAGTAATCATCAGAATTATGCAAATGAATGTGAAATGAGATCGTATGCTTGCTCTAGGCAAATCGATATTACTGTATTACATCATGGTGTTTGTGGTATGTCAGTTCACACAAGATCAATAATTGTTATCTAATCGAATAAATATAGGCCAGTGTTATCCTGAATGTCAATATTATTCAAAATGTCAGCTAAATGAAAAAAATATTCCTGAATGTATTTGTCCACAAGTTTGTATTCGGTAAGATGATGTGTTTTTTTCATTTTTATTTCCATTGATTCTGTTTCTTACGATTCATTTTACTCATTGTTGAATTTTTTTTTTTTTTTGCTTTTTCTCTATTTTTTTGTTGTTCTAAAACAACAAACATGAACATAACTCATTCAGTGTTGATCAGCCTGTTTGTGGAGATAATGGTAAAAACAAAACAAAACAAAACAAAAAAAAAACATCTGAGCTTTCCATTTTCATTGATATTTTTTTTTATATAGAATAGCTATTTAGATTGATAATAGATAAATAGAATGTAAAACAAGCCCAAAAAAATAGGCATCACATTACACACACACACACAACATTTTTTTTTTTTTAAATTGATGATGATTACAATTAAATTTAATAAGGCGTAACATATGAAAATGAATGTGAATTACGAGTAGCATCATGTCGTATACGGAAACAGATCAAAATTCAATTCAATTCTAGTTGCGGTAAGCGTATTTTTTTTCTATATTTATTCATTTTTTTTTACAATTCGATTAATGGCTCTTTTTTTTTTTTCGTTTGTTTGTTTGTTTATTTGTACACTTTATCCTGATAAAATATTCTGCTTTTTTTAAATATATATATATATAGATTTATGCCACAACGTTATTTGTCACTACGGTAATTTGCATCCCATTTTTTCGATTATTCCATTTTTGTGGATCGTTTTTGTTTTCTCGTTTCGCGTTTGGCTCATTGTATGATAGTGGTTCCTATTTTTAGTTTATGTAGTGGCCAATTTACCGGATAATTATAATTATTATTTACGAACCATTCAGACCGCGAAAACAAAAAACGATCCACCATTTAGATCCAACATTGGATGTATTCTTTTGTTGTTGTTGTTAATATTCTGGATCTTTTCTTTTTTTTTATTATCATTTTTACAGGAGCTACTTGTGTGGATGGTGAATGTCTATGCACGGATAATTGCCAAAACAATCTAGTTGAGCCATTATGTGCTAATGGTAAGTCCTAGCCTGCCTGCCTTCCTGCCTGCATGATTATTAACGCTTTGATAACGTTGGAATTGATTAACACTTTATTTACGGTGGTTGGAGATTTTTTTTTTTTGTTCGATTTGTTTATCCATAATACAAACGAAAACATTTTCATTGATGATTAAAAAAAAACACACCAATTATTTATTTTGTTTTTTTTAATAGATGGTAATACATATCGTAATGAATGTGAAATGAATCGAATGGCTTGTAATAGCCGTAAAGAATTGATTGCGTATGTATTATATTTTATTCATATAAAAACGATTCCCATTCTAAAGTATTTTATGTTAGATTATTCTATGGACAATGTGAAGAGACAAATGAAAATTATTTAGAAGAATTTTCATCATTAATTCAAGATCGAATTCAAATTGAATCTGAACATTTATCATCATCATTGATATTGGACAATACTAATATCGATTGTAACATGAATGAAATGGTATTATTTTAGTCATGTTTTGTAATATATATTGAATTATGATGACTAATATTAAACTTATTCAACAACAACAACAACAAAAAAATTAGAATCGAACTTGTCGGTTACATGATGATATGGATAGCAACTACATACACATTTGTGGTATGGATTTTTGCTACTGCTGACCATAATTGAGAACTAATCCCCGATTGTATTCTAATACCCACAAATAGATAATCGAATATTTCAATCCAAATGCGATATGCTACAATATGGCTGTCATGGATCGAAGCAACAAATCAATTGTACCAAACGTAAGCCAATCGTTTGATTTGTCGTTGTTGTTGTTGTTGTTGTAGTTGAATCATTGAATCGATATTATTGTTATTGCAGATTATTGTCATTGCCATAAGAATGGTATAGAAAGATCTATTACTCAATTATGTAATGAAAAAAATGGTCAATGTTCCTGTAGAAAAGGATTTCAAGGCATAAAATGCGATTCATGCGCCACGGACTATTGGAATGCTGCTGGAACAACAATCAATAGTAAAGGCAATTATTCTAAAAACAAATTCTTTGAATCCATTGCTTTTTTATTGATTTTTATTTTTATTTATTTCATTCAATTCAACAGACATGGATTGTAAACGTAAGAAATTGAAAATTTTTATTTGAAAAAATGATGATTATAAAATAATTAAAAATATATACATAGCATGTAATTGTAATCCGATAGGATCGATCAATCAACAATGTAATGATTTCAAAGGAAAATGTGTTCATGATGATTCAATAAAAAACAACATCAATAATAATGGCACTTTTTCATGTTTGCGTAATCGATGCCGATTTGGAGCAATTTGCCAATCGAATGGTTCCTGTACATGTAATTTTAATTGTAAATCTATTCACCATAATAATAATAATAATCATCGCCATCAACAACAACAACAACAATCAATCTGGTTAGTTGATCAATTTGGTGATTATCGTTGTTATATAATGAGAATTTATTATTCATAGTGCTTCGGATGGTTCAATTCATAAATCAATGTGCCATTTTCGTCAGTATATGTGTAATTTACAAAAACGTTTACAAATTATCAAAAATTGTCGTGTTCATTGATTAATTTTTTTTTAAATTTTTATGATAACACATTTGTCTATCGTACAATTTTTTTTCCACTATTATCATTCACTATTGTATGTTGCCTTTACGAAATTTGTCTAGTTCATAGAATGATGCTTTAACAATACGGCCACCAAAATAGCGGCCATTCAGATCGACCAATGCTTTGATAGCTGAATCAACGTGTGCAAATTCAATAAAAATTTTTACAGCATCTTCATCACTTTCATAATCTTGTTTTTCATAAATCTGACATTTAATCACTTCACCATATTTTGAACATTCTTCTTTTGTTTCTGGTTCTAATTCGGCATCCACTTCACCTGGACCAACCATATTACGTAATAGTAACACTTTAGATGGATTTTTCAACATTTCAGTGATAGGCAAATCTTCATTTTTCTTTTCATTTTCGTAGATAATTTTACCTTGAGTTTTACTGGTCTTCTCTACCTGTAATGCTTTATTGATGCCTTGTTCTTCTTTACCAAGACCTTGGCCTTCTTTGTAGCCCATTTTGGCCATTATTTTGGCAGCCACTGAACTAACTTCAAATCCTCTGGGTATTTTATTCGAATTTGAACTGGCGACTTTTTCAACATTTTCCAATAAAGATGCTGGCGGTGCAAACGTTGCCGATGTTTTGCTTTTTGAATCCGATGATGATCGATGGTTGTTCGTGTTTTCATATTCATCATCATCATCATCATCATAATCTAATCCAAGACTTCGAGTGGCTATCACCTGTGATTTCGATGCTTTCTTTTCTTGTTGTTCGTTGCGTTCTTTGATTAATTTCTCATAATCATTTGGCCATCGTGGATCGTATTCCTCATTAATGTCCCAATCACCACCAAGTATTGAAGCACCTTGCTTCGTCATATTCAACTGTGTTACACTGATGACCGGAGTGGGCAGAACCTCGTCCATTTTGGATGATATGTTTCTGTTGTAACCTCCATACAATGATGATGGACTTGGCTTGTAATTGTTCTTCGGATATAAAACGTGAGGTAAACTTGACACATTGTTAATCATGAAATTTTAATTACCTTTGCAGTCGTTCTTTTTACTTGAAGATGATCTTGTAATAATTTGATGCTCGATGTTTTGCTGTTCGATTCATCATTTCGTGTTATAATATCATCGTATAATGACATTTTGAAGATTTAAAATTGTTTTTTTTTTTTGCAAAAATTTCTACACTCGAAAAGGCTCTAAAAAAATTAAACTTGCAGCATAGACTGTCTATTTAAACTCCATTTAGCACATCATGTATAAATAGTAGAACAATGATTGAATTTGAATTTATTAAGACAAAGTAAAATTAAAATATCACAGAAGATCAAAAAAAGGTAAATTATGATATACAATGATTTATGTAACAATTTTATTCTGATGAGTTGATTCAACCTTTCCGCTAGGGGTGATGATACGAGTTTCACCATGCATGAATGTGGCAAATTTTTTACAATTAATCCTAGCCTTTTCGGCTTCGATTCGTAATTGATTACGTGGCTCTAAAAAATGCTAGAAAAGAGACAATGTTAAGATTGATTAAGAATGAATAAATTCAATTACATACTTCATCTGAAAAAGCAAATGTGCCCCAATGAATGGCTACAGAAAATTTACTTCGTAAATCTTTATGTAGTTGAACAGCTTCAGCTGGATTAATATGCTGATATTTCATATATCTTCGTGGTTCATACGATCCAATTGGGATGGCCGACACATCGAATGGGCCATATATAGATCCAATTCGTTTGAATACATCACAAAAACCGGTATCACCGGTGAAAAAGAATCGATAACGAGGACCTTTAACTACCCAACTTCCCCATAAAGATTTATTGTCATCAGTCAATGTTCGTTTACTCCAATGTTGTGATGGTGTGAATACGAATGAAACTGAAATTAAAATTGATTGATTGATCTAATTGATCACTATTTACTTTAAGATATTACCATCATTTTTGTCGGGTACACAATTCTCTTCCCACCAATCTAATTCGACAACATTTTCACAGCCAACTCGACCAAACCAATCACCTGTTTTGAATTTATTATTTTCAAACGTTCACAATGTGTGGAGAACAACGAAACAAACCTAGACCGATAGGAATGAACCATCGAAGATCCGAGCCGTATCTTGCATTTAATAGAACGACAGTGTTTAAATCAAGATGATCATAATGTGAATGTGATATGACAACGGCATCCAGATTCGAAGGAAGATCATGAACCTATAAATAAACAATAAGTCAAACAATGAGTCAAAAATAATCGAATGGAAATAGAAAATCACCGTGCATGGAGGATCGCGATAACGTTTTGGACCAATCACTTGACTAGGTGATGCTCTTTCGCTAAACATTGGATCAGTCAATACTGCCATATTATCGAATTCGGCCAACACAGAAGCATGACCTAACCAAGTGATTCGAAATGAATTTTCTGGTGGTTCAGTTGAAATATTCGGCTCCAGAATGGGTAAATGTTGATTCAGATCCTTGAAGAAAAAAATTCTAATTATTTCTTTTTTTCTTTATCAACAACACAGGGGTTGTGTGTGTGTGTGTGTGTGTGTGTGTGGATTACTTTTTTCGATGCAACATTGCTTTTGTCACGTGAAAGTCCTAGCTTAAGAATATTGGTGAATGTAGGCGATCTATAATTGGGCCATGGATTCTGAAATTTTCCACCAATCATCATTGATGATTCTAGATCCAAACGATTGACGACCGTATGTCTTTTGACCACCTGGCTAGTGGTTGAATTTTGTCGACTTAATTGTGAATGATGTGAAGGACATAATGATGATGTACTGGCAATCAAATCATTCGTACAATACATTGATTGTCTTGATGCATGAATCGGATTATTAACCTTAAGATGATTATTATTATTATTATTACTTTCTGGAACATATTCCAATTCCGAATTAACTGGTCGTATTGGAATATTGGCTCTTTCACTATCATGACGATATTTATCCTTTCCCGATGAACAAATGACAGCATTACGGCTAACCAATTTCTTTTCCGAACCGGATGTTATTACAGAGCTATCATTATTATTATAATCATCATTTTGTTCACAAGAATTGGTTCGTTTGGATAAAAATTTAAATTTTTGTATCATTTTTCAATTGATGAATAAATTACATATATAATCACATCTTATTTTGAATAATAAACCATTGGTTTTTACGAATCTTTAACAAATATTTTTGGCACATTTTTTAAAAAAAAAAATCATTAAACATCACAAAATATAATGAAAAGAATCGATTGATTGTTCCATTTCAATAATGGCAACAAAAGAATAAAGAATTTAGGCCACACAAAAAAATTGTATATACAAACACACACACACACACACACATGCACGCACAACCTTCATTGATCAATGTTGCCATTGACTTTGTTTTGTTTTGTTGTTTTTGTTTTGTTTCTCTTTAACCAATTCAGACAGACACACACACACACACATACACAGAATATTCTACAAGTTGGCTTCAATTTTTTGTGAGAGAGCGCAATATCTATTTTTATATTCTCATCATCAGTGTGTTTGTTGGTTCCATTAAGAATATCGCTTCATTCATTCATTTGCTCATTCTTTTTCTTCATAATGTGACTTTTTCAATGATGATAATTGAATGATTTTTTTCAAATACAAATATACAGTAAAAATGTAGTGATAATAATTTTTTTTAATTTAAAATTTTTTTTCCTTTCCATTCAACATTTGTATTCCACAATAATATAATTTTGGTATTTTGGTATTTTTTCTTGTCATCATTTTCGTCAATCATAAATATATAGTAATAACATAGACATTATCAATGCATTAATTCAATCAAAAAACAAATTACGATCATACAATCAATCAATCAATCAATCAATAATTATAATGTAATAATAAAAACAATACGGAACAAATCATGTTCAGATTGATCAATGATTGATGATGATGATGATGCAAATGGAAAAAAACAGGAAAATATAAAATCGAATCGAATCTAATATTATAGACTTTAAAATATTGAGAATTCATGCATATAAAATGATGAGTTGGGTGTGTCGGTGTGTGTGTGTGTACGTTTTTTAGTTGATGTTTTTTTTTTGTTTTGTTTTGATGATTTTGAAATTTGAACCAGGAAACAAAAAAAAAATTTCGAAATTTTCTTCTTTCGCTACAATTCAGATTTTGATAATGTACATTTTTATAATTCAAGTCGATGGATATAAATTTCTTCTTGGTTGCAATGAATTTGTTTTTGTCGTCATAAGATCACATTGATTTTGAGTCATTATTCCATGCTCATCATCATCATCATCATCATTATCATTACATTGTATTGATGTTGTCGTCGTTGTTGTTGTTGTTGAGCTTAGAGATATGAATTTTGTTTGTTCATTATGATTGATTGATTGCGAATCATAATTTTTTGATGATGATGAATCAATAAGATTATTATTTTTCGAAATTATCGTTGCTATTGTTGTCGATGATGATGGACCATTGAATGTTGCCGTCGTCGTTGCCGTTAATTGATCCGATGATAATAAAAGATGTAATTTTGGTGATGATGATGTTTGTATCATTAATTTTATATAAGTACATTGGACCGGTTTATATATTGCCAATAATTTCAATGCTTCCTGCACAGGGAACCAACAACGTTTTCGACCTATTGTAAAAGGAATAGTAAAAATAGTTTTAGATAACAATAACAATAACAAATCAAAAGAAAAATTTACTTTTTGAATCTTCATAATCATCAAGTTCTTCATGAACTTCAAGTACAAAAACTGAAGTACGATGTTTTCGTTGTGTATTCTGTAGTTGTTTTTTTTCACGAAAAAAATTTAAATTAATTTTCTTTTCAAGAATGTAAACTATAAAAAAAACAGAAAAAAATAATGTACCTCCTCCTCGCCATCACAACATACCTCGATGTCACCTAATGAACGTTTTACGACACCTTTGACACCGGCTTCTTCTTCCGTTTCACGAATAGCGGCTTGTGTTGGATCTTCATTTGGTTCAACACCACCACCCGGTACAATCCAATATTCTGGTGCACGGGTACTGGTGACAAGCATAATCTAAAGAGAAAAAAAATTGATTCAATTTCATTCAACAATCAAAAAAAAAAAAAAAAAATCAATTTCTTACCTCACTTTCATCTGGATCATGTACACATAAACAGGCGGCTCGTCTACGAAAACCATCCTGGTCATATGTTCGAACTTGTTTTTCTTTTACCATTTTTGTTTCGTGTTGAATGAATGGATTTTTTTTTGTTGGACAAAATTTTTGAGAATGAGAAAAAAAAAAAAAACTTTAACAAACGATAATATTACAAGCAAAAACGAAAAATTGCAACGATAATCAATAATTATAAACAAGAGGAAAAAATGTAATGATGATTTTTGTCAACTATTTTGTCGAGTATTGTCATTATTCATCATCATCATCATTAATCGGTAATTTGTATTGAATTGAATTCAATTTTTCGTCAAAAATATTGGAATTTTTTTTTTTTTTCCAAAGAAAAAACTGCCGTTATTGAGCATAAGCATATCTTGAGGAAACAATATCATCAGCGTCGTCTTAATTGCATCAATGATAACACAAGATCAATATATTGTAAATAATGATGAAATAATCATTTTCTTTCAATGATGTTGACTTTGAAAAAAAAACAAATTATGATGATGATGATGATGATGATATAAGAAGAGATGAGTATTGTATGTCGTCGTTTTTTTTTGGATGATTATGATGGAAACGAATCAATAAATCTGTAAATCAGAAAGAAAAATAACACATACGATTATATTATATTACGTTTAAATTGGATTAAGAAAAAAATTTTTTTTTTTGCGCTTCAAAAATTGAAAAAATACAACATCAATCAAAGACAACGATATGTGATCAATTTATTATTATTATTATCATCAAACACACACACATTCCTAACATTTACTTTTGAATTGATAATTAATCTCACGCAAATAACAAGAAATTAAACATATCCTTGTTGTGTTTTTTTAAATTATCGGTTAGAAAACAACTCAAATGACAATGACATCATCATCAAGAACAGCAACAGCAGCAGCAACAACAACAACAACAAAAACAGGCAATTCAGATGTTTGATAATTAAATCTAATTATTATTATTATTATTATTATTATTATCAGCAGCACATTTTAATTCAATTTAACAACTCAATAATCATCATAATATGAAAATGATGATGATGGTGATGATAACACAGAGGCCATCAAGAAAATCTGGTTATAACTGCATTATTGCATTCTGTGTAATTTTTTTTTTATGATTGATTGATTGATTGAAGAGAGAGAGAGCAAAACAAACATCATACATACATACATATACATACACAAAAAAAAACATCAAGATCAAATCATCAACATCATACATACTCATGATCAAATAAGCAGAACATTTTTTTAAGGTAAAAAAAATTCTTTCTTCTCATTCGGTTGGTGATGATATGATGATGGTAATAATCATCATCATCATCGTCATTTTTTCTACTCAAATTTGTAATGTAGCGGCATAATGTAAATTTTTTTTCCTATGCAAATCATGGAAAAGAATATTTTTTTCTTGTTTGCGAAAACAAAACGAAAAAAAAAAACAAAATTCAAAATGAATCGGTTGGATGGATGTAAATGTGAAATGAATATCATCGAACACACACACACACACACAGCAGCTACATTAACCTAGACATTTTTGTTTTCATTCAGTCAAAAATTGCAATGTCGTTGTTTTTTAATGAATTTTTTTTTTAAATCGACGTAAACAACAACAACAACAACCATAAAAAACATTCTTGATGTAATAATGATGATGGTAGTGGTGGTGGTGGTGTGTGTGTGGTTAATTCATATAATACACGAATCTAGAATACTGGATGATTATGATGATGTCATCGTTATCATTTACATTCATCATAACCTTTATAATTTAAAAAAATTAAAAAAAAGCAGACCTACCAAACTGCCTACAATGATATGTTGCACAATGATCATCAACAAGAATCAACAGAAGATTTTTATGATGATGTTCATCATTGAAAATCAAAAATGATGAAATGGTAATTTTCGTTCCATTTTTTTTCTCCAGTCTCATCACTCATCGATTTTCTTTTATCATCATTGTCGCATATAGAATATTCTATAGATAGAACACACACACACATACGCAAACACTGCTATCAAATATAAATCACATGCGCCTAGTTTCATGTTGAAAGTTGGAACTAATGAAAAGCAAATATATTGTATATCCATACACAATGTTCCAATTGGATCAAACTTTTTTTTAGCTACAAATTATTGATTATTGACAAGTATTTGCGTGCCATATTCGATCATATTCATCAAATTTTTCATCAAATCAAAATGGTCATATGAATGAGAAAAAACAAAAATATTAGCGAATCGATTAAACAAAAAAAAAACACAGAATTACAATTTCAAATTCTCTTCATTCATAATAATGTACAGATAAATCAAAAATAAACTTAAAAGGAAATTTTAAATGATTTAAATGAATGAATGGGAGTAAAAAAAACCAGTTCTTACCGCAAAAATTGATGAATCGACAACAGAAACAACAACAACACAAGACTTTGACCACTTTCAATAATCGATTCGATCATTACGATGATGATAATAATGATGATGATGATGACGACGAAAAAACAATGACAATGACATTTTCGTTGTCCATATATTGGTGGTGGTGATCGGACAAGGATCACAAATGAATATCATCATCATCAAATGTTGAATGATCAAAATATTGATGAAAAAAAATCAATGATGATGATCAAAACACACAAATGAGCCTCTGAATATATTGGAGTTTCATATTGTTGTTGAAATAGAATAAATATATATTCAGATAGTTGCTATAGCGCCACACCACTTTACATCACAGAAATATATTCGGTCTATATATTCAACTCAGAGAATAAAATATTCGGAGAAAGAGAGAAATACCAAAGAATTGCAATCGCCTTAAACCAAATTTTTTTCACCACAAATACCTCATCCAGAAAAAATAACCAAAAGAGAAGCATAAATTCCATGCCTTTTTTTTCTTCCAATCCTGTAATAAATCAAGTGATTTCGAAAATCAAAGAAAAAAATTCTCAATCAGGATCAATTTAGATTTCTACTTTTCTAATCTCGATTTGTTTTCTCAATTCGTTCACATTCACACACACACACACACACACAATCAACCTGATGATAATCAATAAATCAAGTTATTCATTTCAACTCCATCATTCACCACTAAATTTGTAATCTTGTTTTGTTGTGGTGGTTTTCAACATTTTACGTATCGAATTTGATACGAAAGAAGACGAAAAAGAAGAAGAAACATCAAACCATATCACATTGAAAATAAAGTTGTTCAGTTAGTTTTTTTCTCCTAATTTTCTCTCAATCGGACAAACATGTAAGCCTCATTCGATATTTTCAATTTGTTTTGATTAACAAAACGATTTTTTTTTTTGATCTAGAATTTTTCTCGGCCACAACATTAACCATACATTTTATTTTCATGAAAAAGAAAAAATGAAGACCAGTGAAAATAACAATGAACAACAACAATGCTATACGAATGAAGAACCTAAAGTATCATCATCATCATCATCAGCCAATAATAATGATTCAACCATTGAATTGGAACCATTCATTCATCAAGTTGGTGGCCGTAGTACGATACTTGTATTGGGCAAATATATTTGCAAACCAATCAATGATCGTGAATTATTATTCTATGAAAGCATTGATCATTATGCATCAACATTAAAACCATTTTTACCACAATATCATGGAACAATATCTGTAAATTTTGAAGAAAGTAATGATGGCTATATGATCATCACAACGAATGCTCGTTTACTTGAAGTTTCACTATCATCATCATCGTCGTCATCTGAATCATTAATAAATAACAGTAAAAAAAAGAATAATGAAACACTTTCATCAGATTCTCCTTATCAAAAATTTGTGACCAAATATCGTATTAAATTGGTACGACCAATCAAAGAGATAATAATCGAAAGTCATGAACAAGATGTAGAATACAATCGTCAACAGCAACAACAACATGTTCTTTTAAATCTAGAATCGGCCAATAATCAACTGAATTATATTCTTAGGAATAAAGAAAATACAAAAGCTGTCGATTCGAATTTGAATCATCAAAATCACAGTTCATCATCATCCGGTACAGCAACAGCCGTAACAACAACAAATCTAAATCGTTCCCGTTCAACATCGATTTCTATACCAAATTTTGAAGATGGTAATTTTAATGATTCTAATGATCTATCAACATTATTTGATAATCAATTCTTCATCAATGAAGTGGGTCAAAATGGTTATAGAGACAGCAGCAGCAGCAGCAGTAACAACAGTAGCGGCAATAATTGTAGCAATAAACGTAATAAAATTCAATCACCCGATAGCTATAAACATTCGATAGGTGGCCATTCCCAACAACAGCAACAACAACGACCGACAATGGCCAATATATCTAGCCCTCGGTTGATTAGTTATAATAGTCTATCCACAACCAAACATAATCCATGGGTGTTGAAAACATTTTCCATATTAAGCGAATTCAATGAATCAATGAAAGAACAAAGTATGTATGTTTTTTTTTGATTTGTAATTGTTGTGATACTAATCACATTCAATGATGACAATGAAACTAGAATTCATTCTATTAGAAAATCTTACATCGGATTTTGAATATCCATGTATAATGGACCTGAAAATGGGTACACGTCTCCACGATGATCATGCAACACAGACAAAAAAACAAAGTCATGAATCGAAAGTTAATGAAACCACTTCTGGTGCGCTCGGTTTACGTGTTACCGGAATTCAAGTGAGCTATTTTTTTTCTCTGTATTGTTTTTCATTTTTTATCCACTAAAAACAAATTATTTAGATCTATGATAAAGAAATGGATAAATTTATCTGTTATAATAAGTATTATGGTCGCAAATTAACGCCAGAAACATTTCGTTCAACATTGAAAATGTTTGTTTCGAATGAAAATTTTTATAATCATCATAAATTATTGGATAAAATGATTGAACGATTACAACGGCTTCGTACAATTATCGTTGGATTGGATAGTTTCCGTTTCTATACAAGTTCATTATTATTAATTTATGAAGGAAACACTTGTCATTGTATTGATAATGATGATTGTGAATGTTGTAATCAAGATCAAGATCAAGATAAACCAATGTTTGATGTTCGTGTAATTGATTTTGCACATTCAACACATGCCAATCTTCATCATCATAATTATAATAATGATCATTCATCATTGTCACCATCATTATCATCACCAAACAAATCATCATCAGATATTCAACATCGTGGCTATGATGAAGGATTTGTTTATGGATTAGATAATCTCATTAAAATTCTTTCATTATTCCGTAAAGAATATAATGAACAAAATTTAAAATGAAAAAAAAATTATATTTGTAACAAATTCTATTAGATATTTTCATCATTGAAATTAATGCTTATAACGTAAACATTGTTGAGATTAAATTAACACGAACCATCGTCACCACCACCATTTTTTAATTGATCAATCAAATTTAATACAATCTTAATATGGGCTTTAATTTTGGCCGAATTTTCCGCCAAAAGTTCCATCGATTTTTTTAAAATTCCCGTTTTACGATCGATGAATTTCAAAGCTTCATCAAGTGTTAATTCAACAAAACAATCCAATCCAACACATAGATATATTCGATCGGTATTTGGTCTGTTGTATGGGAAACAAAAACAAACAAAAAAAATGTTTCACAATTGGCAAATAATTTAGAAGCAAAAAACTTACATAACACATTGAACATAGCAATTTGAGCCAATATCATTCATTGTTTTTATCGTTTTCAATTCATGACGATTAATTGTTTCAATTGTCGATTTAACATTATTATAATTGGCAATTTGTTCACATATCTCTTCATATTGATGAGAAACTTTTTGCAGATCAGTTTTCAATACTTCTTCAACAAAACGTTCATAACGAAAAATTTTTCCATCAATCGTTGATGATGTTGATGATGATGAATCGATTATATAATCGGCCATAGAATCGGCCATTTCCATACGAGACATATTCCGAACACGATCCGCGAACAACACATGTTTGGTAATTCTGATAATTATTCTTTACTACATATAAATTTTAATCAATAGATGGCAACACTTGTGATGATTGAAAAATAACAAACTGGCATTCGAATTGTTCAGCCATTCATAATTCAAAAAAAAAACTTTTTCATTTCAATTTATTTATTTATTTACAAACTGCCTTATTCCATGTTGCAAAGAGAAAAAAAACTGATAATCAATGAAAAAATTCATGAATCAAGAAATCAATTAATATCAACTATATCAAAAATCGTGTGTATCGCGATAAAATTTGAATAAAAATCACATTTCACCAGGAAAAAAAATTAACAATATTCAGTGTGTTTGTGTGTCATTGTCACTAAAAAAAATCTTAATTAGAGAGAAAAATTTTTTTAATTAAATGTTGTTGATTGATAATTTAAAAAAAGTGTGTAGTGTATAGAAATTCTAATACAAATGATTTATCAAATGTGTGATGTATGTGTGAAACAAACAAACAGAAATGAAATGAGTTTTTTTTTTTTTTTTTTGGTTCGGAAACATATTAATCAGTGTATGAAGATGATGATTAATTTCAGCTTTTTCCATCAAAACTTAACTTTTTTAAAATAGATGTTGTCATAGTTCCTTGTTTTTGTTGACCATTATTACTTTTGTTATTATTAGTTTTGCTTGAAGTAGTCTGTGGTGAATTATTAATCTTATTATTGTTATTTGTTATTGCATTCGAATCTTTATTATTATTGTTGTTGATATTTGTTTTATTAAATGATGATGATGATAATATCGCTTGATGAGGAAGAACTGGCTTAATTGAGGGTTTATTTGGCGGTATCGGTGGTGGTGTTGGTCGTGGACCGGTCGTTGGTTTTTTAACCATTGTTCCTGTTGTCGATATTGATGATGATGATGATGTTGTTGTTGTTGACGTCGTCGTCGTGGTCGATATAGATGTTGTTTTGGCAGAATTCTCATAGAACATGACTGTTTGCTTGACAGATGTATCCAAGGATTTGGATGATGATGATAATTTCGAATCATTTTCATTATTGTTATTGTTGTTGATGATAGTTATATTGTCAGCTACTTCTGTTGTGGACATTTTATTTTTCGTACAAGAATTTGTCATCGTACAATGATGATTCGGTTGCTGTTTGGGTTGTGGAGCAGGTATCGATGGCGGTGGTAATATTATTGTATTATTACTGCTGTTATTCAGATTCGTATCTTGTGTATGAATACTTTTAGCTGCTATAGTTGCGGTAGTAGTTAATATGGATGCTGGACTAGCACCAGTAATTGTTTTATTAGCTGCTGCAGTAATTGGAATTGGTTGAGCAACACTAGCTTTTGGATGAAATACTGGATTAACGGAAGAAAGTGATTGAACTTTTGGACCAACTGGTGTTGTTGTTACAATCGATGAACGAACACCTTCACCAAGATTCCATTTCTCTTGATCAACAATATTGCTGTTGAGAGATTTCGATGCTATACATTTACCGGTCGTCGCTTGCAATTGAGCCTGTAATGATTCGACCATATTACGTAAACGATCATTTTCAGCAATTAATTCAACATTTTTTGCTTCACTTTCTTGCAGTTGTGAATGAAATTCTTGTCGTTCTTTATCAAAATCATTTAGATATTTTTCCAATTCAGCTTCCATCTGTAATGATCGTTTACTTTCATCTTCAAGACCTTCGACCATTTCGGCCATTTTTCCTTTTTCCGTCGTAAGTGTTTGTTCAAGTTGTTCATTATGATGTTTTTCATCAATCAATTTCAAAATCAATTGTTTACGTTCATATAATAAAGTCATTATCATTTGTTTCATATGATCTTTGGTTTCATTCAATTGTTGATTTAATTCTTGTATCTTTGTCTCGTGTTTAATACGATCATAATTTTCAAAATCTTTTTCATATTGTCCATTTTTTCTTCTCTCCACTTCAAGTTCGTTGAGCATATTTTCATATTGATTTTCCAATAATTTTAAACGATCATTTGTTTTCGCATGTAATCGCCGTTGATTATTGATTAGATTTTCTAATTGAAATGTTTTTATATTATACAATGCTAATGTTGTTGGATATTCCAATGATGGTTCATAAATGGCTAATGAATCACGTGATAATGCAATCAATGGATCGGATGAGTATTTTATTGTTTGTTCAGCTGTCAATTCTGTTTGATTATTATTATTTTTCGGTGTACAATGATCAATTTGTTTGGTTGTTTTAAAGCCACTGATTGGTTGTATCATGGAACCAACTACTATTGGATTCAATAGTCGTTTGATTTGTTCAGATTTCAATACAGCTATGACAATTTCACGTGCCTGTAATTCACCTTCAAGCATTGATACTAATTTAAGTAGATCAGGTCTACTCAAATCTAGTTTTGAATTACGCTGAATAATAGTGGGGCAGGTTGAAAAAATGAATTTTAATTAAAATAATATAAAATCGTTATATTTTCAATTTATAATTACTTTCAATGTTGTATTGAAAAAAGACATGGCTGTCTAATGTGGCAATTGAACGTCCACGTTCGAAATGAATGGGAAAAAAACGTAAAACATATAAATAAACAATAAAGTAAACAAAAAAAAATTTGTTTTTTATCGGACAAAAAAAAACATCTAACATTTAGATGGATCCTCTCATGACGGGTCACATGAATGAGAATGATGATGATGAATATAAAACAACAACAATCAAAATCAATGGAACAGAATCTATCATCATATTCTATAGTGTAGTATATACAGAGTCTCACTATATTCAATTGACAATTCCATTCAGTCACATATATAACACAAGCTATGCTTCTGGTTTTGAGCTCAAGCTTTTGATGGTGATGATGATGAACATCGTCAAATATAGCCCCTCCCATCTTGTCCTATTCTCTATGGACAGGATAATCATTATCATTTATTTTTTTCTCATTTCATCACAAGATGTCAGTAAATTCAACATCGATAGAATCCAATATTTTGTACTGATGTGTTGTTTAATGCATGAAAAAAAACACGCGTGCTTTTTATTCCCGTGAATTTTGTTTTTGTTTTGTAATTGTAAAAATTTGCAAAAGCCGATTACACAGGTGAAAAAAATGACCAAAGGATTTCACAGTAAGTTTTTCAATCACCGGATTTTCCTATTTTGAAAACAAAAAAAAAATTAATTGAAAATTTTTTTCTTTAGAAAAACCAAGTAAACGAATACCGGCCAAACGGCGGTATAAAATCGAGAAAAAAGTTCGTGATCATAATCGAAGTAGCTGGTGCATGATTAAAGATGAAAGGCATCCGTGTATATTCAGACAAAAATCACGGTGTTATCATCGCCGTCTTTTTACAATCCTTTTTCGCCAACGGAATTTGCCAATATGCCGTTTTCAAATCAATTGTCGTGAATATTTTCTTCCCATTCAAATTCGCCGAAAAATCGTGTATGTGATGAATTGGATAACGGTCAGGAACTGTTTTGGCGTTCAACGCTCTATAATCACCACAAATTCTCGTTGTTCCATCTTTCTTCGGCTGTATTACCATTCTACTTGCGTAACTGGATGAAGATGGTCTAAGGACACCCATCTTAACCATTTGCATAATCTGCTCTTTAGCGGCAGTAGCTCTAGCCATTGACACACGCGATGGTCGTGCGAAAATAGGCTGATCATCTTTCAATACGATATGGTGTTCAGTGTTATGTTTAACGTCCAGCGATAAATTTGGTTTACATACATTAGGATACTTTTGTAACAATAGTTTTACTTTATCATGAAATTATCATAATCGAAAATTACGAAAAGAATTGAAAAAGAAAACAACGGCAAGAAATAAACGCAAAGATCCTGGAATTCCGAATAGTTTACCGTTTAAGGAACAGATTTTGAATGAAATTCAAGAACATAAGAAAATTGCCGAAGAAATTAAACAAGTGCAAAAAATGCAAATGAAGAAAAATCGTCAGGCTAAACTACAGGAATCTGATGAAGATAAACGTAAACGTGATTTTGAAGCATTGCTTAAGAATGCCGAAAAACGAGCTGCTGATTTCGAGAATAAAACCACTGTTGAAGAATATTTGATCACTGAAAATTCCATTTCAACTTCGAACACGAAATCATTTTATAAAGATGTTCAAAAAGTGATTGAAGCTTCCGACATCATAATCCAGGTTGTCGATGCACGTGATCCGCTTGGTACACGTTGTTTTGAAATTGAAGAAATTATATCAAAAGATTATCCAGATAAAAAAATCATTTTATTAATGAACAAATGTGATCTTGTTCCGAAAAACAATCTGATTAAATGGTTACAATATTTACGAAATTATTTTATAACCATCCCGTTTAAAGCATCTACACAGAATCAGAAACAAAATCTAAGTACAAGTAAAGTGAATATATTGTATAGTTCGGATGAGCTGATGAAATCCAGCAAATGTCTTGGCGTAGATTTTCTGATGAAAATTCTCAATAATTATTGCCACAATAAGAATGTAAAAACATCCATTACAATCGGTATCGTTGGTTTTCCCAATGTTGGTAAATCAAGTGTTATCAATAGCTTGAAACGAACTTATGTTTGTAATGTTGGACCAACGCCTGGACTTACACGTTCGATGCAAATGGTATCGTTGGATAAGAAAATCAAATTAATCGATTCACCAGGTATAGTTTTTGCTAAAAATTTGGACAATCAATCCTCGTCATCATCATCATCATCATCGATATTGGCTTTACGTAATGCAATCAATATTGATAAACTGAGCGATCCAATATTGCCTGTACAGGCCATTTTGAATCGTGTAAACGCCATTGATTTGATTCGAATTTATGGTTTAACCGAATTCAATACGGTTCAAGAATTTTTGTCATTAATTGCAAAACGTTTTGGAAAAATTGTTAAAGGTGGTCGTTTGGATCTAGAATCATCGGCTAAAAAAGTATTACATGATTGGAATTGTGGTAAATTAAAATATTATACAATACCACCGGAAAATATGGATTCAACAATCGATGTAAAATTTGTTAATGAAATATCAAAAGAATTTGACCTGAATCAGATGACCTATGAACAGATGATGGATGAAAATCTGCAACAATTTCAAAACACACCAATCGATGATACATTTGCAATCAAACCGTTGGTGACGAAAATTCAAATGACAACGGCAACCGATGATGTTTGTATGATGGAACAACAACAAACTCAAACAAATCCATCGACGAGTCGTACTGCGGTCACATCATCTGATGATGTTGAAATGAAAGAAGTATCGGGCATGCAATTGAATAAAAATATTCGAACACAATTTAAGAAGGTGAAAAAACAACGAAAAAAGGATGCCAAATTATCCAATCAATTGGAACAGATTAATCTACAAGAGGATTATGATTTTGATGATTATTTTTAATATATAAAAAGAAAAAAATTTTAAATTTTTGAATTTGAATAAATTTCATTTTTGGTTGTCCGCTGATGTTTAATGCAACGAATTGAATCAATTGAATTCTGATGGTGCTAGAATGTGATGAATTAATTAATTAATTTTTTTTTGTTTTTCATCAAACAAATTGACAATTTGTACAATCTAATCACCATTTGAATCCAATCAATCACAATCCGGCTATTTTGACAACAATTTGGATTTATTAGTTCAGTGTTCAACAAGAATCAATGAATGAATGAATGAATGAATGTTGTCGATTGATGTTCATGAATGTGATGATATGAAAAGTTGGTGGTGATGATGATGATGATGATGATGATGAATATTCCGATATAGTCGTATTCCGAAAAGTAATGAATTTCTATTGAATATAAGCAAGGGAAATGATCAGTGTGTGTGTGTTTATTTGTTTGTTTACTTTTTGCTTGTTTTTGTCATTATAATTTTCATTTATATTATTATTGTTATTATTATCTCGGTCCCTATGTTGAATTTAAACACAAACGCCAACAACTACGATGATGAAAAAGAATAAAGAGAACAAAAAAAAAATTTCAAACAAACTTTATAGGTGTTTGGATTGTGAAACTTGTCTCTCTCTCTCTCTTTCATCGACAATATTATAATGATGATGATGAATCATGTTTCACAAGTGCAACAAAAAAAAATGTGATTTTTTTTATAGAATTTCAACATACCAATGATTTCAAAAGAGACAATTCTACACAATGATGAATGATTCTATTTGATTTTTTTTTTTTTTGTTAATAAGATTCTCTTATTCTTTCTCATTCGTAATATCAGTTCATCGGTATTATGTTTGCACAACATTCTTATTCAAGTTTTCCGAATTTGTTCAGTCGGTTGTTCGATGAATTCAACGCACACACACACACACACAAAGATGTAAAAAGCAAATATTGGCAAAATGAAATTGAAAAAAAAGTAGAGGGCAAAAAAAAAGAAAAAAAAATTTTATAATTTGAACAAAAAAAACCAACTATGCTGTATGTGCACACACACACACACACACACATCAGAGGAATCGGCGTTGGTGATGATGATCATGATGAAGTGAATAGAGAAAAAAATTTAAATAAGGCATTTTGTCATCCGGTAAAATTTTTTTTTTTTTTTTTTTTGGTTGTTGGTCGAAATAAATCTCATCATATTACAAATACAATGATGATAGGAAAAGGAAATGAAACGAAAATCTTTGAAGCAAGAGGTGTGTGTGTGTGTTTGTAAATTAATTTTTGTGCCGACGGTAATGTTAGATAAATTAATTAATTAATTAATACTGACATGGTGGTTGGATTATAATCAAATTCAACACACAAATCTCATTTCAATGCGTTTTGAAATCGATCAAACTGCTCATGCGTAATATAATAGAAAAAAAACTAAACAAAAAACATTCACTCTTTTTTGATGAAAAATATTGTCTCAGATTGATTGAAATTTATTTTTTAAAAAAATAATAATGTTGAGCACCGAAGAATCGAAAAAATGTATGGAAAAAGTGATTGATAATCTAAAGACGCGAGGAACATTCGATGAATTACGTAAACAATGTATGGCCGATGTCGATATAAAGGTATGGATGATGTTGATTGATTCCCATTTGTTTTGTATTTTTTTTTTATTTCAAAACCAAATTTTATTCCTTTCTTTTAGCCATCATATCGTAATCTATTGCAAAGAGTAGAAGGATATGTGAAAAAATTTTTATATCAACAACATTGGAGTCCTAGGCTGAATAAAAATCAGCTTCGAAATAGACTTCGAAATGAAATCAATGAGTATGTACACATTTTGTTTTTGCTTTTTATTAATGTTATCAATTATCGATTATCAATATAGATCTGATATGCTTCGTAACAATATCAAACATCTTATTGAACAAGTGGTGAATGAAAAAATTCAAAATGAATTCCGTAATAAAATTGATGAAGCATTGCATGAATATTTGGGTATCAAAATAGAAGAACCAGAAGTATTGAATGAAGAAAATAAAGACGATGATACTATTCTCAATAAAGAAAATGACAATGAAATGATTTCGAATAATAAAGATTTAAATTTATCCGTAAATTCGATAATAGATGATCATCAAAATGGTGAAGCTAATCCGATGAAATCGGAAATCAAAACAGAGACAGAAACTACGTCATACGATGCCATCATTAATGAAAATGAAGACAACAATATGGATGTAGACATGGACATTGTTTGGCCAACACCTCCTAAATTAGAAATTCCTACACCCGAACATATTGAACATGAACTGGATTCTTTAGATTCCATACCAATTGAAAAATCTCAAATTGTATCAGAAAATGTCAAAAGTGATGAAATTATTAATACTGATGACATTGATACAGCAAACAGTGATCCACATAATTCGAATGATACACCCAATCTGTTGGATGAAGATTTAAAACCAACGGAATGCATTTTCAATGTATCGAAATCAAATCTAGATAAACATGAAGAAGAAGAAGAAAAGAAATCATCGGATCCTGCTCCTGAACAACAGTCGTCGGCAATTGTTGATGAGAAAAAGGATAATCATCGTGATGACAACAATGATGAACAAGATGTTGGTGATCAAGAAGACGATATATCCGATGTTTCATCTGTACATACCAGTGATTTATCCGATTTTGATGACGAAATTTCCATTGAAGGTTCAGATTCTGATGAAGTGACAAAGAAAAAAATTAGTTTGAAAGTCGTCAAAGAATTAGCTGCATCCATTACCGAAAGTAAAGAAGATCATCATCAACAACAACAACAACTTTCAACACCACCACAATCATCATCATCATCGAAATCTCAACAATCATTGGATACCAATGTAAAACGAAATGAAGAAAATTCTGAAACAATAAATATAAATAAAGATGATGATTGTAAATCGACTAATAAAAACAGCAGCAACAATAACAACAACAACAACAAACGAAAACGAAAGAAAAATCCAAAATTTTTATCATCAGAATTTTCATACAACAACAACAACAATAATAATAATTCGAAAAAAGTGAAAACAGATGAATTGATAGCATCCGACACACGAAATAATGAAAGTGGTAAACCACAAACGAAAAGAAAACGACTTACGACAGATGTTGTGATAGATCAACCTAAATTATCGAGACAAAATTCAAAACAAAATCTACAAACAACAATAAAAAAATTGGAAACACCAACATCAACCAATACTTCAAGTAATAATAAAACGAATAACAAAAAGAATGTTTCGAAAACCAGTAATAGTAGAAATGATTTATCGAGTAAACGTTATGATTCATCGGATCTTTATAAGCCAAGACATCGTTTATTGTCATCACGTCGTGGACGATCATTAGCCAACAATGATCATCCAATGACACCGGAATCAACAAATTCAAATAATGAAGATAATGGAGAAAAATGACGATAATACTGTTGCATTTTTATTAAGCGAAAAAAATATAATACTTTTTAAATAAAAGATGGATGGATTTCTTGTAATAAGCAAAAAAAAACGATGATAAATTTTTTTCATTCCTCTGGCTGTAGAGTAATGGATAAATTAATTTTTTCCCATTCATATGTAATGGGCAAACTTTCCTATAGATAAACGCGAGAGTTAATCATTTATATTATCCATATATCTCTTTTTCATATGTTTAGTTTACCTTGTCTAAATATTCAACATTTTCCAATTCAGATAGAATGATATCAATATGATCATCTGGAATCAATACCTGAAGCCATGGTCCATGTAATGCATATGGCTGTTCACTATTAACAAATGAACCTGCAACGGCTGTTGTAACAAATGTAATAGCGAGATCACCTTGGATATTTTTATATGTAAAATGTCTTCCGTGTTTTAATCGGCCTCTATTATTTTTTTTAAAAAAAAAAAAAATTTTTTGCAATTAAGCAATTTATAATTGATGAATATATATCGAGATTACCTTAATGCCAAAGGAAGTAAAACTCCAGCTTCATAATTGAACTTTAAATGGATAGCATCAAAATGTTTTGTTTGTGTTAATTCGAACGGTTCATTATTGCCCGTTTCACTGGCATATGACATACGAGAGTTACGATCATGTGATACAGACATTGATGAATGACGACTTGTTGCACGATTATTTTCGACAATATTAATATTATCAGCCATATCTTGAATGGCATTATCTTCTTTGGTTGTTTTCGTTTCTTCTTCATCTTCTTCTTTGGCTTTTTCCTTACCATTATCTTCATTTTGGCTGTTATCATCGATGTCGCCTTTGGCAGTAACAAATGAACAACGAGCACTTACGCCACTAAGATTAGATCCTTGTGTAGCAATGCCGTCATCGACAGCTTCTCTTAGTTCGGGATCAATTTCAAAGATAGTTTCACCACGTCTCATATCGGTAATGAGATATGTACCGCCAACACTTGGTACACTTTTCATTAGATCAATAATGCCCAAACCATTCCATTGTTGAGCTGCCTGTAATTCTTCCAGACAAACACCAACAATTTGTATGAAAGTCACCGAACCAAACACTGTTGACACTGTTCCTAATTGTGAATCTTCAGTCATAAGCATATGCTGTATACGTGATTCACTATTATCTAATGAACAATGCCAGGAAACATGATCACCAGCGCAAAGAATGTTGCCTGTTTGAAAAACATATTTGGCCAAAGCTTGCATTACGGCTGCTGGCCATGTAGGTGGACTTGTTTCATCGGGTTCTTTTTTCAATCGAAACGTTAATTCAAATCCAAATCCACTTGGTGTGTTTGCATCACTAACACTGTTGTTGTATATCGAAATAATAAATTTTAAAATTAAATTTTCAACATACAAAAATAAATTTACCGATGAACTCGGCCATCACCATGTAGATCACTAAGACCAAAACTAATGTAATGCCAATGCGGTGGTATACCATTCTCTTCATCACCTTTATTAAAATATAAAGATATATAATCAAGCGGATCTGGTCCACCAAGCCTAAATAAACACAAACATTTTTATCTAAGAAGAAACTATCCATATCATTCAAATGATTATATACCAGAATTTGATTACAGCTGTCACTTGTAAAGGATTTGGTTGATCGGGATAAATTCTTGCACAGCAATTATATAATGCTTGTAATCCAGGAGGTATCATTGGAACCATAACTGTTGATGGCGGTGGTGGTCGAGTCATCAATGACATTGGTGATTGACCATTAGCTGCCGTTATAAATTCATTTGGACTATAATTAAAAGGTATATTGTTTCTAATCTCCATATCTGATCTGAATGTGTTTTAATAATCGATTGTTGTGATTAGAGAGTTGTAGAAAATGATGAATTTCTAATGACTTATCATATATATAAATAAATGATTAATAATGTTATGATGATGATCAGTAATGATAATGATAAGCAATCAAAATAAAATTCACAGCATGAATATATTAAGAAAAAAAAAGCCTGTTGCTAATCATTCAACAACAACAGCAAAAAATAGAGAGTGAAAAAAAAACATATATTGCATTACATTTATGAATGGTAAATCGAACTTGTCCTCAATATACTTGTGTGTTTTGTTGCGTTGAAATATTTTTTGTGGCTACGCGTTTCTATTCAGTCCATTGGCAGTAATAATAATAAATAATCACATTCAATTCATACACTGTGAATTTTGTTTGGTCTATTATTTTCTTATTGTTCACACATTATTGTTATCATCATCATTTTATAACAAAGGGCGGTTTTTATATTCATCACGCATTTAGTCAAAATGATTGCCCCATTGTCACGTATACCGTCGTATTTGATTCATCGAATCGTACCATCCGGTTGTTTTATTTTTCCAAAAAATTTTGTTTCATTCACCACAAAATCATCATCAATTGCAGTAATGGATCAGAATAATCTTGTTGGTAGAGAAATTGATCTACTTGAAACAAAAGATTTACGATTTCGTTTACCCGGTAATGTGGGAATAGTCAATGATAATTGGTTATTTAAATTAAGAAATCTAAATGAAAATCCACAACCATTGAATGACAAACAACAACCGCAACAGCAACAGCAAAAGATAAATAGTGTTTTAACTTCAATCAGTCATGAAGAACTATTGAACAGATTGTGCGACGATAAAGCGATGCCAAATCCACAATCATTTATCGAACAAGAACATGAAAATCTTCATTGTGAAGCTCATGAATGTCCTTTGCTTTTAGTCAAAGATTTTCAGGAACTATTTCCTCGTAGCAATGTTAATCTATCGAATGGTTTAACAGTTTTGACCATTACACATAAAACCGAACATGATATGAGCGTCTGGTCCAAAGAAGTGAATGAAGAACGGGAAAAACTTTTAGAAAAATTCGTTTCAACAGCTCAACGAATGTGTGGCTATTTAAAAGAAAGTGGTTATTGGGCAGATTTTGTTGATCCATCTTCTGGTCGACCATATTATGTAAGAACAACAAATGAACACTGAAATAGGATCATTTTATCTCATATTTTTTTCAATACTATAACAGGGTGACTATACTCCGGCAACATTTTTCGAAACGGATGATCGTTATCGTCGTTTTGGATTTGAAATTGAAGATCTAGGCTGCTGTAAGGTTGTTTCACATAAACTATGGGGTACAAATGCATTTGTTGGAGCATTATTTACGAATGCATCACATAATTCGGATGTTGTACAACGTTTAGTTGTAAATTTGGATGATTAATCGAAAAAAAAGAATATAAATATATCTAAATCTGAATTTTATTCAATTCAAATATTTATAATTTATATATTCTGTCCACTCTTGGTATAAAAGTTCATTAATTTTGTATGTTATATGGATGATGATGATTTAGGATTATTGTCTATTTTGTTTGTTTGCTTAAAAGAAAAATTTCAAAACTTGTAAATTAAAAAAAAAAAAAATTTTAAATATCGAATGATGTAAATTGATTGTAATTCTATTGAAAAGAGAGAAAGATTACGCCATCTATGAACGAACACAATATGCGAATATTGTGACAGTGAACATATTTCTCATCGTGGACTTGTTTTTTTTTTTTTTTTTCTTGAAATTTGATTGATTACAATCTTTAGAATTAAAATTGAGTATCATCATCATCATTATTATTCGAACCAAATTTTTCAACTTAAACTTGAAGTTTTTTTTTTGGTCAAATTATTATCCTCAAACAATATAACCGAAAATGATTGAAATTACCTGCAATGATCGTTTGGGTAAAAAAGTTCGAATCAAATGCAATTCAGGTATGTTGTTGTTGTTTTGTTGTCATGACCAAAGAAGAGTAAAAAGAAAAATTATTATTATTTATGATTTCTAATTGACTGTAACTAATTTCTTTGTTCTCGAAAACAAACGCGAAAAAAAACTTTGTTTTCGATTGTATTCAGAAATTTTTTTTTTTTTGCTTGCTTCTCTTTTCACTTATTCATTATTTCTTTTTCTTTTCATTATTACACAGATGATACAATTGGTGATCTGAAAAAATTAATAGCCGCACAAACTGGAACTCATTGGGAAAAAATTGTATTGAAAAAATGGTACACCATCTATAAAGATCATATTACATTGGAAGATTATGAAATCAAAGATGGAATGAATTTAGAGTTATATTATCAATGATGATGATGATGATCAATGGTTGGAAAAAAATAATGATTAACAAAAAAAAACTAAACAAATATCATCATCATCATCATCTTTTTCATTAACCATTGTGTGACATTGATGTGTGTGTGTGTGTTTTTCAATCCAAAAAAAAAAAATTTTGTTTCATAAATTATTTCTCTTTCAACAAAAAAAAATGAATAAAATGTTTTCATTTCCACATCACATAGCCTGCCAATTTCGGGATTTTTCGCCGAAAATCTCCAATCCAGCTACCTTTTGTATGTTGTAGGCTGATGGATTTTTTTGTTTCTGTAGCTAACCGAGACAAAACTCCAGCACAAATCAAATTGTCGATATTTCTTGGAAAAAAAAATTGTAAATAGGATTTGTCATTATATTTTTGATGTTGATGATGTTAATATTTGTAAAAAAAAATGGATAATCTCAGGTAATGGATTGGTTGGATTGGATTGGAAAAAAAAACATTATCCAAAATGGTAATAAAAATCGATTACTGTTTTGAACTGTGACTAAAAATAGTAACCACACACACACACACACACACACACACAAACACACTATATTTTACAATCAACAACGATGGCTATTTGTGATTTAGTTGTTTTCTTTTTTTCTCTTGATATATATCAGTCGATTTCTTTATTTCACAATTTGATTCAAATAATAATAATTCTTAAAGATCTAGTCAAATTATGAAATGAAATGCATTTCTTTTTGTCGAATCTTTTGTCCATTATCCATTCAATTCAATAATCATTAAAAATCTTTCTTTGTTTTGTTTCGTTTTGTTTTTGGCAAGTCTGATTATTAATCACCATTTTTTTTGTTTTGTTTTCATCATCTGTCTGTTTTGTTTTGATTTTTTTTCACCTATTTCAACCTGATGCTCTTTCAACGCCGTCATTATAATCAAATTCGAATACTAATTAACTTTCTACTAATAGCATCATGCATGATGATCACCGGTTATATTTTTTTTTTTTTTGGCTTCAAGCAAAATAAGAGAGACGAAAAATTTTTTTTCCTACTCTTTCAACGCCATCATATGATCACATTATCCGGATCCGGATTAATAAATAAAAAAGCATTATTCATATCTTAAAACATCGATCAACAACAACAACAACAACCACAAATAAACAACGATCAAAATCGATGATGACAACACAAATAAACAAGCTCAAAAGATGGCCAAAAAAATTTTTTTATTCATCATTCATTTCATTCATCGCTACCAAATTTGAAAAGTAAGTTTTTTTTCCGAATGCATATGCCACACATGTCATATGGTATGTTGATATTCACTTACAAGTTTTTTTTTCCATATATTTTTAGATTGTTTTTTTTTCTTGTACTCTGGACGCATAAATATACACAATACCGAAACATGAAATAAAACGGAAAAAAAAAACATAAGTGAAGAGAAACAATCTGACAGCCAGCCATTTGATTATGATGATGATGATGATGATTACTGGATTTTGCTGTGGTCCTTCTTATGATGATGAACAAATTATCAAACCATTGGCGACTTAAAATAAACATGTGTTCTATTTATTATTAATGAAAAAAAAAGAATGAACTCGTTTTCAAAATGGACCAAATGTCTTTTCCAACTTGAAAAAAAACAAGATTTTTTTTCAAAAAAAAACCGGGAATTTCATTCAATTTTTGGACTGTGACTCCTACACACACCGACCCACCTACAGTCATGATTTTCCAAATGAATTCTGCGCTATTTTGTTTATCAATTATTGAAATATTTGAACCGTTGAAAATGAAAAAAAAATTTAATTTCCTGTGTCATCATTATCATAACTTCAAAATCACCATAAATACAAAAATAAGATGCAACGAATGTTAAAATAGCGAAGAAATTTTTTTTTTTTTTTGGTTTTCTTACGAAACACAACACAACAACACTTTTCTGTATTTTTTTTTCTTTCGAGGCTAACCACACATATGATATATATCCACATAAGATTAACACCGCTTAACACCACTAAGGTCAGAAAGTGAATGATGTGAAATGTTTGTTTTCGATTCCATGATGTTGTATTTTATTTTTTTTTTTAATTTTTTCTTTTCGATGCTGTAACAATGAAATGAAAAAAAAACGAAATGTTACTCAGTTACCGCAAAATGAATGACAAAGATTTGAGACACCAAATTGCTATTTAATGATTTTTTTTCTCTCTCTCTCTTTTGGCTAAATTTCGGATTCAAACATCTGTATCATCTGTATCATTGGGGCCCAAAATTTTATGGGCAGCATTTTTTTTTGTCTTTTGAAGTGAACAACAAAAAATGAAATAAATTTTATCGATCCAAAATTATGGACAAAATTACAACAATCACGTCGTCCACGGATATTTTTTTTTTTATTATTTCAAACAAAAAACTGGATGGGAAAGAAAAAAAAACCTGATCAGTTAAAAAAAATAGGTAAAAAAACAAGAAAATCTCGATCAAATGATGAGATGATGAGATTCAACAGAAATTATTTTCCACATTAATTCAAAAATGGATGGATGGATGTTAAGATGATGATCAAAAATTTTAATTGAATAGCCAGTGGTTGTTTTTTCGGTTTCTAATCTTTGAAGAAAAAAAATTTTCCAGTCTGCTTCTTCAAGAAATTTGTTCAATTGCGAACAAGTTATTACCGTTCAAATTGGAAAAAAACAGAAACAAAAACAGAAACAAAAATCGAGACTATGAAACAAAAATAGCGCCAAGTAAAGCGAACCAAAAAAAAAAAAATTCGAACACTAGCCACCATAATTATGCAGAAACACACACCTGGCCTTATCGAAAACAAATCCCGTATCTCTTTGAGATTGAGAAAAAAAAAAACTTTACAATCAATCGATCTTGATTTGCTGGTCAGTCATTCATTCAAGTGATTAATGCATAATGCATTTTTTTGTTGACCGATTAAACGAACGATTGGATTTTAAACACACACACACACAGAGTGAGAGAGAGAGATTGAAAAACGATTAAGGAGAAAGTAGGTTTTTTTTGTATTTTACATGTTACCTGCATTGTACCCGCAATGATTACATTATATAACCCGGTAAAGATGAAAAAAAATGGTGCTCATCATCATCATCATCATCATAATAATGAGCTTCAATCCTAAAAGATGCAAAAAAAACGTGATACATTTGTTTGTTTGTTTGTTTGTCTGAGGTAGCCAAAAAAAGAAAAATCTATGAACCCAAATAAATTCGTTGCTAATAATAATAAACAAGATGGATATAGAGATAACAAGCACGAGAAATAGAGAGAGAGAGAAAGGGAAGAGCTGGTTATGTTTATATCTCTATCTAGTTTCATCGATGAGATGAAGAGAAAGTATCAAAATAATAAATAAACACAAGAGTTTCATGTGTTGCCCGTTGTTGAAATGGTGGGACTCAGGTTATTCAAGACTTTCAACAAGCGCGATAGCCGATTTTTTTTGAATATAAGAAGAAAAAGAAATTGAAAATTGTAAAACTAGGCCAAATACCTGTCTGTAATATGTGTGTGTGTGTTTATTTGGCGTCTCTTTTATTTATCATCCTCATCATCACAAGGAGTCATCGCCGTTATTACAAGTTAGGTTTATTTTCCTTCTTTTTTTCTGATGTTACACACACACACACACAAATACAACATAAACACTGGAAGGAGAAAATATAGCCAGAATCTATCTTCAAATCTCGATTACTGTGTACTGTATGCCCAGGCAGTGTGTGTGTCAATGATCGTTTTTTTTCCGTTCCGTTGTTTGTGTTCATATAGTCGTCATCATCAGTAAAATTCGAATAGATGATGTTGATGATGATGTGAAAACCATTTGAAATGAACAACGTCGACGACGATATAACGACGTTTTAAATATATTTTTTTTTCTTGGTTAATAATCATAGTGGTGTTGAATTTTGTTTTGTTTTTTGTTTGTTTGTTTGTTTTGTTTTAGTTTTGGCTTTGATTCATCATCATCATCATCATCATTCTAATTGTTAATTGTTTTTGTTTTTGTTTTGTTTTATTGAATGACAATCATATTCCAAAAAACTAATGTTTTGAAATAATCATAATGAATCTATCATCACATCAACAAATTTTCAAATTGGCGCTTACTCTTCATGGAGTAATAGCGATCAGTTTATTTCGATTGATATGTGCTGATCCGTTTCCTGTGAATAATTTTGATGGAAACATTGGTGGTGATGTTGGTGGAAGTGTTGTTGATGGTGCCGTTGAAAGTGGTTCATACGATTCGATCATGCTGCCAAAACGATTCATGTCACCAGATGGTTTAGGATCGAAAATCGATCTACATCTTAGCGAAAATGAAATCGAACAAGCATTCAGCATGGGCAAAGATATGGTATATCGGAATTGGAGGCTAGAAGATGAACTTGTTCGTGATGGTGTCTTCACCAATATGAGCCATGTATCAGCTGTTGGTCGTCATCAGGCAGTCACAACTACACTACCGCTTGGTAATATTCTTGACCATAATCAAGAAGTTTTTGAAGAAACTAGTAAAATTTTATTGCGAAAGTAATGTCTACTTCTCAATCACAAGTGTACTTGGGTCATTGTTTTCTAAAGAATTTCTTTCCTCATTGTTGTTTTTTTATTCCATCAAAAAATTCATCACCATGATTATATAGTTTAACAACAAATCTGGATCCATATGAAGCATCGGAAACGGCTATGGCTTTAGCAAGTGTTCAGCTACGATCACCATTGGCACGAGCAGCAGTTGATCATTGTCAACAACATATAATGTGTAAACCATCACGATATCGTACAGCCGATGGTAGCTGTAATAATCTACAATATCCTGAATGGGGTAAATCATTCACCTGTTTTCAACGTTTATTACCACCGGCCTACGCTGATGGACAATCTGAACCACGTAAATCGATGGATGGATATCCGTTACCAAATCCTCGTGTATTATCTGCCGTCATTCATCGTGATCTTAACTATCCGGCAACATACACACATATGGTCATGCAATTTGGACAATTCGTTGCTCACGATATAGCATTCACTCCTAGCTCTCGAACAAGTAAGTAATTGTTTGATTGTGCCTTTGTTCATTTGTCTATTCAATTGAATTAAACTTTTATTACACTTGTAGAGGATGGTAAAATGATTCAATGCTGCCCATGGGGATCTAATCGTCATCCACAATGTTATCCAATTCCATTACCAAAAGAAGATCCATTCTATTCGAAATATGAAGAAGATTGTATGAATTTTGTTCGTACAGCTAAATGTCCTCAATGTAAACTTGGTTAGTGTTCAATTTTTTTGAATAGACCATTCATATTGATTGATGTTCTAACCATTACAATTGACAAACAAATCAAAAACAGGTCCACGACAACAGATGAATCAAATCACGGCCTATATTGATGGTTCCATGATTTATGGTAGTATGGAGAATGAATCTCGCGCATTATGGACACAGACCGGACCAGGTGAATTAGAGCGATGAATATCATCATCAATCATTTATTCATTCATTTAATTGTTGATTATTTTTTTCTAGCTGGTCGAATGCACGTGCAAATGGGTGCCAATGGTAAAGAACTACTTCCACAGGCATTGGATGCAACCAACGATCAATGTTCGAAACCTGAACAGAATATTTTCTGTTTCAAAGCTGGTTAGTGGAACAATAAAATTTATATGAATGATGACAATTTAATTTTTTGTTTTTGGCAAATAAATTGTAGGTGATAAAAGAGCAAATCAACATCCAGCATTGACAGCATTACATATAATTATGCTTCGACAACATAATCGTATTGTTAATGAACTTAAATATTTAAATCCATATTGGGATGGTGAAACACTTTATCAGGAAGCCAAGTAATTTTTTATTTTTGAAATTGATTAATATGAATCATGATGATGATAATCTCTAATCAATTTATAGACGTATTCTGATTGCTCAATTACAGGCCATAACATATAAAGAATGGTTGCCATTAATCATTGGTCCAGATGCAATGAAATATTTAAAATTAAATGTTCAATATAAAGGATATAGCAAATATGATTCATATGCAAATGCTGGTATTATTAATGAATTTTCTTCGGCTGCTTTCCGCTTTGGCCATTCTCTAGTCAATAGTGTGTTTGCAGAAATTTTACCAAATGGCAAAACAACTGGTTATCGATTACGAGAATTTTTCTTCAATCCATTCGGTTTCTATGAAGGACAATTGGATGCTGTTATTAGAGGATTGATAAGCCAGGCTGCACAGAATCGTGATCCATTCATGACGACAGATATGAAAAATCATCTCTACAGACCAAAAGATAATCCATGGGGCCTAGATTTGGCTGCATTCAATATTCAACGTGGTCGTGATCATGGTATACGTGGCTATCCAGATTATCTGAAATTCTGTTTTGATGAAAAAATTGAATATTGGGAACAATTGGATCAATATATGCCAACTTCTCAACGGAAAAAATTCCAAAGCCTTTACAAGTACGTATACTGTTGTATTTCAAATTAAATTGATTTATTAATCAATCTAATCATTCAATGATTAGATCAATTTATGATATTGATTTGTTTTCGGCTGGTCTTGCTGAATATCCATTACCTGGTGCAGCTTTAGGACCAACATTCACCTGTATCATTGGAATTCAATTCTATAATCTTAAATATGGTGATAGATTCTGGTTTGAACATGGTTATCAAGTTCATTCATTCACACCAGGTAATTTACATATTCATCTTGTGTTTGTTGATAAGACAAACAAATTAACACATTTTTTATACACACACACATCAAATAGCTCAACTTCATGAAATACGGAAAATAACATTGGCTAAACTTATATGTGCCAATTCGGATGATATACAATATGTACAGAAAAATGCATTCCGTGGTGAAAGTGAAAGGTATGATGTTTTTTCATTTTGTTCATTTTTATAATTCATTTTCTCCAATTCATAGTAATCCTGTTGTACAATGTAAAACGCTTGAAGATACACATCTTGGACCATGGAAAGGAGCACCAGCTGGTGATTTAAGTCAAAAATCATCCGGTCAATATAATCATTATCCACCGCCACGACCACCACCAAAATATCATTATAAACCAATGTACAAGTCTTCAGCTGCAGCAGCCTCTTCATAATCTATTTCTTTTTTCTCTCACTTTTTTTTTGTTTGTTTATTTGTGTATTTTTCTCTCTCTCTCTCTCTCTCTTTTCGTTATCATAGTCATCATCATTCATTGAACGATTGGATTTTTTTTTCTAAATATTCATTTTTATTCATGATTAAAATTATCAAAAAAAAAACAATCTATATATGAAAAAAAACATGAATCTATCGGCGATTGATAATTTTGGCCTATCGATCCATTCATTACTATGATACTGACACAAATAAAATGCACAAACATTGCCATAAAAAAAATGCAAAAAACCGATGATCAACATAGTCACATCACATTTTCTCTTTCTCTTTCTCATTCGATTTGATTGATTATTATTCAACGACAATGTAATTTTTTTTTCTTATTATTTCGATGCTCAACTATTTTATTTTTTATTTTTAATTTGAAAAAAATATCAAAAAAAAAACAAAAAAAATTTCTAATAATTAGAATTCATCTTTAACTTTTATCGGATCTAATCGTTCACGATCTGAATTAATCATAATATGATGATAGAAATTCACTACTTTCAGATAATTATCAATCGATATTCGTTCATTATGGCCATGAAATAATTTGGTTGTTTCTTGTGTTAAAAATGCCGGTGAAAAACGATATACAGATTTAGTGAATGGTAAATACCATCTATGAATGAAAATGGATGAAATTATAAATTAAATTCAATAAGAATATTGAATAATAAATACCTTGTATCAGTGGATGCCACCATAATTGACGGTATAACAATAGTATTGGCAAATACTTGTTGAATAGATTTACTTATTGTTTCGTAACCGAATGAATCACGACTATATGGTGATATAGGATGTGCTTCAATATAATCACCTTTGATTTTAATTTCAATTCGATCATCGTTTATTAATTTTCGATCATATTCCAAAACATCTGATACACTTTGTATTGGATGTATACGATGATTTATTATAGCTGTTGCTTCACTAGGCAAAACATTTTCCTATCCATATAAACAATTCATTAATACAATGATATTATGATGAACAAATGACTAACCTTGAAACCACCGTTAATAATTGTTGGTGCACTAGTCGTTCGGACCAATGCATTATTACTCGGTTTACCGGACATTATTTTGGCAAGGATTGGACCAAACATCCATAGATTACTGTAAAACAATTTATACGGATAAGAAGCCTAATATAATAGAAGAATGAGAATCAGTCAAACATATGACAACAATCAAGATAAACATTTAATTTACATATTGAGCAAATTCTTCAAACATTCGTCTTTCTGGACCATGACCGAAAAAATTGCTATGAGCATCTGAAGTGAATCTAAAATTATGAAATTCAAATGAAGTGAAATTATCATTTATGTTAATAATAATAAGAAAGTAGACTAATTACTTGGATATAGCTTTGGCCAATGTAGTAATTGCAGTTTCATATGTTGGCATCGAAGAATGGCCAACCGTACCATTCGAACGAAGTATAACCGAAAGGAAACCTTTTTCAGCAACACCCACCAATGCGACTGGTCGTGATACACCGGGAAAACCATCGGAAAAAACAAACATTCCTTCATCGAGTAGAAATTCAAATTCTTTGATGCCTTTACGTACGAATGTTTTGGCAATTTCCTGTGCACCATCATTTCCCATGCCTTCTTCATCATGTCCAAAAGCAATGTAAAATGATCGCCGTGGTTGGAAATTATTTTTCAATAAATATTGCAACGATTCCATGATGGCCTGAATGGGAAATATGACTTTGAAATTGCGATCTAATCAAGTTATGTTATGATGCTATACCATAAGAGTATCCTTCACATCGATAGTACCACGACCATAAATATTACCATCTTTAATGATACCACCAAATGGATCAACATCCCATTTATCCAATTCGACCGGTACAACATCGATATGTGAACAAAGTAGATATGGTTTCAATGATGGATCACTTCCTTTCACGTGATATAAAAGACTATAATTGTTTACAGTCTCAAAAGTTACCAATGGCGATGAATAAATTACGGGAAAATCTATTTTTGAAATATGTTGTTGTCGATTTAATTCATTAACGAAAATTGAATGATTTACATACTTTTTCTTAAAAATTCAGCAAATCTTAACAATTCTGATGTATCATAAACTTGTCTATCTTTGGTAATTGTTTTAATACGAATAGCTTGAACAAAACGATCGATAATACCATCACCTTGTATTGGTTCATGTGTTTCATTACATGTTTGCGATTCTTTTGGATGTGGAAAATAAATTTCAGCCCGAAAGAATAGAATAAATAATGGTATAACGATAGCCACCGGCAATAATTTTATAAAAATTCCCATTTCTTTTTCAATGTGTTCAATAATAAAACATTAAAACATCACACATTATGAGTACATCCAATGATCGATCGAGTAAATTATTATTTTAAAAAATCAGCCTTGAAATAATCGATAGATAAGATTAATTGACAATAACAACATTCATCCTCTGTCTGTTAAAAAAATCGAACATGTTTAAAGCAACATGTGTGATCACAATCACAATGATTGTCAACCGTTAGTCCGGTCAATCGAATGTCAATGATTGTGAAAAAAAACTATTGAAGATCACTTGTGGTTGGTAACAAAAAAAAAAAACAAAATGTTTAGTTGGGTATTTCCGGATGTAAACGATAGATGGCAATAAATATCGTTGTTTCACAGAACAATAAACATCAGGCCGAAGATCATTGACTTCATGTGGTTGATTATTTGTTTTTTTGGCCAGGTTTATTTAACACGCTTCAAATAGGAATTCCTGATCATTCTTTTTTGTAAATTCTTCAAACACGATACTTCGGTGTCTGAATTCTTCATTCATCATTAGCCATCTGTTTTTTTGTACGCTCAATACACTTGATTGATTACTTATATGAATTATCATCGCGACAATTCGTCGTTGTATGAAGAAATGTACAAGGTGTGTGTAATTTATTTTAAATTCAAGCCGATGAGTAATCCTATCTAATTGCATAGTGTATCATTACCAATCAAACGCAATCTTAACCAGAGAAAAAAACATTGTTTGCTTGAAATGAATGAGGAAAAAAATTAATGATTTGTGTGTGTAAGAAGCAAATGTGAAAACTGATCCGATGCCATTTCTTCAAACGATTAATTCATCAAAAAAAGAGAATGTTGCATGGCAACTATCACCGTGTGTGTGTGTGTGTGTGTGTATAATTTAGTGTGAGAACATACATTTTGGCCATCATTTTTACACTTTTATTATTTCACAGATTTTATTTGTGATTGATATCTTCACTTCTAAATTTGTAAATGTTTAATTCACCATGAAAAGTTATCCCGTGATGTTTTGAGTCCATATCATTGTCAACAAACAAATAAATGAATGACAACACCTTGACGACAATGATTCAATCGAATTCATTGATTCTATTTGTACTCGATTGGAGAAGATTCCATTTAATAAATGAGAAACAAATACAGCAAAAGTAATCAACAAATTCTTTATTTTAATCGCATAATAAATCAGACAAAATATCACAAATACAAAAATGCATTTTTCAATTCCTGAAACCAAAGAAATCAAAAATGGTTTCAAAACATTTATTGTAAGTCATTATGATTAATTCACTGTTTGTTTCTAATCAATTTCCTTTTTTTTTAATTTTCAACCAAAAATAGACGTATTTAATTTATATAAATGGATCATTCCATTGTTCACTGCGATATCGACAACTTTATCATTTTCATATTCAGCTCAAAAAAGCTTTTGGTGCCAATTCTTTATCAGATTTTCCGCCTAAAAAATTTCTTCCATTAAATTCATTACAAATCGAAGAAAGACGTTCACAGCTAGAAAAATATATCCAAATCGGTGAGTTATATAATCTAGATTACTTGTTAGAATTTTAAAACAAAATTTATTACACAGTAAGCCAAGATTCTCAAATCATCAACAGCGACATTTTCAATGGTTTTCTATTGGCAGCTCAACAAGAATCGCTTAATGATATCGTAGGCAACGATAGTATTGATGTTTATCAGCTAGATTGGCAGCCAGTACGATTGATGACCAATGGACAAGAGAATAGTGAAAATTTATTGAAAAAAATTTGTCAAACCATTGGAATGAATGCAAAATATGTACCATATTTTGCATTATATCTTGTTGAACGTTTCGTCCGTGATGATATTGTTACAAATTTTCGTATGATACGACGATTACAAAATTTCGAATCACCTTTATTGACATTACGAACAATGATGAACAAAGCAGCTGATAATCATAATAAATTTGTGATCATCATACGTAAATCATATTTTGACATTCAATTCGATCAAGATTTATTCGACGATGCGATTGCATTGAATTGTATCTATTTACAAGCTGTACATGATATCGAGAATGGACATATCATTTGTAATAATGCGGATACCTTGAAACGGTTGAATCATTTGAAAATGAATGCAAATAAATTGGAGGTTTTTTTTTTTTGAATTGCATTGAACATTGGTGAAATTTTTTTCTAATTTTTCGTTGTTCAGTATATTCAGTTGTCTAGATTGCAAAAATTTTATGGCTATCTCCATTTTGAACCATGTCTTTGTGATCTACCTTCATTAACGCCAAAAACTAGTGTAACAATGTTTGCCGGAAATCAAGAGCTTATAATTCGTGCCAATGATACCGATGTATGATAATAAATAATTATTAATACATTCATCTGATTAATTGTTTTATATTCAAAAAAAATTTAGCAAGAATACAGTTTCCGTGTTATTCGAATTAAATGTTGGCGTTTGACCACTTCAAATAATCATCGAAATGATTCGTTAACGGAAAATGAATCACAAGATCATCCGAAAGAAGAAAAAGGAAGATTCGAACTTTCGTTTGAATATCTGATAAATAAAGGTACTTTACAATGGATTACCATCTATAGTTCTCAGGTATGTTTGTCATTTATTAAATCACTGACGTATTAATCATTATTGTCTTGTTTACAGGCTGTATTGATCAGTTATTGTCTACAAAGTATGGTCGAAGAAATGCTACTAAAACGTGAAGGAAAAAAATTCCGTTCCGAAGGTTTGGCTATACGCTATAATACTAGTCCAAATTCAAGATTAGCTAATCAAAACCAAATGGATCAAATGAATATCAATACTAATGGTGGTGGTGTTAACATAGCGAATGATAGTGGTTTCGAATGGAATTATTGTAAACAAGATGGATCACAATTTCCATTATCCACTTCATCTTCGACAACAACATTGACAAGTGAAAAGAGTCAGAATAGTGAAAAAAGCATGAATGATACAACTGAACAACAACAACAGCTAAAACTTAATGGAATAACCGATCCATTATCACAACGATTTCAGGAGATATCATTGGTCGAAAATGATGTTTTCGATGAAATTGGAGACGATGATCTGTAAAAAAACACTGAATTTAAATGAAAAAATTTTTTATTTGTAAAATAATGTATCGTCAATAATCAACAATGAAAAAAAAATCAATGATTCTATTTTTTAATAATTTCATTATGAATAAATCAAAACATTTGATACGAAGTATGATCACGTGATGGATCATTGTCCATTTCTGTGGTGCCAAGAAATTCTTCCAATTGTCTTCGATCATCATCATCATCATCATTATCTTGAATGATTATTGATGATGCCGGATTCTTCGATGAATTATCATTTTTTGTTTTCAATTTTGTTGATTTCTTTTTCTTAGCAATTTGTTGTTGTTGACAATCACCGTTTTGTTTATCCGATGTTTTAGATTTTTTCTTCTTTTTTGTTACACCATTTGTGGTAGATTTATTGTTGGATTTTTTAATGTCCATCTTTTTTTTAATGATAGATGGTGGTTCATTTTCATTGGAATCGCCAACATCAAATTCATTTAGCTGTGATGAATGTTTAGAAATGTACATGTTTTCCAATGCTTCGATTTCATCAAGATTTAGAACAGGAATTTCAGAATTTGGCTGATTTTCTTCACTTTCAACATTACTGGTGGTTTCGGAAAGTTTTTCAACATTTTGATGGTCATCATCTGGATCTGAATTGATTTCATTTCCACCATTTTTTACCACTTGTTCGGATGATTCATTTTCATTTGAAATGCTCAACTTGTTATCATTAGATTCAATAACGATCATATCTTCTGGATCTAATTCTTCTTGATATTTGGCAACAATTTGATTATTTCCCATTGTATCATCATCATCGGAATCTTCTTCATCAATTACTGGCGGTAAATCTGTTTGAGGTAGATTTGGTTCGTCTAAAAATTTCCGGAACATATTCTGTTCACCATCATCTGGAATAAAATCTTCAATATTTTTCACCGAAACATTATATGGCGTTGTTGTTGTGGTATGATTTTTATCGGGTTTATTTTTCTGAAATTGTTGCTGAAATTTTGGCGGTAAAGGATTATTTGCTCCGATTATAATGCTTGGCATTGGCTTTACAATAGGTGCAGGCTCATTATTTTGATTTCTTGATGAGATAAGATGATTTTGTTGAGAATCACCATTAGCCATTGTAGCCATATTGGCAGGCATTGAAACACTACGCGGTGGTAACATACCCATTTGATCGACATTTTTAGTCGCTGATAATTGATCAGCCATCAATCTACGTTTGTTGGTGAGCATTTCGAGAAAACTATCATAATTATAATCATCACTATTGATCATAGCATCCAATTCCTGACAGGTGGCATTAATTTCGGATCCATTACGTTCCAATTGTTTGAGCATTGTTTCACGTTGAAGATGTAGATAGGGCAAATTGAAAAATTTGTATAGATAACGCAGACCAAAACCATTTCTCATTGAACATTCAGCATATCTAATCTGTCCAGTTCTTTTTCGATTAGATTCTAAATCTTCTTGTAGAATTGATTCAATAAAACCTTGAACTTGATCACCAGTTATCACACGATGATGTCCCATATCACGATGATTGGCTAATATTAATATTGGAATGTGTAATGGGCATCGATGAATCTCACGTTGAACATAATCAAAAGTCCATGCTTTTGTCATATCAAATAGATAGATTACACCATTTGTTCCTTTGTAAACATCGACAAATTCAGCATCCAAAGCTGGTGATGATGATGATGATGGATCATTTGACTCGTGTTGATGATGGTCATTTTGATTATTGTGCATTTTTAGTACATCTTTAGATGATGATACGGATTGATTTTGTGTGGATAAAATTTCTCGTTTTTTTCCTTTATCAACTACATCCCAGATTTCTACTTTGACAATATCATCGGTAGCATTATAATTCCATTGGATACTGGCTACTTTGATTTCTTCACTGGCTAGATATTCTTCATGAAATTTATCACCTTGTAAACGATAGAAAAGACATGTTTTACCCACATTTCTATCACCACGTATGATGATTTTCACTGTAAATACAAATATAAATCGAATTATTCAATGAAATTACATTGAAATAAACAAAAAAAAAAAAGACTAACTATTATATTGGATACCACGGGCAAATTTTCGTTGCAAATGTTGATCCATAGGTTGAACCACCACCACCGCCACCACGACGAGATGATTGTCCATTATTCGATGATGATTGATCCGAATTTTGTTTTTGAAATTTTTTAAATATAAACATTTTGTGTTTTGATTATTCGTTGATTGAATTTATATAGATATAGATAGATAGTATATTATCGAAGAAAATATAACATAGATAAATTTGTATGAGAAATGAAAATTTCATCAAAAAAATGAATAAAAATGCCAAACATATGGTACACAAATAAAAATATTGGATTGACCTATAAATGAAATGTAAAAATTTTTTACAATTTGATTAAAAGGGTTTTGAAATGTGGTCACTTACGCTGCTGTTGACGATATACGTTGATGACGTTGAACAATCGAGATTATTAGTGCACGATATACATTTGATGAGAAATACAACAAAGATCAAGATCAGGTCAGGTATGTTAACTGTGTGTTGTTGTTTTCTATCAAAGTAAAATCCAGTTGTTGTTGATAAACATTTCAAAGCAATCAAAACAACAATAGAATTGATATAAATCAAAACAAAGGCAGTAAGCCATAAATTATTTATGGAAACTGCGACATTTTTATAAATGTTGATTGATAATTGTTGATCATGTCAAGGCAAATTCATTTTTTCAGTTATCATTCATGATGTGGTAAAACGTAATCGACTCAGCCAATATATAAACAATAAAATCAAAATAATCAAATCACTCTGTTGTTTCACAACAGATGGCATACGATTATCTGATTTTTTTTTTAGAATATTCAATTGAACTTTTACCCGCCAGAAATTCATTTGTTATTATTGTTGTAATATCAGTATGAGATAAATACAAAACAATTATAATTACAATTTAGCAATTGATAATAGCAATGAGTATTGTGTGAACGATAAAATGCAAATAAGTGTCGTGAAGTGAAAAAAATGTGCATGAAAATTTCTTTTCACATTTTTTTTCGTCCAAAAAGTCAAACACGTGACTTGATGGGTGTTTTTCATCTGTTTTGTTTTTTTTTTTTTTTTGGAAATAAATTGATTTTCAATGATGATGAAACTGGCAAGTTATCAAAAGTTGATGAAACTGTAGGATAAAAGAATATTGTGTGTGTGTGTGCACATCATATAAGCATTTAATTTGCATTTGAATTGAAGAAAGAGAAACGAAAAAAAAATCACGAGTATGTGAATATAATACACCCGCGAATGACACACGATCGACCGACCGAATAAACGCGTGTTATCCATACACACACATATAGACAGAAAATTCCCGTTTGAATGCAAATCTAATTGATTTGATATGAAAAACAACGCACACACACACACTATATGTGACAATTAGTAATACATAACATTCAGGTCATCAATCTATATACAAACACACACATATGTATCTTGTCCTTTATGTGTTAACTACAAATTTTCAATCAAAATAAATAAATGAAATATATTTGAATCATCATCAATCGTAACACACACTGACACACGTGTCATATGATGAATGTTTAATCAAATCAAATCAAAAAAAAAAAAAAAAATTTCAACTTTGAAATGAATGACCACCATCATCATCACCTATGGAATGGTGATGATGATGATCATATCCTGATTTTTCCAATTATCATTACCATTTTTTTTTATCGATGATGATAAGTTGAAAGTCTTTCTTTTCTGACCATTGTCGAATGATTAATCGATATACATTGTTGTTATTGATGTTTGTGGAAATGGAATTTTTTTCTAGCCAATATCCTGTCTATGATATTACATGGTACAAAAACATGGTGTGATTGTTTGTGTGTGTGCATGTAATATCAATGTTTTGGTGGCCTGCAAAAATTAATCAAATTTCGATTTGTCATCATCGATGATGATGAACTTAAGATGAAGTTTTTTTTTTCTTCAAAATGACGCCCAAACCACAAACCATCATCGAAATGGTTGGACGAATTTTTCTATTTTTTTTTTTGTTGTTGTTGTTTAAATTGGATTGTTTGATCAACAGTTTAGTTTATATAGAACTAAGATATAATGAAATAAACAAATCTTTGGTGGTGATATGATGATGATGAGAAATTATTGTCATCATCATTATTTTGTTGTTGTTGTTGTGAAGCTAATTTTAAAAAATCTAGAAAATCAATCAATATCACACACACTAACACACACACACAAATCGTCGTGGTTACAAGTTCACAACATATGATGATGATGATGATGATGACAAGCAGACCAGAATGAAATGCATCGAAGCGTTAATTGTTTGAATGAACTTTTTACTGCCTATTTCTCATTCATCTTTTTGTTTGTGTGTGTGTGAGTATTTTCGAAACAGAAAAAAGAATCATTGATTTTTTTCCCCATTCAAGTTTACTTTTACTGAAGACAAAAATAAAATAAAATAGAAAAAAAATGTCGAAATGTATCAAAAAATCAGTTTTTTAGCATTAAGAAAAAAAAATTTTCATTCTCGTTCAATTCGTAGATCAATATAATTCTAATGATAAATAAATAAATGGAAAAAAATTGATTCAATTTCTCAGTTTATCATCATCAGTTGTAATTATTTTCGTTTTTTTTGTGGTTGACATTCTTCTTCTTCATTATTTTTTTTTTATTATTATTATTGTCGTACAATGACATTGGTGGACTGATATTTATCATGAGAATTTTTCAATAATTTTTCCCTTCGATGACAATTGTTGTTGTATAGTAGTAGTGAATATGATTTACTGAATGAATCGATTAAATAAAATAAAATAAAATAAACAAACAAAAATTATATAGTAATATAGAAATTCATTATATTTGAGAAAAATTGAAAATTCATCAAACAACAATCATTTGAAAAAAAATAATGAAAAGAGCAATGATTTCGATTTGAAATGGCCAAAAACCTCACGACAAACAATCATTCTGTATATTGGCCATGGAATTTGTGTGTGTGTGTGTGTATCATACATCATCAACAACAACTGGTCAATCATGATGATGATCAGGCTGGTCACCATCATCATCATTATCACTATGCTAATGATGATGACACGTGTCGTTTCAAAAAAAAAACCCAAAAGAAAATAATCAATTCTAGCAAATTTGCCTCAAAATAAAAGGTTGACACGCGTCGTTGTTTGCATTTTTGTTGTATTACCAATGGGCTATATATGAAATAAATTATTGAGAAAAAAATGGCTCAAAAAGGCCAAAGGCTAAAAAAATTTTTGGTCATATTAATTTGTGGCTACGATATAATGTTGAGAGCGTGAGATCCAAATGCTTTCGATCATTGAATTGATGTTGTGTGTATGAAATTGAAATTGAATGAAAAAAAAAATTATTTTGATCAATTTAATCAAGTTAATCATGATGATTAAAAATTGGAAAAAAACCTGGAGATTCTTTCATTTTTTTTGTCAATGTTGTGGCTTTGTAAAACATAACCACACACACACACACACACATATTAGCCAATGATAAACACGACAATGATGATAAATCTCTAAATCAGCTTTTTTTTCTCTACAAAAATCTCTATGACACATTTGGTCATAGTGACAAGTATTATCCTCATCATCATCTTCATTGTTGTTCACCGATAAACATCCACACTTAAATGATCACACATAGAATGGATAGAAATTTCAAAATTCAAAAGTGCTAAAGTGTTTGTGTATGCTGCGACAACAACAGTGTTTATCGAACCTATTTGAACACAGAGATTGACGAGCACATGTTGGGCATCATACACATGTGATATATATAAATTTTTCGGGTAAAAACACACACACACACACACATAGCAACGGAAAAAAGCTTACCCGTACACAATTTGATGCACACACAAATGATATATGATGTGAACCAGAAACAAATCAAACAACAAACAGAAAAAGAAGAAAAATCCATGGCCATTCGATTCATTCCAAACAAAACAAAACAAAAAATGAATCGATACATAATCAATGGATCGAAAAATAGATTCATTGAAGCAAATAAATAATTCTCAAATAAAATTCCTTTTTGTTTTGTTTAGAAATCATTCATTCATTCATTTATTCTACAAACATTAGAAAATTCAAAATCCGGAATTCAAATGTTTCAATAATCTCTGATGATACACGTGTTACATAAATATACACGGAAGGAAAAGGGTATGTGTGTGATGATTATCAATCGAGTATATTTTTTTCGACCAATAAATTTTTGTTTTTTATTTTTTTTGAAGAAGAAGAATTTCGTTTCGATTTTTGGTCGTTTTAGATAAATAAATTGTGGTTTTTTTTTCTCTTTCTTGGTTGTTATTGTTTGGTTATTTCATTCCATGTTAATATTTACAAAATAATGCATGGCCTATGTGTGTAATGTGTTGAAATGTTTGTTTGTTAGCATATATCACACAACAATCGAATCGAGTATCATATATATCGCGAACACAAAAAAAAAATACAGCCCATCAATATACCAGAATGTGGATGCGCGCCAATGACAATTGTGTTCACCTTTTTTTCTGGTTTTTTTTTTTTTTGATTTTCCATCATCATGACTACCACCATCATTTCTCTGGTACTTTTTTTTTACTGCGCCAGGATTGGCTTAACATGGAAACACACACATAAATATAACGTTATATATTTACTTCATAGGCACCGGTCATACGACCGCCCCCATATGATCAATATCAACCAGAGATTGGTTATAAAATATACACGCACACATACAATGATTATGTTATGCCGTTGTTGGAAAACAGTGGGTTTAGTGTGTGTGTGTGTGTGTGTGTGTGTTGAAAGAACGGCACAGAGAAATTTTTTTTTTTTTTTTTTTGGTTCACATCCTAAAAACCCAAAACCAAAAATGAGAATATGCAGAATACACACACAAAGATAGAGGAGGCACATAAACATAGACAATGAGAATTTTTTTTTTTTTTTTTAGTTGACAGACTCAGTTCCAATATCATCAAAAACCAGAAACAAAAATAAATGCCATGCCCGCTATATAGATGACACATAGTTTAGGTTTAAATGATGATCATGATGATAACAACGATGACAATATCATTTTGATAACGAAAAC